AACATACCTAACATACAATACTTGTACCTAATTTGGCCAACAAAAAAAACTTTAAAATTTTAATCATATAATAAAATACAATATAATTTTCAGTGCCCGTTTTTATTGTTGTTTATTTATATCTATCAATATATAATATAAGGGATAACTATACTGTATATACTGTTTATATGGGATAGTAATGATGGTTTTGACGGTAAACGCAAACTGTTTTTATGTATACCTGTATATAATAGTACTGATAATTATTATATATATATATAACTTAGTGGCACTTAATACAGTATATCCATTATGTGATATATAATCGGACGGTTGGTTTTTACTTACAAATTATGGTCATCCTCTAAGACAATTTATTTTGTTTTAATGAGAGACCTATCAATGGGAATGGGAGGGGGACTGAAGACACTAATCACTCAAATAACTACTATCCACCACAACTAACCGTCCAAAACCATTGGTCAACTATTAAATAAAAAATGTTGTTTTTTGAGAAAAATATTTTTTTAAAACTATTTTTTTAAGTCAAACATTTAGTTCTCATATATTTTATTACAGAAATTTCTCTCTCTCTCTCTCTCTCTCTCTCTCTCTCTCTCTCTCTCTCTCTCTCTCTTAATCACTCACTCAGTAAATATTAAAGTAAAACTCATAGTTAACGATAATATCATCAAAAAAAGCCCAGCCCTTAAAAAATAAGTTTTCTTTATTTTTTTTATTTATTAAAACCGTTTTATCTATATTATACACTACATTAATGTGTGTATGTGTGTGTGTGTCTAACAAAAAAAAACATTATATAATAATTTTATGTAATATCGGTATTTAATATTAAATTACAATTTATTGCCGAAAAGTTTGCGCAAACATATATTTTTATCAAAAGTTTTAATCGTTTAATATTTTTTTTTGGATACATTTACAATATATATTATATATTGATATGCGATCTATAAACAAATGGCTACTTAATAATAATAAAAAATAAACTATCTTTAAAAAAAATATTTATATATATATTGTGTGATACACATTAAAAACAAAAAATTGCCGAAAATATAATATAAACAGTATATTAAAACTATTATTATTAATACTACTACTACTACTACTAGATTTAATCATTATATAAATATTTTTAGAAATAATCTATAATAATAGTACAATAAATACTATAATATTAGTATAACAATTGATTTATTTGTTATTTTTTTTGTTTAGTAAATTTAATGCATAATCTATAAATTAACAAAAAATTAATGTTTTTATATCTATTTTTGATAGTCATTAATAAGCGCGGTCTACTATTATTTTTTAATATACTTGAATAACAGAATAAATTTCATATTATAATATTTTATATATATATATATTAAATGCTATAGGATTTTGGTTGGGTTTAATTTATTTCAAATAAAAGTTTATATTATTATTTTGTTTCAGAGAAAATAAAAACGTTTTGGCACATAAATCAAATAAATGTAAAACTATTATAAATTCAAATATTTTTTTGTTGGTAATTAAATAATTATACAATTTTTAAAACTGATTACTATATATATATATATATATATATATACAAATATTTTATATATCATATTATATATTATATACTACTGTTTTAAAACGTTATCACAAACATTTGAATTATTATTTTTCAAAATGTTAATTACTATAAATTATAGGCCAATTTACAGTTTAAATAGCTAGAAATTATCAAGGTGTTATAAATGTATGAATTTATATATACAGTATATATATATATATATATATATATATTGTTTTTTTAAACACACACACACACTTGTCATTTTATATCTATTGCATCAATGATTTGATATGATTGTACACTAATGACTAAACTTTCAAAAAATAATATAATGCTATTTATAAATCTATATAAAATTTATGTGATAAATGTGTTTAATTTAGCAAATTATAAATAATTTGATCGATAATTTTTTTTATATCAAACAAATTTATGCCATTTATTTATCATAAATTATTAAACTTAAAATTATTTTTTTATATAGATTATCAATGTATTGTATACTGTAGAATATACAGTATAATGTATTTATAGATATTTTTAGACATGATATTTATATTATATATATATTAAAAACTATTGTATAATTTTTAAATAACAATTTAGACTACAAAATGAAACATATATATATATATAATTTAAAATAATTGTTAATTTAATCTATCAGAAAAATCAGTATTTAAAAAATATCAAATAAATATTACATTTGATTTTTTATATTTATTTGAATTTAAAATTTTTTGACATTTGTTTGTTATTAAAGTACTTTAAGTATTATCTGAGTAAATGGTTTCAATAAATAATAAATATTGAATCGTATTTATTATTATTATTATTATTAAATATTAAATATTGACAAAAATATAAACATTTAGATTATATTTATAATCTACAATCAATTTCTTATAAATATTTTAATAGTATTTTTTCTTTAAAGAAAATAAAAATATATATATAAAATTCAAATTGAAAATTATAAGTAAACGTTTGATATTAAAATAAAATTTTTTAAAAATATTGTAATTATTGTATAATAAAACGATATTTATTTTATTTATCTTTATTTTGGTTGCCAATTGGATTATAGTCTATTAACCAAAAGTTTTTAATGATTATTTAATCTCATTTATATTCAGTTCAGACAAAATATCTAAAATAATTTTTTTTCGTTAATTTAAAATACTTAACTAAAAGAAAAAGAAAAAATATTATATATACTATAAAATATACTGTTTTATATATATATATATATATATTTATATAAATTATACATAAAATAATAATAATGTATACATATATATAAATTCTGTATATAGTTTATAGTAGTACTTAATAAAATAAATCCTTATTTTATATATATAAAAGTTTGCTAATTAATTATTTATTCAAATTTGATTGTATTTAATGATTGTAATGCTAATTATTTTTTACAGTTTACTTAATATACAATATATATAATTTATATTTATATATATATTAATGAATCTATTAGTTTGTGACAATTACGAGGCGCATTAATTAGCATGATAAAACATTAATTAGTAATAAAATAAAAAGATAAAATATGATAAAAATAACAAAATATATTTAGTGTATATTAACACTTACAATGTATTTATTAGTTAGTTATCATTATTTTTTTGTTGCTTAAAAAAAATTATACTATTAATAATGTAGTGTTAAAATAATTCTGTATAACCATATATATATACATTATGTTATATGTACTGTATATATACAGTATATATATATATATATATTATTATTATTATACTGTAGTACACTCACACTATAGGAGTAATTTTAAGCGCTTAAAGTCAATCGTGATTTTAAAACTATGTTTTTTTAATCATATGATTATTATTAGTATTAGTATAGTTTTTTCTCAGGAAAAAAATTATTATTTATTTAATATATATCGTAAAAACACGACTCTCTCTCTCTCTCTCTCTCTCTCTCTCTCTCTCTCTCAGTATTTTATTAATTAAAATTCATTCATTAATAAAATTAACAAAATCAATAATCCCGGTGCGAAAATAGTTGTAAATTAATGTTTGATTTTGTGTGTCTATTATTGAGTGTCAAAAATGAGATTATTTGTTGCAAAATAAAAATTATTTTTTTTTGCCCAATAATTAAGTATAATTGTAAAAATAAATTACAAAATGATGTGTTAATATCTTATCAGTTATATATATATATATATATATATATATATATATAATGTATTTTAATTGTAATTTGAAAATAATTTACAGTTTAATTACAATTAAACACATAAAAATTTAAACTATTTTTTTTTAAAAAAATTTAATTAAATATTTAACTTAAAAATAATTTTCTCAACAACTTATTTATAAATCATTGATACTCTACTTAAGATTACAATTAATAATAATAATAATAATTATTATTATTATTATAAATTAGTATAATAAAAAAAATAACATGATTTAATTTTTGTAAATAAATTTAGAATTTTATCAAAATAATTTTTTTTCAAAATTACACCATTTATTACAATAAAAATTTAATTAATTAGTTTTTTTTCTTTTATAATTATTTTAATTATCTGTATTATTATTTAATTAATCTTTAAATAGTTTTAATTAAATTTAATGCAAAAAAACATTTTCATTCAATATATATCTCCTATTCGTTGGGCTAACACTCTATTGTCGACACTTGTATGCCATCTATAGTCAGTGCAAACAAACACATAGTGTTTACACCAATTCTAACACAAATACTTAGAAAATAATAATTCTATTAATAATATGTGTGTGTAGTACTGATAGTCATATATAAAGTTGATAATACAATAGTCAAATCTTGTTTAATAATATAGTATTGTATATAAGGAATCGCTTTTAACTATTTTTTTTAAAAAAACTTATTTACACACATATATTGTATTAACACATTAGACAGATTTTAATTTAATTTAGTTAGTTTCATACAATATAATAGATTTATTTATATATATATATATATATATCTTATAAAAGTTATAATTTTAACATTTATTTTTTTGGAATTAATCTAAATTTTATTTGATTATTTAGAATATAGACTTTTTGTCGATGATTTTAAATGGAAAATTTTTTGATTGAAATTAAAATTAATTAAAAGTTAATTATTTTTATTAAATACTCTACAATTTTTTTTTAAAATTATTATTTTTAGTTAAATAATATACTTTGAATGAAACTTTATATTAATCTAATACAGTGTTGTGTGTGTGTGTGTGTGTGTGTGTGTGTGTGTGTGTGTGTGTGTGTGTGTGTGTGTGTGTGTGTGTGTGTGTGTGTGTGTGTGTATACTATATACACACACACACACACAACACTGTATTAGATTAATATAAAGTTTCATTCAAAGTATAACACTGTATAGACATATGTATGCGATGTATGACTATTCCCTATACAGTATATTATATAAGTAATGTATAAGTGTTATGCAGTGAACGCCATTTGCCAAACAAAAAACACAAACAAACAAAACATTGGTTTCCATTGCAATAGTAATAGCAATGAATTCAATATAAATGAATGGATTTAACCATCGATTGAATTGAAAGATAAAAACAAACAAAAGTATTGCTATTATTAGTATATTATCACCGGTTTTATCAAATTATAAGACATAAAGAAGAAGAAGAAGAAGATTAAGACTTTTTATTCAACAAAAAATAAATAAAAAAAATGGATTTATCGTCAATCGAGTTGACAAATGTCGAGTCTTCAGCACCGCTGATGCGATCGCTCAGCAAAAGCGAATCGCTGTTTACCGAAGAACGAGTGGACACCGAGTTTGGTCAGCTATGTGTTGCCCAACAGGGCGCCGACCCGAGCCTACAGAAGCCGATTATCCTAACCTATCACGACTTGGGTCTCAATAGTGTATCCAATTTTCAGGCCTTTTTCAACTACATCGACATTAAGCTATTGCTCCAGAGTTTCTGTGTCTATCATCTGAACGCTCCCGGTATGGAGGAATCGGCTCCACCGCTACCCGACAACTATGTCTATCCGACATTGGATCAGATGGCACAACAGGTTCACACTGTTTGCAAATACTACAACATCAAGTCGTTCATCGGTTTCGGTGTATGTGTTGTCTTAAATCATTATAATCTTTATCTGATTCATGTCTTATAATTATTATCTTTATATATATATGATAACTGATACCTAATCGCAAAGTGATGATCAATTGCAATGGTATTTGTTGTCAATTATCACTGAAAAACAAACACAAAGTTGTCTCAAATATTTAGTTATTTGTTTTTTTTGCTAATCTAATTGATACGTGTCGTTGAATAACAAATTATTTGTTGTTTTATTTTATTTGTTTGTCAAAAAAAACAAATATTTTTTTCAGATAATTATTGCAATAGAAATTAATGCATAGTTTTTTATATGTATTTTTTATTTTATTTATTTATTTATTTATTTGATTTGGTTTGTTGGCCATTGAATTGATTGGAAAAATTAATTTTAATGACACATACATTCAAAGAGAAAGAAAGAGAGAGAGAGAGAGAGAGAGAGAGTATTTAAAGTTTAGTTACTATTTATATATATATATATATATATATATATATATATATATAACAACAAAAAAATAATAAGTTATAATAAAATGCAAATGATTTTTGATGGCTAAAGATAGTAATTTTGAAAAGAGAGAAAAATATTATATATATATATATATAATTTATAAAATTATTTGATAACTAACTAGAGATATAGATATACAGTATATTTTATAAATATATATAAACTTTTTTTTATATAAAAATGATTGTCTCATTTGAATTGAAAATCAATTGAAGTCTCATTTCTCACATTTATTAGAAACTTGTTTTAATGTATATTTTTAAGCGTTAAACCCTATAATTAAAGCTAATATCATCTAAATATTTTGTGTTACATTAATAAATAAAATTTAAAAAACAGTGAATAAGAGAGAGAGAGAGAGAGAGACAACATTTTTCAATATTATTATTATTTATAAATTTATATATATATATGATATACTGTATAAATAATTTATTTTTATTATATAATTAGTGAATATAATGAGTCGATTAGTATTTCTATGTTGAAACATAGCATTAAAATATTTATTATAATTTATAATATAAAAAAATAAATAAACTATACTTTATGTTACAGTATTTTTTTTAAATTGGCATGAATTTAGTGTTAAAACATTTTGTTTGTTACTGTTTTATATACATTAGTTATACAGTACATACAAGTAGTCTATATAATTAAAAAACAAAAGTATTGCAATAATAATAATTAAGATTTATTGCAAAAATGTTTTATATAATAATTAAATAATTTACAAATTGCACCGTCATTTAGGTTGGCGCCGGCGCTAACATACTGTGCCGCTATGCACTGACCAACCCGGACAAAGTGGACGGTCTGTTTCTGATAAACCCGACATCGACGGCCTCGGGTTGGACTGAATGGCTGTACCAGAAGGTCAACATCTATTATTTGGGCTCATTTTCGCCTCCATCGGCGGCCGCCGACACCAACGGTTCGCAATTCCCGTCGTGGACACAAAACTACCTCATGTGGCATCACTTCGGCAAACTAACCGAAGACCGAAATCGTGATCTGGTCGAAACCTATCGCAAATATTTTACCGGCAAATCGATGAACGCACGCAATCTATCGCTGTTTACCGATTCGTATATCAAACGAACCGATTTGAATATAACGCGCGGCGGCGACAAAAACGATCAGTTCAAGTGTTCAGTACTCGTTCTATGCGGTTGTCTATCGCCGCACGTGGACGACACGGTTACTATGAACTCGCGTCTCGATCCGGCCAACTCAACCTGGATGAAACTATCTGACTGTGCAATGGTTCTCGAGGAACAACCGGCTAAAGTATCCGAAGCGTTTCGTTTGTTTCTCCAGGGTTTGGGCTACGCCCTGACCGCCTACGAACGTCGCCGATCATCTCTGCGCAAAATGAGTACATCAAGCGGTGATGCCATCAATGGCAACAACAATCCAGTCATCAATGGATTCCAACTGAACGGTGACGACACTAGTAGTCGTAAAAACTCGATCGACGAAGAGGTCGGTAACGATGATGATGGCAATGATGGCAAACCCATACACATTGTCGAGAATCCAATAGTAGAGGCTTCTTGTTAGGTGTCGTTCCCCTCTCATCCAATCCACTCAACCCCTACTGACAGTCTAAACAAATTCTTTTAATGTCTTTTTTTTATTAGTAATTTGTTTCAACATTTTTTAACGATTTATTTTAATTAGTATATAAACTACTGTTTGGTTAATCTCAAAAAAATACAATACCAATGATTTTATATATATATATATATTTATTATCTTAGCGATCGATTTTAGCAGTTTAATACTGTAAGTGTGTGTATACCCATACATATTCATATATGTGGTATCTATTTATTTTATTTATAAACTATTTTTTTGATTTATCTTAATATTTTATTTATTGGTGAATTTAATGGTAATTTTAAATTTTTAAATATTATTACTAATAATATCTATAGATTAATAGTAGTAGTAGTAGTTTTTATTAAGTAGTATTTGATACCATTTGTGGTATACTTAACGTCAATGAGAAACAGATTGAGATAAAACAAAAATGATTTATTTAGTATCAATAGTCAAATATACAGTATATATACTTACGGTATATATATTACCGTAATGACTGTATATTAACCCTATAATTACAGTTTATTTATACAACAACAAAAATTTCGGTGCAGTTTTTTTTAAATTAAATATTTTATATATATTAATATTTAATATATTTTTATCTGATTTTTAATTTATATTTTACAAGACATCGATAAATGAGAGATAAATAGATTGATAGATATATTTCGTATATAAAGTGAGAGATAGTTAGTTAGAGAGAGAAACAGAGAGATATTTGTATTGAAAAAAAGTTTGTAATTTTATAATATAAAAGATTTTTTATATTTATTTATTTTTAAGAGAAAAAAAAATTGGAAATGCATTTTGGATACAAACAGATATGTAATTGAAATATGAATTGCATTTTTTTTGGTACAAAACTTTATATTTACATATATTTTTTATGGTAATTAATATTAATTTTTAAAAATCGGTGTCTTTTACTCTACATTTTGAATAACTAGTCTCGAAAGCAACAAAAAAAAACAATGTTTTTTTAAATTTATTTATTTATTATTATTAATTAATTAAATTATTAATAATAATAATAATTATTGCCAATACTTAATGACATTATATATGCATTTTATGATTTTAAACTATAGTATATTATCCTCATTTATTTATTGTACTAATTTTTTAGGCAATTTTTTTCTTTATATATATATATATATATATTATATTATATATATATTGTTGCTTTTTAAAAAATATTTATATATTTATTAGAGTACAATATATTGTGCACATATTTGTATGTTTTATGAGCACAAAAAACATGAATTTTAATTATATAATATTGACATTATTATTATTATTATTAAACAAGAGTGTAACCCAATTATTTGATGCAATAAAACAATAAATAAATTATAAAAATATATATCAAAATTTATTCGCATTTTTATTAAATGAAAGTTATTATTTTATTAGTTATTTACTTAAGGATATTATGTTATATTTATATAATAATTTATATATTAAAAAAATAAATTATATGAGTTGATAATAGTTGTGTAATAATATAGTTTTTTTAAGCATTTTTTTAGTTTTGAAACACTTAATACTCTTGATAATTGAGCAAAAAATATTGTAAAAAAATATCGATAATTTTTTTTAAAAAGACTAGATTTTAAAGATATTTACACATAAAAAAATTAGGGTAAAAAATTAATATACATTAGAAATAAAATTAACAAACAAAATGTAATTTTTTAGGTATCATTTTAAAAAAATATTTAATTTGTATTTTAATTGACAATCCAATACACAAATCAAACATTTGTTATATACAGTATATATAACTAATAATAATAATAAGCAAAACAATTAATTGATTGATATTTTTATTTTTTTTTTGATGAATGAAATGAAATGAAATTTTAAGTTTTGCTTTTTAAATATCTGGAACTTCTTTAGACACAAACAACAAAAAACATATCTTCAGATATCATCAATTCTGCCATAACTTCTTTGACTCTCTTGTTTTTGTTTTCTTTGGTTACATCTTTGCCTTTGATTGCGGTCGTATTGGTGCAGGAGGTGGTGGTGGGGGTCTCGTCCGACCTGATCCCGGGGACGGCGGCGGATTACCACCTGAAGAACCGCCGCCGCCGCTGCCGCCTGAGTAGCCGCCGCCGCCAGAAGTGGAACCGAAGACCTGTTGGGCAATATTCTGGACGACCTTCCACTGACCGGTCTGTTTGAGATACGGTTCAGAATAGCGGAAACCTTCGAGCACTACGAGCAGTGACCACAAGACAAGCATAACAACCAATTTGAAGATAAAGAAATAGCGTTTATAGCCGTAGAAGAACCAACGGAATAGACAGATGACCACAAACTGCATATCGTTAACAATGGAATTGATAACGAAATGCTCTTCCAAGTGATGACTTTTGACATAGTCTTTGACTTTGTCGACTGCCTTCTGGACGTGTTCCATGTCTTCAGATGATTATGGCTTTGTATGTGTGTCTGAAAGTATAGGTCTTGTCTGATGGTCTGAATCTGAGACTCACTTTTCTAAGAGTTTTTTTGTTGTTGTTATTAACTGATCGGTTAAATTAAGAAATTTGAATTTTATTATTACATATAATTTATTTATTTAGGATATCGCGAGATATATAATATATATAGTTTTTTTTAAATAACTTATTAATAATAAGTTATTATAGATTGTATGATATAGTGATTTATTTGAATTATTGTTTTTTTTTGAAATTGTATTTTTATTGGACAGTTGATCAAAATAATGGTATTACTTAAAAAAATTATTAGCCGATTATTGATGACCATCACTTGGTGTCCATTGAATTTACAACAAAATTATAATCGATATCACTATCGACATCGACAACAGTCGTTAAGCAATAGTTGTCCGCTAAAGTCATTAATACATTCATTAGGACGACATGTTTACCTGCTGTCCAGCGATGATTTTGATGATGATGACGTGGATGATGATGATAGTCAGTTAACCATTGAAGACATTGCTGACCTAACCTGGTCTAAAGTGGTATCTGTTTGGCCATCTTTTTACAACAAGATGACTGGTGTGGGCACCGGCTGTATAATAGATATGAACTATCGGTTTGTTGTGACCAACTGTCACGTATGTGAAGATCTCCGGGATGTTAGGATCTGTTATCATCTGTTTGGTGATACTGAACTCTGGTGCGAATCGGCTCGTATACTATACGTTGAACCGCAATACGATTTGTCATTATTGTTGGTCAATCGTACCGACAGTGACCACAATTTTACCGAACAGTTTGACTTATCAGACACCGCTGGGACACTACCTACAGCCGAATTTGGCCAACAGGTTGTCTGTATGGGATATCCTGAGTATAACTTTGATTGTTTGATTGTTATGTTAGGTTTTATACAATAGTTTTATCTCTTTTTTATATATAATTTGTCGATCAAGTTCTGTGCCCATGACTACAGTCGGTTGGGTCTGTTGTCCACTGAGTCTACAGATAACTGGACGCGAATCGGACAATCCATTTGTACAGCACACCAGTGTTACCAAAGGGGGCTTCTCCGGCGGTCCACTGGTCGATGAATTGGGCGATTTGGTTGGCGTACATCACAGTGGACTGGCATCTGGTTTCCGATTTGCCACTCCTTATAATGTATTGAAAGGTTAGGTATTATTTTAATTTAAATATGAATTGAATTGATAAAACTTAACTATTAATAGACTATTTTTTAACACTAATTTTTTTTACTTCATTTAGAGTTTTATCTAAGAGGTGCCAAGTTTTATGGGAAACAGGTATTAAATATTTTTTGTGAACAGTTAGCTATTATTTGTTTTTTTTTTAAAATACAGTATATGTTTGATTATATAGTTGAATAGAATCAATGAATTAAAATCAAACCATCAATTGATGGCTGACTTAACTGCTGAGCACCGGTATGTCGATCGGACACTATTGGGTGTCGAAATTTGTTGGTTTAATTCATTATTCGATGAAGACTATAAAGAGTATGCCAACCGAGAGGGTCATCCATTCAATGACATAGCAATGGATGGTATACTTGTGTGGAGTATTTTCCGACCCAATCATACAAAGTTAGTCAACAACAACAACAACGACAACAAAATAAATCTAACTTTTTTAGAATTAATTAATTGATTTTTTTTATTTAAAAAAATATTTTAGTCGAGACCTACATGTGTTTGATGTTATCATTGGCATCGATGACCTACTAGTTGTATCCATACATGACTTAAGCCAAGCGCTGACCACCAATAGTACCATTAAGTTGTCGATTATCAGGGATGGTATGGATGAAGATATTTCTGTAACCACAGAACAAATGCGTGGCTTATATAGTATTCAATGAATTTATTTTAATGAGAGATTTGTTTGTTGAGATAATTATCGATAATATAACTTATATATAATATTTTGTTTATAAAAAACCAAAACATAACTATTATAAAAATATAATATAATATAAAATATAAAGAATATATATATAATATATTTAATTTCGGTTTTTTCTCCAATTAATTATTTTAATAAATTTCACACAAAAATACTCTAAAAATAATTAGCTAATTGAATTGAAAAATATTCAAACAATTATTATTAATTAATTTACTAAATTTTTGATCACAAATTTATTAATTTTCAAATAATTAAATTTTCTGTACAATACTTATTATATGCAAAATTCGTTTTATAATAATTACAGTATTATTCAATTAATTTAATTAATTTGAATTCAAATTTGATTGTAATGTCAGTTAAACAAAACAAAACAGAAAAATCGTTAATTAATTTTCAAAAAACAAAAAATTATATTCATTTGTTTCTCACATATTTTGGTCTCTAATTGTATGTTTTAATTCAGTTATTTGAAGACATTATTATTATTTTATTTTTTGATTGATTGATTGATTTAACACGTTTGAGATAAATGATGAATAGCCAAGAATTTATTATATATCTTTTGGCATTTTTATCATTGGTTGTGCTTATTATCATATGTACGGCTTGTATAGCAATTAAATTCTTCAGACGTGAACTACTGGAACTGTTTGGTGATGTTTGCTGTTGTTTGAAACGTCCAACTGATGACAGCTATAACAGCCATAACACCTATAGAAGAAGTAATATTACAGATATTGAGGCAAATAGACAGCGACAGCAACAACACCGACGACAACAACTACAAGCAAATAATGACAATAACAGACATAACCAGAAGCGTCCGCCGCCGCCGCCGCCAGAAGATCCGCAAACGTTAAGAGAGTATATGGAAAAATACAATAAGAAGAAACCGATTAGCGAAATGAAAAAAGATCTGAAAGACAAACAAAAGAAGAAACAACAACAACCGAAGGCACAGACAATAATACCAACAAAAAAAGCGGTGACACCTAAACATCAGCAGCCAAATAGGTCTGCAACAGCAGATGCGTCCACTCCTCCGGTGTCAGCAAAAAAACAACCGAAAAAGTCGGCTCAACCTCCGCGTGCAAAGGAGTTGTCGAAAAAGGTGTCAAAAACAAAGTCATTGAAAGTAAAATCTTCTGCAAAGTCGCCAGTGGCGGCAGTACCCGATGCGCCGGCGGACAATACGTATTTTTCTGGCCAACTCAAATATGGTCACGTCAAGTCGCTGGAAGCGTTGCAAACGGGTACCAAATTCGGACCATCGCTTGATCCCAAACAAAGTGATACCAATTTGGCCCCAAAGAAACAGCTGACCGAAGAGTTTGTCCCCGGAGTTGGACTCGCGAGTACTATACCGTCGCCGTCCAGAATTGATTAATATATATATATATATATTTATCGATATTTATTTATTATATTTAATTAATTTTTTTTAAAAAAAGTTATTAATTACAAATCTATAATTTATATTATTATTTTTATTATATATTTTATTAATTTTATATTGCAAATGAGTTTCATATACATGTATAATATATTATAGTATAAATTGTGTTATTATTTTCTATTTTGTTTGTTTATTATAATAAATTTAAATATAAACTTATTCAGTTTAATTCATAAATTAAAATAATTTATATAAATGATTGAAATAAATAGTTTTTAAAAAAATATTTGATATTTAAATAAATGTTAAGTTTCAATGTTTTTTTTTTTAAATTATTTATAGTTGAAATTAAAATACAATTATATGTGTTAGTCATTGTAAATAAAATATAACATTTAAGTTTTAAAAATAGTAAATATTATTATTATTACAAATATTAATAATAATTGATAATTTTTAGCATAATATTAATATTCAATATAAGTTATAATCTCCTAATTTATTTCATTGATTAAAAAGTTTTCACATTTTAATATAAGTATCAYWTTTTATTTTGTCAAATACTTTAGTTTTATTTTTACATTTATTTCTCTTATTTTATTAAATAAATTCTTTAGTTTTATACTTATAATTATAATATCAATTGTATTGACAATAATCTGTCACCGAATCCGTACATCAAGAAGAAGGTAATTACCGAAACAAACAAACGGACAGACAGACAGAATCCGGTTATTTTTTTGTCCACACATTTGATGATAGCTTTCGGCTGCTTTTCGTCGCCGCCGCTSTCCAGACGCGTAAGGTTGGCCAGTATTTACCGCGCGAAAAGATCCACCATAGTAACCGCGAACGGCAACGAGATATTGACCAGTTGGCCGATACGAAAGCGCGGACGGACACACCGTTTTACTTGTAAGATATATCTACATATAACTACTACAAGAATCATAAGTAAGAGATATTATATAATATGATTTTTTTTATTGTTTGATGGCTTGGTTACCGATGTTTGGTATAGATATTGCCGACAATATCCGCCGCTAACATTGTTTCAGAGTTGGCAACTGATGATAGCAATCACTGGTGCCATCAATCCCAGGGAACCACCAATTGATTTGACCAGTATTTGCAATACAAACGGTCGGTTGGGTGGGTCTGTACAGCTAACTGGACGCGTCTAATAATGTCTTCACTTAACAGCAATWRTCTAATGTTTGATTGCAATGTCTGTCACATTAGGTCTGAATATTTAATTGATATCTCTATCGATGACAATCGTTGTCCTCAATGCAACTCACAAGTGGTCGTGAAAACCAATGGTTACAACACACCGCCGAGTAATAATAATAATAATAATCTCATGAAATTCAGTGACCAATCGGCTGAAAAAGTGGTCAACAACAAGACGCCAATCAGAATGTGTTGTATATGTTTGGATGAATCGGTCGGTGCCATCAAACAACTTAATTGTGGCCACAGTTTTCATAACAAATGTATTAATAGATGGTTTGCAACAAAACATAATACATGTCCGATATGTCGTCAAACAACGGTTGTCTCTCCTATACCATCATCAACAACAAGACTGAATTTATTTGTAGGCTCATTGAATCAAGCAATACATGCCTTACCGGTCAATCGGGTGCGCGAGGAAAATGGTCGGGCTACATATACAGTCAATGATCAGGGCTATTTTGTTATCGTCTCATTTAATCATAATCAAAATTAATCATCTTTTAAATAATTTTTTTTAAATTATTAATCATTATTATCAATATAATGATTTTCTTTAAATTTTAATTGTTATGCATTGTATATAAAGTTTTTTTTTCTATTACCCTCAGTAATCATTATATTAGTTATGTATTAAATTTTATACTGTATTAATAATTATTATTATTACCATTTAAATATCTTTTATTTTAATTTTATCTTTTATTTTAATTTTATTTTATCTTTTATTTTATCTTAAATACCTTATTATCATTTTTTATCAATTTTATAGTATCATATTTATAAAAAAAAATGAAAAATCATATATAAAATAATAATTGTTTTCATCAATAAATTTATTTGTATTATTTAAATATTACAACTATTAATATGTGATGAATCACTAATTAATACCATTAATTAATAATTATTTATATTATAACTTATATTTATTCTATTTAATATTATATTCAATGTATTTGTATACAATCAATATTCAATGTAAAGGACTGACTCTCTATATAGCATTGCTATATAGTATTATATAGCAAAGCATTAGTCTTCCCGTTACCCATAGCAACTCATCCAGAGCATCACTTAGTAAATAGAAAACACTATTTATTCAACTATTGATTAACATTACCTCACTGGCTTAGTGGTTAGCGTTTCACATAGTGAAGCATAATACCCGAGTTCGCGTCTCCCTTGAGTTTAGAATTTTAAACTAATTTATTTAAAATAAATAAATTAGTAAATATGAAACAAATTATTATTTTTAGTCTTTTAAAATGTCCTCTTTAATACTTTTGAATCTTAGCTCAATAGCTCAACTAATTAAGAAGTTATTAATGTTTTCTTAACTTTTTGCTAAGTTTTAGTTTTACTTTTCTCTGATTGGTCTAAAGTTTATAGAGTAATAAATCACTTTCCAATTCACATACTATTACTTTCTGATTGGCTCATAACATAGAAAATAGGGGAAAAGTTAATTACCTTTCGAAAATTACCGTATAAAACAGTATATATTTTACTGACACTGCAATTGATTCCGACCCCCTCTGAAGCAGCCCCTCAGAACAATTATACCCGAACACCTATCTAATTAGTGGACTCCGCCGCTTGTATATAAGTAGCATACCATCAGTGGTATCTTCAGATGAGTTCTGGACTTCAGTTAGGAATTAAGAACCTAATTAGGTAGTGAGTCTGCTACCGGCTGAAGTCACTCCACCCCTCTAGCTCCCCTATGGCTCAGTATGCCGATACAGTATGTAGTACTGCCCCTCACGAGTAACACATAGTACATTAGTACTATGTAATGTACTCACAGAGGTATCAATAGTACACAATATACTGTAACACTAGACAGTCTATCCTATGTGCTGTTGACCGTGTCGGACCAACAGTAATCGGTACTCTGTATTTCCCATATAATAATAATAAAGTATTTATTACTATACATTGTGTGTGTTATTCTTTCATCGGACACTCATCGTATCGTTAGACGGCCTAACATCACCCATCTCTCGGAGTCAACTCTACATATTGGCTTCTAAACGGATCGATCATCTCAAGACCCGTCACATTTGGCGCAGTCGGCAGGATCTGCAACGGCAACATTAATCGCCCGCTACCGTCTAACATCTCAACACACCGTACTGTATGTAAAATATACTTTAACTTTTTCATCGACGATATTTCTCATACGGCTTTCAATTGGTGCCGTCATCGCCTGGAAATATTATTACCGTTAAAATACTTATAAAATTAAATAACTTAGAAATTTTTCATACCGAAAACATGCATACGGTTTTCGCATAGTGCCGCTACCGCTTATATATATTTCGCGTCTAAATACTTTAAAAATATAAAAACTTGTATTTTTCTTAACCGACATTTTCTATACGGTTATCGCTGCATACACTAACCGATTAAAAACTAAGTCATTTTCACGGCAAAAGACTTAGAAAATTTTCAAACATTTTTTATAAAATTTATATATTGTATAAAATTGTAACGGATCGTGTCTGACTGTATTGTCACAGTACATAACTATCAGTGCATATACGTAAAGGGCTTGCCCCCGTTCTCCAGAATAAGTGTACGGTAGAAACGCAAAGTCTACGGGACGTGTGCCATAGAGCTATCCACTCCTTATATACATTGCAAAGTAAGCCGTACTCTTAGATCTGATCACTCAGTGGCTGGAATCGGTGTATAACATGCATTGTTAAGTACTAAATATAGTCTGAATACTAACCGAAAAACAATATATTTATACGTAACACACTACGACTACTGACCGACAATGGCTACTCCTACAACTACCGCTGACACAACCGTTTCTACCACTACTAGCGCACAAGTAGTGACTACAACTTCTACTTCACACCGGTATATACCAGTTGTAGTACCCACATCTACTGGTACACAAACTACACAATACATTCAAGTACCAGTCATGTCTACAAATGCTGATCCATTAACTACATTTCCCAATCAAATGCTTTCATCGCTACCGCCACCGAACCGACCAAATCTTTTCAAACTTGAAAGATTTGATGGTATAGATAAGTCAGTAAGAGTTCAGACTTGGCTTAAACTATACGAAGAACATACCGATGGCATGTCTGATATTGATCGCATACGCTCCCTTAAATATTTTCTCAAAGGACCAGCACTTGAATGGTATGGAGATGAAATCGTCGGCACAAACATTACTGATCGCCGTGTAGTCAACGTAATGATGACTCAACGCTTTGGGTCTGACACGTCAACACCGCTCATTGACGCTCAGAGACGGTATCTCAGACGTGAAGAAAAAGTAATCGACTACTATCGCGATAAGATGAGATATCTACGGCAATGCAGACTTACAGTACCCGATACTGTACAACAACTAACCGATGGGTTGCCTACTCACTGGAAACCATATTTTGCAACGGTTATCTGCAACACTACTAACCGTTGGCTTGAAGTAGCTCAACAACTCGAGTCAAATATGAAATCACAATACAGACCGTTTACTAAGCCGAAACACAAAACATTTCCTCGCACTATGACCGCTACTGACAATAACGCTCCGAAATGTCAATATTGCTATAGACTTGGAAACGAAGCCTATCACTGGCACCGAGAATGTCCAAACAATCCCAACCGTGGTAACACCCATACTATGCCCAATAAAACAAATAAATCGTACGGATCCAATCGTCATAATCGTAACGCAAATAATCGCAACGCTCAGGCCCAAGTGGCTGTGCCAACCGCTCAGGCTTTACAAACCGTGCACTTCCAATCAAACGAAACTTTAAACTAAACATGCGGCCGATACCGGACTTCATTGACATTACGGTTCAACTGAACACACATACCGCACGTGCATTTATTGATACTGGCAGTACCGTAAACATCATATCACAAAAGCTAGCAAATCAACTAAAACTGCCTATTGATAATAACAACCGTATAAACATACTTCAGGTAGACGGTAATGTCAACAGTATTGGTCGCTGTTCTCCTTTACTTACAATCGGATCGCAATCACATATAACTACATTTCACGTACTCGCAAACTTTCGTTATCCGCTATTACTTGGACTTGAAGTCGGTAAACGTTTTGGTCTTATAATAAACTTAAATACTCGTAAAGTCACCGCAAGCTTCACGCAAGTAAAGCCACTCGTATCACTACACTTGGAACCTAAACAAAACTCATCGCTTGAGAAACTACTCAAAACGCATACAAATGCATTCGCACAAAACGATACAGACATTGGACGCATACAAATTGTTAAACACAAAATTATTACTGTACCTCATCCGCCAATTCAGCTTCGCCCTTACCGTAGGCCTCAACATGAAAACGACGAGATCGTAAAAATCATACGCGAAGCCGAAGCTAAGGGACTCGTACGGAAAAGCACCGACAGTCAATGGGCTTTTCCTGTAACAATGGTACCAAAGAAAGACGGAGGCAAACGTCTTTGCATAGACTACCGTAGACTTAACGCTATCACTATCGACGACAAGATGCCGATGCCTCGTATAACTGATGTATTAGACCGCTTACAAGGCGCTCGTTATTTCACTACATTAGACGTTGCATGGGGTTACTGGCACATAGAGATGGATCTCAATAGCGTTGACAAAACTGCATTTGTCACTCACGAAAACCATTACGAATGGCTTGTAATGCCATTTGGCTTAAAGAACGCACCCGCAACTTTTCAACGCATTATACAACAAATACTTGGCCAACTGTTGTATAATGGAACCATTAATTATTTAGATGACATAATCATATATACTAAAACTTTTGATGAACACATCATTTTATTAAACAAAGTACTCACATTACTAACACAACATAATATTAAACTCAAACAAAGCAAATGTCATTTTGCTAGAACTGAAGTCGCATACTTAGGTCATGTAGTTTCATACCAATGTGTGAAACCATCAGAAGACAAAATCAAAGCTGTTAAAGACTTTCCTAAACCGCAAACATTACGTCAAGTCAGAAGATTTCTTGGACTGACCGGTTATTACAGAAGATTTGTTTCTAATTTCGCTAAACTATCAAAACCGTTAACCGAACTCACAAAGAAAAACATACCATTTCATTGGGGACCAGAACAAGAAAATGCATTTACAACATTAATCAATGCAATAACACAACCACCTATACTAGCATTGTACGACCCAAACAAAAGTTGTCGCCTCTATACCGATGCATCAAACATTGGTATCGGTGCTACACTTACACAATTAGGAGATGACAATAACGAACATGTCATTGAATACTATTCCCGTAAACTAAACAATGCTCAGCAGAACTACTCCGCTACTGAACTTGAATGCCTCGCTGTTAAGGATTCTATTGAACACTTTGAAGTATACCTTAGCCGAGAGTTTGAAGTCATAACTGATCATAAAGCACTTCAGTGGCTTTTCACACTTAAGAAACCTAAAAAGCGTTTACACATGTGGGCTGTAGAGCTGTCCACTTATCCAATGAAAATCATTCATAAGGAAGGACGTAATCAACAACATGTCGACGCCCTGTCACGAGCACCAATAACATTACATCTAACAGCTACTGAACTGATAGATGCGCAGAAAACAGCAGACCTTACATATGTAAAGTCTCCAATTCTAAAACATGGTGTCACTACTGTCAACCATAATGGTATACACAAAGCAGTAGTACCGGACACACTCAGACCTAAACTTTGTGAAATTTTTCATGACAACCATGGACATCCAGGAAAAGCAAAAACAGTTAAACTTATCACTAACTATTATTGGTGGCCAAATATTATTCACTTCATTAAACGATACGTTTCATCATGCCGTACATGTCAGCTTACAAAACTTGATCACAGGCCAACTCCAGGAAAATACATATGTCCTGAACCACAGTTGGAGCCACTCGAGCTTGTAGGTCTGGATACCATAGTTATGGGACCAGCAGCTAACACATGTAAACATAAATACATACAAGTATTTATTGATCATCATTCCCGATATATATGGGCTTTTCCTACAATTAAAAATACTACAGAAACTATAATCACATTATTCATTAATCTTATTAATTCCGGAATTCAATTTAAACGCATATTAACTGATTGTCATAAATCATTTACTGGAAAGTCATTTAAAGACTTTCTGTCACTTAATCACATAAAGCATTCACAATCAACCCCTTATCATCCACAAACCAATGGTATCGTCGAACGAGCCAATGGTACTATTATTGAAAAATTAAGAGCTGAACTGATCGATAAACCAAAGCGTAAATGGAATACATTACTTAAAGATGTAATCCGTAATTACAACAGAACACCACATGAAATCACTGGTTTTTCACCACAATTTCTAATGCTTGGTATTGAGGACAAACCTACATTTAGTTCACCATCTGTAACTATAGATGACGCTAGACAACTAGCAAATGATAAAACAAAACAAGCACAAGAAAGAAGGAAAACTCGTTTTGATGAAAAACATCATCACATCACTTATGAACCAGGAGATCGTGTTATCAGAATCATACCAGACAATCATCCGACAGTTGTCAAGACATCACCGAGATGGACTGGACCTTATTTTATCATTAAGCGTATTGGTGACGTTACTTATGACATCGCGACTACACTCTCCGGTCAAACATTCAGAGCTCACGTGTCACAGCTTAAGGGATTTGTCTCACGAGATCAAATCTTTTCAACGGGGGAAGAGTGTGATGAATCACTAATTAATACCATTAATTAATAATTATTTATATTATAACTTATATTTATTCTATTTAATATTATATTCAATGTATTTGTATACAATCAATATTCAATGTAAAGGACTGACTCTCTATATAGCATTGCTATATAGTATTATATAGCAAAGCATTAGTCTTCCCGTTACCCATAGCAACTCATCCAGAGCATCACTTAGTAAATAGAAAACACTATTTATTCAACTATTGATTAACATTACCTCACTGGCTTAGTGGTTAGCGTTTCACATAGTGAAGCATAATACCCGAGTTCGCGTCTCCCTTGAGTTTAGAATTTTAAACTAATTTATTTAAAATAAATAAATTAGTAAATATGAAACAAATTATTATTTTTAGTCTTTTAAAATGTCCTCTTTAATACTTTTGAATCTTAGCTCAATAGCTCAACTAATTAAGAAGTTATTAATGTTTTCTTAACTTTTTGCTAAGTTTTAGTTTTACTTTTCTCTGATTGGTCTAAAGTTTATAGAGTAATAAATCACTTTCCAATTCACATACTATTACTTTCTGATTGGCTCATAACATAGAAAATAGGGGAAAAGTTAATTACCTTTCGAAAATTACCGTATAAAACAGTATATATTTTACTGACACTGCAATTGATTCCGACCCCCTCTGAAGCAGCCCCTCAGAACAATTATACCCGAACACCTATCTAATTAGTGGACTCCGCCGCTTGTATATAAGTAGCATACCATCAGTGGTATCTTCAGATGAGTTCTGGACTTCAGTTAGGAATTAAGAACCTAATTAGGTAGTGAGTCTGCTACCGGCTGAAGTCACTCCACCCCTCTAGCTCCCCTATGGCTCAGTATGCCGATACAGTATGTAGTACTGCCCCTCACGAGTAACACATAGTACATTAGTACTATGTAATGTACTCACAGAGGTATCAATAGTACACAATATACTGTAACACTAGACAGTCTATCCTATGTGCTGTTGACCGTGTCGGACCAACAGTAATCGGTACTCTGTATTTCCCATATAATAATAATAAAGTATTTATTACTATACATTGTGTGTGTTATTCTTTCATCGGACACTCATCGTATCGTTAGACGGCCTAACATCACCCATCTCTCGGAGTCAACTCTACATATTGGCTTCTAAACGGATCGATCATCTCAAGACCCGTCACAAATATATTTTAAATTATTGATTACATATTATATTATTACATATGCATTACATATACTTAGGGTTAGATTGAGATTCCCAGGGAGGGAAGTTCCCAAATAAAATCCCTCCAATTTTCCCGGAAAATATGGAAAATATATTATATTCCCTCCCTTGATCGTTAGAAAGGGAAAATATAATTTGTCATACATTATAAAGTACCTAATCTCAATGACTATGTGTTTCAATTGGGACCAGTATGTTAGCAATAACTCAATCAAAATATGATTCAAATATTATTAAACATTTAGTAAAAACATTAAATACATTTTGCAGTCATTTACTATACAAACGTGTTTTTAATTAAACATTATGTAATGTGAGTTATGGTACGATAGGTGGTACCACAAGGAAATGTCTTCCCAGGGAATTCCCAGGGAAGAGGGAATATAAGGAACTTATGGAAAATAAGACGAGGGAGGGAATCTGATCTAACCCTACATATACTGTATTATATGAATCCATTGGTTATATGGTATATAATAGGTGTCACTATTTTTTTGTACATAACATGTGTTTGTATTGTTGTTGTTGTTATAGTTTGTAGTATTGACTGCATTATTGCCAATCAATTGCAAACACTTAACAAACTTGTGGTTAAAAGACAACAACAACCAATTGATCCACAATTTTGTTGTTATAATTGTCGACAATTAGTGTCACCACCGTCTCTGGTCAAACAACTAATCCATCCGATCATCAGATGAGTAATCCGACAGAAAAGGCGTTACAATTGTTGCGGTATTTGCCGCGCGTTTCGCATAACAATCTGTCACCGAATCCGTACTTCAAGAAGAAGGTAATTACCGAAACAAACAGACAGACAGACAATACGGTTATTATATTATTATTTTTTTGATGATAATCTATTTTTTGTATTTTTTGTTGTTGTTGTTGTTGTCCACACATTTGTTGATGACTTTCGGCTGCTTTTCGTCGTCGTCGCCGCCGCCGTCGTCCAGACGCGTAAGGTTGGCCAGTATTTACAGCGCGAAAAGATCAATCATAGCAACCGCGAACGGCAACGCTATTGGCCGGTTGGCTACGAAGGCGGACGGACACCGTTTTACTTGAAGATACCCATCGAGAACTACTACAAGAATCACAAGTGAGATATCATTTAGTTTTTTTTTTGCTAATCGTTTAGTTTACCGATAATTTGTTTTGTTTTGTTTTTCCCGGTATATAGATATCGCCGACAATATCCGCCGCTAACATTGTTTCAGTTGCAACTGATGATAGACAACGGTGCCATCAATCCAAGCGAACCAATTGATTTAACCAACATTTGCAATACAAACTTCTATCGTATTGAACCGCAATTCAATCATTTTGGTTGCCATCTGACTGATGAAGGTATCAACGAGTTTAAGGCCAAAGTAAACATTGAAGTCCAGTATGTCCGCGAACCGGTTATTGCGGCCATTGAACGTAACGGCGGTGTTATTACCAGCGCTTACTATGATATCAATAGTATTATAGCACTGTATCGGCCGATCGAGTTCTTCAAAAAAGGCGAACCAATACCCAAACGCCTGTTGCCGACAGTAGATCTGGTCGAGTACTATACGGATCCGAAAAACAGAGGCTATTTAGCCGATCCCGTAAAAGTTGAAGAAGAAAGAAAACTGTTGGCCCAGAAGTATGGCTACGAGTTGCCGGACAATAGTGTTATGTCCAACGATACGGTTATGAGAGTACGCAAAGATCCGCGTCAAGTATTTTTCGGTTTAGAACCCGGTTGGGTCGTCAACTTGAAAGACAAACAAATTTTGAGGCCAACAGATCCCGATTTAGTCGAATATTACCGAAATTGATGGACCATTTAAATCGGTTAATCAATCAGTTAATCGATGATTAGTTTTATATATATATATATATATATATATATACACATCACTGATATGTATGTATATCAGTAGTCATTTATTTAGTAGCGTTTATATAATTAAAAAAATCTTCATTATTATGTTAAATGTATTATGAAATTAAATAATAAAAATAATTATCAAATTTTTTTCAAAATAATATTTGAAAATCTCTTTTAAATCAATAGAAACATCATTAATATATTTACGGTTACCGTAAATCTCAATATATTATAAGTTATACAGTATATAGTATATTGTTTTTCTTATTTTATATCATTATTATAGTTAGTAAACTATTGGCTATTTTTCCTATAAATTGGCAAATAATGAKAAAATTTTGTTAACTTTGATAATTTGATTTAATAATTTAAAATATTTAAGTTTTTTTAGTTAAGTTAAATTTTTAATACTAAAAATAAATTCTAATATAATATTATATCTCTCTATAATTTTAATTGTATTGTACTCTAATAATAATAATACCAAATATTATATAATTAATTGCTTTCAATTTTTTTTTCTTTTTGAAACCTTTGAAACCATTTTAACAATTATTAATTTCTTCAAAAAAAATGTTTGAAATAAATCTATAGTTTAAAAATCAAAATAAAAACAAAAATGCTATTATTTACTGTACAATATGTTAATAACCTATTGAATAATCAAAATTTTTCAACTAGCAATTTAAGCACGTRCAGTTATTAAAAAATAAATAAATATTTTAAAGTTAAAAATTGGGTCCAATGTTATAAAAATAAAATAAATTGGGATATATATGATATTAATATATATATATATGTATATTAAAATAATATACTAGCATAAAATGATATTGCATAAATCAAATAAAAATAATCTATATCATATTTCACCCCAAATTATTATTATATAATATGATCTACCATCTATTTAATTCAATGATAATTTCTAATGGCGCCAATAAACTTTTTTTGTACTTCAAAAAAACAAAAAATTTCAAGGTTAAGTAATAGTCATAACTTATAATATATACTAATAATATATCGTAAATTTATATATATATATAATATAATCTTGAAATAAAAATATTATATTTTGTTTTTGTTATCTTAAAAATATTTTCTGCACAAAATACCTTACTTTATATTATAACAGTAWATTTGTTTAATTACTTTTCAAAAATATTCAAAAAAAATATGATCCAAATGATTGGGTACTATTATACTAATATCTACCCCCTCCCACCCCCACCCCCATTTTATTAACCATACAGTTTAATACAATTAGGCAATAACTTTGACACTTAACCCGCAACAACAAAAAAAATTGAAAAACTAACAGTATATAAGTTGGAGCACAAAATTTTATTTTCACAACTATCTAATTAATAAAACTTTTCGACAAAATTTTTATATTTTTAAACCAAACATTTAGTATATACTGTATATAATCAGTTTTTTCCCAACAATTATTTCGAGACAAACAATATGTATAAATCATCGAAAAGTTCGGGTAATGGTGGCCGTGGCGGCGGTGATGAAAATAATCGCCCCAATAACCAACGGTTTGGTGGCGGCGGCGGACACGGATCGGCCAACAACAACAATGGCAATGGAGGTGGACATGGCCCGTGTCAACGGTGCTATAATCACCATCAAATGGCACAACATAGTAATTATATATATATATATATATTAAAATTATACTAAATTATAATTGATATATAAATTTATAAAAAAAATATTTATTTAATAAAAAATATTTAGCCTATTTAAAAAAATTATTTTTTTTGTTTTTTTAATTAATTTTTAGATAATGCCTACACTTGCAAATATCGTGATTGTGAATGTGTGCGATGCCGTAATTGTTAACGATTTTGAGTAGTATTATATATATATATAATATTTAACTCACACTCCTATGAAATTCTAACCTACCCCCACCCACACCCCCTGAACACCTATCACCCAGTGGTGGGCGAGCAGGAATGGGTTACTATAAACCATATAAACTGTATTAACTTTATTATATATATAAATATATATATATATAGATTTTTTTAGTAATTTTTTTTAAAAATTAAATTGTCTATACACTTTATTTGTATTTCAATAGAATTTATTGTTTAATTGTCATTTAATATCACAATAAATAAATTGATAATAAAATTTAAATAAATCAATATTTTTTAAATCTAAATATTTTGATAAAACATTGTTTTCAAAAATTTTAAATGCTTTTAATTAAAACAACTTTTAATAATATTAAACTATTAAATATAATTATTTATAAATAATTTAATTCACAAATAATAAACTTTATTTTAAGCTAAATATGTTTTTAATTATTTCTATTATATTAAATCAATAAAATTGAAATTATTATCATATTATAAAATACTTTAATATATTATTATTATTATTATATTTTATTATTACTTAAAAAAACCAAAATAAATATTTTTAACAACATTTTGAGTATTATAAAAAAAATTATATTAATGTAGTAAATGATATGACTAATTTTTATATACAATTTATAAAAAATAACCCTTAATTAACAACAGTTACTAAAAATATTATTAAGAAAAAAAATGAAAAACTAACTAACAGTTAGTTTATATGATAAGTAGAAACACAATTATATCCATTAGTATTATCTATTATAATATATATATAATTATAGACATATTTAGAAAAAACAATTCAAAATTATATTTTTATTGAAAAAATAGTTTTCCTTAAAAACTATTGTGTGTTAAACAACAACAAAAACGATGTTAAAGTCGACAATAAGTTCAGTTAACGGTACGGGTGGTGGTGTTGGTGGTGATGGTAGTGGCGATGACAGCAATAAAAATAATAACCAATTGTTTGGCGGAAGATACGGATCGGCCAACAAATACAACAACAACAATGATAACGCAAATCACTGGAACCGATGTCAACGATGCTATAATCATCAGGAATTTCAACCAAAATGTATTATTATATAAAAATATTTGATTTTTATTAAATAATTAATTTTCTTTGAAAAAAACTATATATACTATAAATTTATATGTTATTATATACCATATTATAACATATTATCATTCATTTAAAGTACTTTTAATTATTTTTTAAAATCTAGATCATCCCTGGTGCAAATTTATAGATTGCATTTGTAACCGGTGCCATAATAATCAACTATAATAAAGTTATAACGTTGTGTAAAACATACCACTCCTAATATATATATAAATTTATATATAATTTTTGTTTAATATTTGAGAATTTAAAAAAAAATATTTTATTATATATAAAAATTATAATGAATAAAATTATTATTATATTAAAAACAAAAATTACTAATAATTATGAATATTTTAGTTAACTTTATAATTAAATTATTGTACTATAAGTATTGAAAAATATAATAATTATTATTATTTTTATTATCAGGACTATTAAATTATTGTTCCCTAAAACTACAAACTTTATTATAAGATTTTAATGTTAAACTGTTTTTTAAAATTTTTCTATTATAAATATATTAAACTTATTATTCATTTTTACAACAAAATTAATATTTTTATTTTAATTATAAGACAATGAAATATATACTTTAGTATTGTATAATATAATATTTATTAATTTATATATATATTACAAATTATTATTTTTAATCTTTATTATAAATTAAATAAACTTTAAAATGATATATTTTTAATTAATGGTGTCTTAAGTAAACTATGATATTATATATATATATCTATTTGAAATAATATTCATTAGATTCATAAGACATCAATTTTATATAATAATTGAAAACAAAAATAACTTTTTTAATGTAATTAATATTGTTTTTTGAAATTATATATATATATTAAAAAACATATTTAAATTTTCTATTTTTAAAAATTTTACGTCATTAACCAACAAAATTTTTTTTTTTAATTTTGCAAACATATAAATATTAGGTATTTTTAGTTATTAACTTACAAACAGTTAAACAGTAGTAAAAACAATTAAATAAAAGGTATAACAAAATTATAGATTATTTTTTTTAATAATCAATTAGTTTACTGAATAAGTTTACTACTATTTTGTTCACAATTAACTTTTTGTTTTTTTCCAAAATATAAAAAAATTATATACAGATTCTATACTATAAATTTTATATAGTATAAAATATACATTATTAAAAAAAATAAATAAAAATAATTGATGTCAATGTCGATGATGATGATGTCTAATGGTAGCAACGGTTTCATCAATCAGACTACTGGTGCTTGTAATCAACAGCGTTGGTCAATGTTATGGTTGAGACTAATGATAGTCATCTATTGCTATATAACTTGTTTGACTACTACTGTCCGTATGAACTGCGGTAATGAACGAGACTGTCCATCGGGTCAGACATGTTGGTACGTAAAGGGTCACGAATGTTATAAACGTAACGATTTAAATAGTACTACTGTTCCTCCCGTGGATATCATCAGTAATACACCGCTTCCTATTATTATTAATTCAACTGATTGTCTATTAACTGGTTGTCCAAATGATGATAGATGTTTAGCATCATATCATTATAAGTGTATAGAGAAAAAGTAATTAAAAATTATTTGTAATTTAACCAACAAAACAAAATACAAAACAAAATGTATTACATTTAAAAAATTTTACTAAAATGTATTTTACTTTGTTTTTTAAAAAATAATCTTGTTGTTAAATAAATATATAAATGTCTAATTTAATTTAATTTTATTATTAATAGATTACTGTCAATAGATTGGTATATATTTTCTGAACAATAATATACTAACAATTTTTTTTATATATAATTTATTTCTATTATATTATAATTTTTAACAATAAATATTTTCTAGTATATAATTTTTTTTTTGAATAGAATTTATAATTTCATTTTAAATAAATATTAATTTAAATATAATTTTTGTTTTGTTTATAAAATGTGTTACCTATATTGAAAAAAATATTGTCGACATTTATGATCACAAATAAAAAGTTGAATCAATTTATTGGATGTTAAGACTATTTGCGCTATTAGTTTGATTGGTTATGAAATCACAATTTAGATCTCAATATAATAAATCTTTAACAATACCTACCGTTCCTCTATAGGACTATCTAATTGTCGTTGAATTATACGATATATACATATAGTAATAGTAAAGATATTATTTATTATTCATCATTTCATTCGGTTATATTATAATTGATTGTATTATATAACTGTATATAAATTGATTACAAAATTAAATTAACTAAAAAAAACAATTATTATTATTTTTCCCACAAATAAAAAAACACATCAATTAAACCATCAGTTTTGTATCGTCAGACATCTTCATCGATCATCATCTTCTTCTACTTCACTCTATCAATGTATTTGTTGCGGAACCGTGTCTTTCAAATCGGTTTTACATTCGGCCGGATTGGGCGCCGACTCATAGCATGTCATTACTATAGCGTCTCGATTTGTCTGAAAAAAAATGAGAAAACAAATACAAATAAATATATCATAATATCAATAGTTTTTTTCATAAATGGTTTGCTTAGGTTTGATGAATGACCACAAAAACAACAATTACTTTAGTAAACTCTCCTCTAAGACCAATGTAATAGACTTTTGTTGTTTCGTTGCCAAAGTTCTTCGGTATGTGAATAGTCAAGTGATGTACGGATGAAAATTTGACAATTCTTAAGGGAAAATCAATTATCAATTATAAAAAAAATAAACAAACAATTAAAACAACTTAATTTAGCCATCAATTTAATTGTTTTCATTGAGAAATTAATTAATTAATTACTTAATTATATATTCAAGTGTGCCGTTCGTGTCTCTCATTGTCTCAAACTCTTGATCTGCTTCGACGGTCACGTCATCAAAGTTCATATTCGGACGGTTTTTAAATCTATTTTTTAGCATATAATTAAAAATATAATAAAAATAAGCGTCAATTAGATCCCAATAGTTTTTGATTAGTTATTTGATAACAATTTGATGATAACAATAATGATTGAAAATCTGTGCTTACAATCGGATCCGCGATGGATGAGACTCGTCATCGCTGCCGATTACGATCAGACCTTTTAGTTTGACATTTCCGGTAAATCTAATGTCATATAAAAATAACCAATAAGTTGTTTGTTAGTTATTACACACAAAAATAATAATAATAATATCAATAAATCAAATATAATATTTAAAAAAAACTAACGGTATCTTAAAGAGCAGTTCTTCATCGCAATCGCTTTCGACGTACTGTAAAAAACACAAACAAAATAATAATCAGTTGTTATTGCATGTTGTCATCAAATGGGATCAGTTGGTGATCAACTAGTGATCAAATACCTGTTCAAAGTTTAGTCTATCTTCCCACGGCTTGAATACCAGTTTACCGGAACCTTCGACGGCCTCATTGAGACACTCGATACGATCGGTATCGATGCGAGTGTACAGACTGTACAGTATACCCATGTCTTCGGTATTGTTGATAGACTGGTGGCCTTCGCACGAGTGGTCGCAACAGTGATTTGGCATTTCTTTTATCTGGCGGTCGGAACAATTGGATCTATCTATCTATGGATCAATTGGGTGATTGTTTGAAACGGCAATGAAGCGGCGGCGGCAGCGGACACACACAGCAGTTGGCGAACAACAACAACAACAACAAAATGACTTCAGTGTCTGTATATTAAGTACTTGTGGTCAGTTCGGGTGCGGCGGCAGCAGTGATATCAATGAGTGGACAGAAATTGAGTAAAGAAGTGGTAAACTGATTGTCAAACAAAACACAAATAAAACAAAACATTAGAAAAAATATTTGGAAAACAAATGAGTCATTCAATGATTTAGTCATTCATTCATTTATATTATTAATACAGTAATAGTCAGTCATTGAGTGATGCAATCATATGTAACAGTGTTTGTGAACGACTCGTCATTTGATTTTTTGTTTCAAAACAAACTTTTTTTTCAAAAAAATGAAACGAAAACAACAATTGTCTTAACATTTGATCCATAGTTTCTGTTTCTGTGAATGATATCGACAACAGTCCGCTTAAGACACACTGGTTTTGCAAGTATTAGATCTGTTTTGTTGTCGTTGTTTCAGCCGAAGATGTCCACAACAATAACAACTGTCCGCACGACACGATCGCAGACGCGTCTGAAGTCGTCGTCGTCTATATTGCCGTCGATGACAACAATCAAGAAGAAGAAGAATAATAATAATAAGATGACCACTAAAAGTCAAGATAACCAGATGGTCATCATCGAGACAAGTGTATACTTTGGTGACACCGATAGTGATAAAGCCAATAACAACTCATCGACAACAACTGTCCAAAAACCGAATGTCCAAAACAAAAGACAACGAAAATCAGTTGTTGAGTCCACTGAAGAGCCGAAAAATTGGCGACAATTACTTGAAAATATAAGACAAATGAGAAGCGATAGGAATGCAGTGGTCGACAGTATGGGCGCCGAAAAGACTTACGATGAAAATGAAGGCAACGATAAAGACAAACGCTTTCAGATATTGATATCACTGATGCTGTCGAGTCAGACCAGAGATGAGATAACTTATGCAACAATGCAATCGCTGCGTAACTATGGTCTGACTGTTGACCATATTATTGCTACCGATGATACACTGTTGATGGAAATGATACGATCGGTTAGTTTCTATCGTAATAAATGCAAATTTATTAAACGAACAGCTATTATACTGCGGGATCAGTTTGACGGCGACATTCCCGACACACTCGATGGACTGTTGTCACTGCCGGGAGTGGGTCCTAAAATGGCACACTTGGCGATGAAAATCGCTTGGAATCAGTTGACAGGAGTGGCTGTCGATACACACGTTCATCGTATTTGCAATCGTTTGAAATGGACAAACAATACGAAGACACCGGAACAGACACAAAAACAATTGGAAAAATGGTTGCCGAAAGAGGATTGGGATGACTTTAATCTGTTGGTTGTCGGCTTTGGTCAGACTATTTGTTCGGCAATTAAACCCAAATGCAATGAATGTCTTAATCAAAGTCTGTGTCCGTTTGTGTCTTCATCGACGACGACGACAACAAAGATTAAGAAGAAAAAGAGTGCCAAAGATATCGAATTTTAGACAAATTGTTTGTTTGTTTTGTTTTATTGAAATGTTTTTATTGAATATCACCAAAAAAAATATAAGCCATTAATAGAGTAAATGATATAATCATTTCATGCTTTTTATGAAAATTATTTTTGTTTTACCGTAAATCTCATTATAATAATAATATTTGTTATTTAATCATATTCTTAAAAAAATTGTTTTTGTTTTAATATCATATATAATATGAATAAATATTATTATTATTATTATTACCGGTAGTTAAATATCTCACCCAAAAATAGGTGATGGCGGCCGACTCGGCGGACTAGTTATGCCAACGTTTGTCCAAAGAGACAACAATTTGTCAAAACTAGCACTGATTTGACTGTCGGTCTTATCAATCAATTTACTTTGAATGGCCGCCACATCCGTCGTAGCAATAGTAGCGGCCTTACCGTCGCTCACTTGACTAGTTTGTGGACCTCTTTTTTCTGAACAAAAGATGTTCGGCTTATTCGACAATAAATTGGACATCAATTGAGTTTTATTAAGTGGTATTGATTTCGACTTCGGCTTTGACTTTGGTTTACTGTTAGCCGACTGTTTCGGTTTGCTTAAGACATCTAGTTTTGTTGTTATTGTTAACGGATTGGTGACCACTAAACGTTTCGCCGGAATTTTACGACTTGGCTTTTTCGGCTTACTTTTTGATGATTTTTTCTTCTTGTTGTTCATCGCGGGTGACGGTAACTCCTCTAACGATGGCATCACTTTGTTTGCCATTTTCAATGGACTTAAGACAATCATAGGTTGTGTTTGCGATACAATCTTTTGGATCTCAAAGTCTTCAGTAATTGAAGAAACTGTAATTGTTTTCACCAAAAAAAAAATAAAATAAAACTTTTTATTATTACCGATATTTCTAAAGTTAGATCTAGAAGATACCGTTTTACTACTCTTCGTACCATTACTTATGAGTTGATCAAAGACAGGCTTAAATATCTGTAACATTTGCGGCTGATTTCCATCATCATCATCATTGGTAGAGGTAACCAATAACTGGTGACCATTGTCTATATGATTGACCGAATCGATGACATTACCGCTTTGTGTATGTCCAGAAGCCAGTGACTGATCCATTTCATGATCATCACTGTCATCGTCACAATCACAACCATCATTATCATTGATATCATCGATGACATCATAAAGTTCGGCCATTGCCTGACACAACAGTTGAGTAATACGGCCAATACGTTCTCGATATCGGCAGCGGTGGTGACCACTATAGGTTTTTCGTCGTTTGGTGGCCATCGATGATGACGTCGATGACATGTCCGTTGATATCGGATCCGATGATGACAGTGAAGACGACATTATTTTGATGGTCACTAAAACTACTAATTAATAAAAAACAATTTGTTTGAAAACTATTTATATAAAAAAAAACTTTTATTAAATATTTATAAATTATTTATAAGAAGTTTTCATAAAATCTTATACAATATAACTTTAAAAACTAATTGTTTTAACTTTATTTAAAACTAATGGTTAATAAAAAAAAGTTTTTTTTTAATGATTTTTACTATAGTTTTTAAAAAACAAACCGGAAATCAGTTTCAACTCTGACACTACACTACTATTAATATTATAATTACAGTACAAGTAATTGTCGGCACATTTGATCTATAATTTTATTTTTTTATTTTTTAAAAATTAAAAAAATTGTATTTAATATAAACGCAATCCAATATAATATATCAATAGATATCTAAACCCTATTTGAAATTATTATGATATAACATAAAACCCAAATCGTTTTTTATATATATATATATATAATTATTACCTGATTTGTGTAAGTTTTAAATGTAATTATTTATTATAAAAAAAAATTGCCGATAATTATTTTAACTACTAAATAAAATTAATAGAATTTTTTTTAAAAATAAATAAAATTTTATTTAATCAATTTATTTATCTATAATATAATTATAGATTCTATATTTATATGGGAAACTATATCTCTAAAACTTTAAAAGTTTTTTAAAAACCAAACCGTTTTATAGTAAATATAGAAAAGTTATTTTAATGGGAAAAACTAATAAAAGTAAATATAACTAAATTTCAATCAATGTTCCCATACTTTTGACTATCTATTCCTAGAAACCTATTGTCGGTATCTCTCGAACAACCCTTTGAACCCAACCCTATGTACCACTTTTATCACAGTTTATACCTTAAAATATCAATTAAAACTATTGTCACACACATACACAAACACACATACATTCATTTCAATTATATCTTATACACAGATATCATACATATTTCTAAAAATAAGACCACACTTTGAAATGTGGGTCAAACTGACCTTCCAGTGGCCAACCATTCAATACATTTTATTATATGTTAAAACCCTATATAAATGTATGTCAAACAATAGATACGTATGCGTTGTATACCATAGTCTATGCTTATAGACATCATATCATATATGAAATACAAATATTTCATATCAAATGTATTTTCAATAATAAAGTTTTAAATAAAGTTTTTTCATTTTCACTCAACACATCGACTGCAATTCATTTCAATTGTTTTTTATAATTCATACCATATTTTTACGCCACGACATATAGTCGGCAGGATTGTGACCACAATCCCGATCAATGAATTTAAAAGTTTTCATTAGTGCATCAGTTTTTATATTATTGTTAACTGCAAGTTGTATTGTGAGCGCCGGTATATTCAGTAGACTATACAGAATCGGTAAAAAACTTGTTGTGCCAACAGTTGCCGTCGACCGAACCATTAGATCAGCCGAAGAAATAGTGAAGGCTATTGACAAAAGTGATAAACATATCGACGAGCAAACCATCGCTGCAATAATCGCACTCCTGAAGAATGGCACCAAAGAGAAACACCCGTCAGTCAACTCAAACAGCACCGGCACCGACACCAACAGTACAACCTATGAGACAAACAAACACAACAACACCCAACACATCTCCACAAGACGTTGATCCGCCAAACAATGACAACACTCGCCCAACACAGCAATTGGTGGACATCGATGACAGCTCCGACACCGAGATTTACGATTCATCGCATATCAAGCCATCAAACAGTAAGCCTAAGATTCAAGTATATAAAGGTTTAGGAGATAAGATCTCAATAGAAAATTGGTTTAAACGCTATGAAATGATAGCAAAATATTATAAGTGGACAGACAGTGATAAGGCTATACTATTAGGTAATCATCTCGAAGATGATGCTCTCAATTGGTATATCGAAAACTTCGATAACCAAAGTTTTGATTCAATCAAAAATAAATTACTGTACAGATTCGGCATTGAATCTATTGAACCCATTGTAGAGTTTGTAAACTTAAAATATGATGTAAGCCAAGGCATAAAAGAGTACTTTGAAGCAAAGCGACGATTAGGTGTAGCGGCAAAACTAACTGAGTCTCAGATGATTCCCTTAATGATCCATAATTTACACCCAAAAATGGTTGAATGTTTCACGGCTGTGAAACCAAAAACATTTGCAGATTTTTATACGATAGCAAAAACTGCAGAAAATAACTTAAAGCGCTTCCAATCAATTGCTAAATCAAATGCTGTGTCAAACAAACCAATAGCAAAGCAAAAATATGACCAAAAATTAGATAAACCAAAACGCAAACCCATGTCCCCTTGTTTTATATGTGAAAAGCTTGGACTTAAAGGCCGGTATCACTGGTCTAATGAGTGTTTAAACAAAGGCAAACCTAACACAACACAGACAACTAATGCTAAAAAAATTAACAATTTTGAAGTCAATAATGACATCACAGAGTCTGTCGAAAACGACATCAATTCAATACATTTAAACTAAATAAGAGACCTAATCATCAAAAACTAATCAAAATTTATGCTATTATTGATAAACAAATATTTCATATTATTTTTGATCCCGGAGCTAATGTTAGTGTCATTAGTGATCAAATAGTTAAAAAGTTAAAACTACCATTTAATAAACAGATAACACATTTCAAATCTATTAATAATTCAAATTCATGTTTAGGTCTCGTAAATATTACATTAACCATAGGTTCACTAACTCATGTATGTACAGTATATGTCATTCAAAAATCTAACCATAATTTTCTATTAGGTTTAGATTTAATAAAAAAATTCAATTTACATATGAATAGCAATTATCAGATTATATAAACATTTACAAACAATAATATCACCCAAACAGATGAGATATTATCAAATTATACAGAAAATCAATGCATTGACAATAATTGTCACATAAATACCAATGAGATGCTTATCTCAAACCCTTTAAACAGTGATCAGCAAAACAAATTGCATGCAATCCTAACCAAACATTCAAACATATTCTCAATAAATAAATACGACATCGGGTTAATAAACACCGAAAAATGCACAATAAATATCACAAACAATGTCCCAATAAATTTACGTCCGTATCGGTGCTCACCATCGGATCAACAGGTAATCGATGATCAAATCGATAAATTACTAGAAAAAGGATTTATTAGGAAAAGTGTCAGTCCATACAGTTTCCCTATAACTCTCGCTTACAAAAAAGACGAGGGTACAAAAAGCCGGCTAACCATAGATTATAGGAAACTAAATAAAATTACAATTCCCGACAATTTTCCGTTCCCGCTATTCAATGACATTGTAGACAAACTCATAGATTGTGAGTATTTCACAACCCTAGACATAACTAGTGGTTTTTGGCACATAAGAGTTGACCAAAAAGATATACATAAGACAGCATTTGTCACTACAAATCAACACTACGAGTGGCTAACTATGCCGTTCGGCTTCAGGAACTCTCCTATGATTTTTCAGAGAGTTATACAAAATATATTAATTAAATATAATTTAAATAATTTTGCTCATAATTATTTAGATGATATCATAATACATTCAAAATCATTAACTGATCACATAAAACATATTGAAAAAACATTAAGTGCATTAAAGTGCGAAAACATAAAATTAAAATTAACAAAATGTAAATTTGCAAAAAATACTGTACAATATTTAGGTCATTATATAACTAAAAACAAATACACACCAATAAATGATAACATTATTGCAATTAAAAATTTCCCTAAACCAAATACAGTTAAGCAATTGCAACAATTTTTAGGAAAAATCAATTTCTATTATAAATTCATACCAAATGCATGCAAACAATTAAACCCATTATATAATCTACTCAAAAAAGATACTCAATTTAAATGGGATACCGAATGTGAAAATGCATTCAATTGGGTTAAAACATACCTAACAAACAAACCAGTCTTATCTATATATGACGCAAATAAAGAATGCATACTCTATACCGATGCCAGCAAAATAGGTACCGGAGCCGTGCTTAAGCAGATGCAAAGTGACGGTAAACTACACCCGATAGGCTACTTTTCTCGTAAGTTATTAAACTATCAGAAAAACTATAATGTCTCAGAGCTTGAGTGTCTAGCACTGGTCCAGTCGCTTGACTACTGGCATCATTATCTCTACGGCAATCAAGTGATTGTATACTCAGACCATAACCCATTAAAGTGGTTAAACTCAATTAAAAAACCGACAACACGTTTGTTCAATTGGGCTCTCAGGATAGGACAGTATAATCCTGATGTCAGGTATATTACTGGTAAAACTAATATCGGTGCAGACCTATTGAGTAGAAACCCTGTACTCGAAGGTAATGATAAATACTGTACTACAAAATTTCTCAATATATTAGAGCTAACAGATAATTGTCAAACATTACCAATAAATATCATAACTACAGACATAATAGTTGAAACACAAAAACCATTCATTAAAATATTACCCAAACATTGTATTCTTGAAAACAATATCATAATCAGACAAAAGGCTGACACCAAACGTATATACATACCCGACCCGCTCATACCTAAACTATTAAGTATTGTTCATAAAAATTATGGTCATATAGGTGCTCATGCTATGACACAATTGATTTGTAGCGCATATTATTTCAAAAATATACACAATCATATCAATGATTATTTAACCAAATGTTTAGTTTGTCAAACAAATAAAATTAGTAGGAAACAAAAGTTGGGATCACTGTCCCAAATAGGTCCGGCACAGCAACCGTTTGATATCATATCCATTGATACAGTCGGTGGTCTGGCCGGGTATAACTCAAAGAAACAGTATATTCATGTAGCTATTGATAACTTCAGTCGCTTCCTATGGACTACCGCTTCCAGTACTCAAAGTGCTAAGGATTTTATATAATTAATCAAAAATGTTTGTCAAACACATAAACCAAAACTAATTCTGGCCGACAGGTACACAGGTATCAAAAGCAATGAATTTAGTAATTTTCTTGAAAAACACAACATTAAAATCATGTTTATTACAACAAATTGCCCGCAATCTAATGGGTTATGCGAACGTATAAACCAAACATTAGTTACTAGACTTCGCTGTAAAATCAATGATAATAATCAATCAATTTGTTGGCCAAAATTACTAAACCATTGTACACACGAATACAACAATACAGTACATTCAACAACACAATACACCCCAAACTATTTATTATTTGGCGTCAAACCATTTGACCACTACATGTATGGATCTCAGGTTACAGTAGATAAGGCGCGAAAAAATGCATTTAAAAATTCATTAAATAGTCATACAGTGAACAAATCATATTATGATAGACATCATAATCCATTTGAATTCAATGTAGGAGACCTAGTATTAGTCGACTATAAAAATAAAATATCGCGTAAAAAGTTAGATCCATTAATGTGTGGCCCATATAAAATTGTAAAAAAATTATCTAACATATCATATGTACTAAATTGTGATAAGAAGGGCAAAAGTACCGACACATACCATATATCCAAACTCAGACCATACATACCTGAAGGGATGTCATAAAACCCAGGGATGTAAATATAGAAAAGTTATTTTAATGGGAAAAACTAATAAAAGTAAATATAACTAAATTTCAATCAATGTTCCCATACTTTTGACTATCTATTCCTAGAAACCTATTGTCGGTATCTCTCGAACAACCCTTTGAACCCAACCCTATGTACCACTTTTATCACAGTTTATACCTTAAAATATCAATTAAAACTATTGTCACACACATACACAAACACACATACATTCATTTCAATTATATCTTATACACAGATATCATACATATTTCTAAAAATAAGACCACACTTTGAAATGTGGGTCAAACTGACCTTCCAGTGGCCAACCATTCAATACATTTTATTATATGTTAAAACCCTATATAAATGTATGTCAAACAATAGATACGTATGCGTTGTATACCATAGTCTATGCTTATAGACATCATATCATATATGAAATACAAATATTTCATATCAAATGTATTTTCAATAATAAAGTTTTAAATAAAGTTTTTTCATTTTCACTCAACACATCGACTGCAATTCATTTCAATTGTTTTTTATAATTCATACCATATTTTTACGCCACGACAAATATAATTATAGATTCTATATTTATATGGGAAACTATATCTCTAAAACTTTAAAAGTTTTTTAAAAACCAAACCGTTTTATTTTGTTGCTAACCTACTCTATTGTAGCCTACAGTACAGTATAGCTATAGTATAGTATACTATAGCTTATGGATGGTATTGCACTAACAGAGTAATTGTTTAATTTTTTTAAAAAAGTTAAATATACTGTATATATATTAATTGTAATTTAATTAATTATTTTTTAAAAAAATTATTTTTAACTATAAAATCATTTTAAATGTTTGTTTAAAAGTTAATAGTATATTATAATATTTAATTGCTTAATCACTATTATTACGATGACTATTAATTATACAGTAGTATAATGTACTTTTAGTTATTTTAATATCCATTGAAAAATATATTTAACAAAAATTATTAAAATAAAATTAATTTTTTAAATGTCTATATTTAAACAAAACGATAGTTTTAAAAAAGTTTATCTAACCACAAATAATAATAATAATAATAATTTTATAATCAAAATTTATTTAGACATCTGAAAAATAAATGAAACACAAATTCATTATTATTAATAATTTGTTTAATTTTCTAATTAGAAATAATAAAATATTTTTATCAACTTAATGATATGCAAATATGCTGACAAAATTTTTAAAAAAAAATTTATATTAATAACTTAAATATTTATATAAAATATTTTTTTTATTTATTTAAATAATTAAATTGTCTGACAATCACATAATACATAAGCATTTATTTATTAAAATATTTAATATAAATTTTTGTTGTTATGTATTTTTATGAAATCTGTATTAATTTAACTGATTTTTAATTATTATTAATTTATTATTATTATTATTAACACTTAAAACATATGTCATTTTGTCTAGGTGGTCTGATTTTTTAAGCTTAACTTATAATTTAAAAATAACATAATTATCAATAACTAAATTTATAACTATTAGTTGATTTATATCGTATGTATATTAGCAAGGTATAATCATTAATAATTCATATATATTTTTGTAAATCATTATTATCATATTTTTATTATTGCAAAATTATAACTTGTATACTAAATATTAAATGATAAGGCTAATTTTTATTTTATTGAGATTTATAAAGTTATTTTACCTAGATAGATTTATTAGATAAATTTTTGTCTTCAATATAATAATTTAGTTTATTTGATGTAATTTTTTGTTGTTGATGTTATTTAAATAGTTTAACATTTTATATATGTTTATCCAAGAAAAAATTTATAGTAATATAAAAATTTAATAATTATTGTGTTGAACTTAATTGAATATTGTTTATGTTAGTTTTGTATCAAATTAAACCATATTGGTAGGTATTAATATCTATATATATATTTATTTATATATATTTAGTATATGTATATAATAATATATAAATAAAAAAATTTAATCTAAAAAATTTTTAATAATGTGTTTGTAGTAAATATTTATTTATTTTTCTAAAAAAAGTGATTTACTATTAAATGTTGTTTTTTAAAAAAAACTAATATAAATATAAAATAAATTTACATATATTTTAATTGTGTTTTTTTATTTGTGTTAATTAGGATACACACATATATTAAACAATTGGTACACTTTTATTGTCATTGATTTTTATTATTAAACAATTATTATTTTTATTATTATTACTGTACATAACATTGATCTCGAATTAAGTTCCTGGATGACTTTTATTTTTAAAAAAAATTGTTTAATCAAAATCATTATAAAAACTCCAGTACTTTCCTCTTAATTGGTGTCAAATTATTTTTAAAAAAAAATTAGTTAATCAATAATATCTAATATTAATAATAATAATACAATAAATATTAAAAAACTATTTTTTATTGGCAATAATTGCCAAATAAATTAATTAAAAAAATGAATTTAAACGAACATTTTGTGGATAACGACGACGACATTGTCATCAGCGGTCTGGCCGGCCGTTTCCCCGAATCCGATACATTGGACGAGTTAAGTGACAATCTGTTGGCTAACAAAGATCTGATTAGCGAAGACGCCCGACGATGGCCACCAGGACTATACGGTTTGCCGACAAGAAGCGGCAAATTGAAATCGTTAGATAAATTTGATGCCCAATTCTTCGGCCTGAATGGCAAACAAGCAGATTATATGGATCCACAGGGAAGGATACTTCTGGAGGTTACCTACGAAGCAATGGTCGACTCCGGTAATAGAGATATAGATATTATAAATATGATATTTTTAAACCAATTATTGATTAAATAATTGATTGAATTGAATTGAAAGGCTGGAACCCGGCATCACTTCGCGGTACAAATACTGCTGTATTTGTTGGCGCCTTTCTGACCGAATCCGAAGAAAGTTTGGCCAGCAATCCGAGTAAGGTTATGGGCTACGGAGCCACTGGAACCAAGAGGAATATGCTATCCAATCGGGTATCCTATGCGTTTGATTTGCGCGGACCATCCCTATCGTTGGACACTGCGTGCAGTTCATCAATGGTTGGCCTACAGTTGGCCTTTTCGGGTATGCGGGCCAACGAATTTGATATGGCCATCGTGGCCGGCGTCAATGTTAATCTGAGACCCGCTACGGCACTGGAGTTTCACAAACTAAATATGCTATCCATTGATGGCAAATGCAAATATTTGGACGAATCGGCCAACGGCTATGTCCGATCGGAAACTGTTTCGGTATTATTGTTACAAAAGCGCCGAAACGCACGGCGAGTGTACGCTACAGTTATTCACGCAAAGACCAACTCGGATGGCAATAAAGCCGAAGGTATTACCTATCCGTCGGCAAAGTCACAGACAGAGCTAATGGAAGCGACATTGAAAGAGTCGGGTGTCAAACCTGATTGGGTTCGCTATGTCGAGGCTCACGGAACCGGAACGTCGGCCGGAGATATGAATGAGTCCAATGCTATATACAATGTATACGGAAAGGAAAGGTATGTGACAATGGATTACTAATAAAAAAAAACAAAATATCAGTCAATGCCGTCAATGATTTTTTGTTTTGTTTTTGTATAATAGATCGGATCCATTGCTAGTCGGAAGTGTCAAATCCAATTTGGGTCACACAGAGTCATCGTCGGGCATGTGTTCTCTGGCCAAAGTGGTCATTGCTTTTGAGAGGATGAAAATTCCGGCCAGTCTTCATCTACAACGACCAAATCCAAAGATAGTTCCGCTAATCGAAGGCCATCTATTACCGATTACCGAAAATCAACCGTTCGAGGACAGTGTTGTTCCCGTCAATTCGTTTGGTTTCGGCGGAACCAATGTCCACGTTCTGGTCAGACCACAACAGTTGGCCTACAATTATCGCAAACAAGGATTTGTCGATGAAATTCCACGACTAATTCTGGTCAATGGCCGAACCGAAAACTCGGTCAATCATATTATGGATTTTATTGTCGCCAACAAAGACAAAGCCGATGACGACTTTCTAACATTGCTCAGCGCTGTTACCACTGATGGCGAATCAAATGGTATGGATTACAATGGATATATGATACGCGATGTTTCCGCCCAGAGTTTCGAAGAAAGGGAGCGAACGATCAGCAAAGTTGGCGACCGACGGCCCGTTTGGTTTGTCTTTTCGGGTATAATTTGAAACATATTTTCGGGTTTTATTATTTTTTGTGGCAAATAATTTTTATTATTTCTGTATAGGAATGGGAACTCAATGGACGGCAATGGCCAGAGGTTTGATGAAAATCGAAATCTTCAATCGATCCATTCGACAGTCGGCCGACATATTGGAAGAGTACGACATAGAACTGTTGAAACTGATACTCGAAGATAACGACGATCTACTGATGCCGATACTGTCGTCATCGGTTGGTATTGCGGCCATTCAGATAGCACTGGTCGATTTGTTGCGGGCATTGGACATCAAACCGGATGGTTTTCTTGGCCATTCGTCCGGCGAGTTGGCCTGCGGTTACGCGGACGGAAGTTTGACGGCCCGCGAGACAATCCTGTATGCCTACTGGAGAGGCCGGTGCGTCGAACAAGGAAAACTGCCGAAAGGATTGATGGCCGCCGTTGGTCTGACATGGGAAGAAGCTAACCGTCGGTGTCCATCGGGAGTGGTAGCCGCGTGTCACAATGCAGTCGATTCGGTAACCATTTCGGGCGCTTACGATAGTGTGGATAAATTTCTGGCCAAACTCAAGGCTGAAAATATTTTCACAAAAACTGTCAACAGCTGTGACATACCGTTTCACAGTTCATACATGAAACTCATTGCTCCGGATATGATCCGTAAGTTGACATCAGTCGGCGCCAGCAAACGTCTGCGCAGTTCCCGATGGATCAGTTCTTCGGTACCGCAGGACAAATGGTCGACACCTGAATCCCAGTACTCGACACCCGAATACTATGTCAATAACCTGACTTCGCCGGTACTGTTCGATGAAGCTGTTAGACTGATGCCGAAAAATGCCATTATTGTCGAAGTGGCGCCCGATTCGCTGTTCAGGAATGTCATCAAACGAAGTCTGGGCACTGACTGTACATACTTGGGTCTAATGAAACGTAACAGCGCTGACAGTCTAAGACATTTGTTGTCCACCATTGGATCACTTTATAGTCTGGGATTAAAGCCAAAGATCAGCAAATTGTATCCGAAGATTGCCTATCCAGTGAAAAGAGGTACCCAATCGTTAGGTTCATTGGTTAGATGGGATCATTCGGACAGTTGGCTGGTCACACTATATCCCGATTATTTCAATAATAAATCCCAATCGGAACTGACCATTGAAGTGGATTTTAGCAAACAAGAGAACAAGTTTTATTTGGATCATTGTATCGACGGTCGACTACTGTTTCCGGCTATCGGATATCTCGATATCGTTTGGCAAGAGTTTGCCAAACAACAGTCAACCAGTTGGGATCAGCTGCCGGTAATCATTGAAAACTGTCGTATTATTAGGCCAACAATCATGCGACCCGACAGCCAGTTGACATTCAAATTGAATTTATCGCAAATCGATGGCCAGTTTTATCTGTACGAAAATCAACAGTTATCGGTTACCGGACGCATACGAGTGCCGAAAAAGGGAGAAAAATTCCTGCCATTACACCAAAAGTATTTGAATTCGCTGAAAGAGTTAGCCGATGTCGTCGATGGAAATGGACATCAATTGGATAAACAATCGGTATATAAAGAGCTAAGAATTCGCGGCTATCACTACGACCCGCAGTTCCAGTTGACTTCAGCGGTCGATGTGGACAAAGGTGTGGCCAAAATCCAGTTAGTAGACAACAATGTGGTCACTTTCGGTGATGCAATGCTTCACTCGAGTATACTACAGGTGCCGACCCGTGATCTCTATCTGCCAACTGGTATCCAATCGTTTCATTGCGATCCACGTATTCTTCTGGCCAAACAAGCAGACAGAGAAGTAGAAGACAATTCTTCAGCATTGCTAGTGTTGTCCAATTTGACGGCTAATTATTTGTTGGCCAACGGCCTCGAGTTTCACGGCATCGAGACCAGACGGGCATCCAGGCGTCAGCAAACTGAAGAACTATTACTGGAAAAGTATGTTTGGTTGCCATATATGGACAACAATAGTCTTCAGCCGAGTTGGCAACAGCTTTGCAAAAGCTATATTGAATTGACAGATGAATTGGTCAAAAACAGACCACAAAAGTCCAGCAGTAAGTTATCAGAAATGAAAGATCGTTTTAGCCAATTATTGACTGCAAATCAACTAAATGATGATCGAGTGGTACTGAAGAAGGCTATCGAAAGTCTTAGTCTAACCACAATTGCAGAGCCGTTGTCATCGAAACCGTTTGTCAACGATTTGTCTGCAGATTTCTTGAACAATGTATACTTTGATGAAACTCTTTTGAGACCAGCTGTCGATATAGTACTTGAAAACAGTGTACTGAATGGCGATCTCAATGTTTTGGAGATAAATCCTAACCAAAGTGTATGTCATCAGCGGATTATACACTATTTGAAAGACTCATTTTATGGCCAACGGATCAAGTATTCAGTTTACAATCCATTTGGTATTCAAACCACCAGTGATACAGATATAGGTAATAGAGTTTGTCATAGATTATCAATTATTCATTTTTTCTTGGATTTTATCAGATAATCTTCCGTACGATCCGATTGACATCAATCTATCGATGCAGACAAAGATGGTCCAAACAAATCCGTATCAATTGATTATCATCAGAGAACAGTACGCCGTTCACAATGGTAACAAAGAACGACTAATCAAATGGGAAGATATTATGCGATTTGTCAAAACAAATCTCGACATCAATGGCTTTGTTTTGGTGCTGAAGAGGACACAGTATACAAAAGCAGAGAAAACAGTTTTATCGAGATTTGGTTACAACGAATCGTCGCTGATTGAGTCAAACAGTTTGATAGAATTGATCCAAAACTTTGCCGGTCTATCGCTGGTTAGTAACCGATCGGATAGCCAGTCGGCTACGGCGACATCAGCAGTAATGTTGTTCAGAAAACTGGACGCCAGTCAGCCATCGCTGGCCAACGATATCATAGTCAGAGTCAGCCATAACAACAATGAAAATCTAAAACAATGGTTGGATCAGCTAAAAGATGAACTTAATAATAAAAGCGATCAAAACAACAACAATAGTCTTATTTGGCTCATCTCGGATATTACTGAAGACTCGGATACCTGTAGCGGAATTGTTGGTCTTGTGAATTGTTTGCGCCGCGAACCGAATGGCCATCGGGTGCGGTGTATATCGGCGCTAGAATTTGACGACTTAGAGATGTCGCGATCGGTTGGCGGAGAAGTCGACTTCAAAGAGTTGGTTCATAATTCGATATTTGAAAATAATTTGGTTATGAATATCTACCGTAAAGGACAGTTAGGTTCGTATAGACATTTGTCTATAGGCGAGGAGAGCCTAACAAAGGTTCAGTGCCGACACGCATCCATTGATGTCTCAGCCAAACAATCAAATCCCGTTTGGTTGGAATCCAAACATAATCTATGGCCAGAAAACAAATTAAGTCATCAGAATAACAAAATTTTGATTAATGTCTACTACGGTGTCATCAATGCTGTTACCACCGACAATGACAATGGAGTCATCAAACCGTCTATTGGTCCCAATTCGTCAGCCGCAACCTGTCTTCAGTTTAGTGGAGTTGTCGACAGTACTGGTGACCGTGTTTTCGGTATACATTCGCCGCCTCAGACCAGCTCTGCTAACATATCGACAACTCTTGTTGTCGACGATAAGGAAAGTTTTATGGCAGTGCCCGACAACTGGTCACTCGAGGAGGCCTGCACTGTACCCGAAGCCTACGGATCAGCCTATTGGGCACTCATCGAAAATGGTCGCCTATTATCCAAGCATACAGTAGTCATTCACGGAGCTAACCGGCCCAACGGACGGGCAGCTCTGGCTGTCTGTTTAAGCCGCAAGTGTCGTGTCTTTTGTACTGTCGATAGTCACGAATCTATGGCACAATTATTGGCCGATTTTTCGGCCTCCGGTTTGTCGCCAAAAAACATTATCAATACTGCAGCCGATTGTTTCAAACAGGAGATTATCGACAATACCGACGGAATCGGTGTCGACATTATCTATGACTCAAATGTTGCCAATGATATTGATTTTAACGATTCAATTGCTTGTCTCAAACAAAAAGGATGTTATATTAGTCTGGGATATAAAAATAATTTTGCAAAAAATGGTTAAAAAAAATTAATTAATATTTTTTTCTAAAACTATTATAATAATTGTTATTATTTTCATTGAATTTATTATTATTATTGATTTAAATTAGTAATTATTTTTTGTAATTAAATTTAATTTTCAATTAGGTTTTATTAGCGACAAAAATATAACAATTATGAGAATCAATTTGAATGATATATTTTTTAGTCAACAATCAGACGCCGATAATAATAATAGTTTATCAGACAAACAAAAAGTTTTCAATTATATTAGAGACGGTATCAGAGATAATGTGGTCAAACCGTTCAAAGACAGACACATTTTTACTATCGACAACATTGCCGGTGCCGTCAAATACATGAATAAAACCACCGATGACGGTGTCAACAACAACAGCAAACAACAACAAGTGGTTTTAGTAGTCGTTCAAAATGAGACCAATAATAATAATTTGAAAAAATCCCAATTGATGGTCAAGGCTGTCCATAATACACAGTTCCCCAGCAATGGCTCTATGATTATTACCGGAGGTTTAGGTGGTTTCGGTCTGGAGTTGGCCTATTGGCTGGTCGAACGGGGTGTCCGACAGCTTGTACTGACCAGCAGATCCGGTGTCAAGAACCAGTTCCAAGAGTTTACGATCAAACAGCTGCGCAAATTGGGTGCCAATGTTGTCATTTCGACGTTAGACGCCAGCGATGAACGACAGTGCGACCAATTGATCAAAGAAGCCAACACTTTGGCACCGGTTTACGGTATATTTTCGTTGGCAATGGTTCTCAGCGACGGTTTGCTAGCAAATCAAACACCGGAATCGTTGCTTAAAGTGTTTGCGCCCAAAGTCAAGGCCATAACAATTATGGACACTTTGTCGCGTGTTTTGTGTCCAAATTTGCACTATTTTGTAGCCTTTTCGTCGGTCACTTCGGGCAGAGGTAACGCTGGCCAATGTAACTACGGTTACGCCAACTCATATATGGAAAGACTGTGCGAACAGCGCACTAACGATGGTCTGCCCGGACTGGCCGTCCAGTGGGGTGCCATCGACGATGTCGGTGTTGTTGCCGACATGTCGACCACGAAAGAGCAGTTGACTGCCCGAGGCGTCGGCGGTACTGTTCCTCAACGTATACATTCGTGTCTATCGCTGATGAATCACTTTCTTCGTTCAGACAAAGACAACAGTGGTGTTGTCAGTAGTCTATTGAGAAAAGATGTCGAAGTCGTCGACAGTGTCGATAAAAAAGATATCAAAGGATTAGTGGCTTTTATTTTAGGTTTGTTTTTCTCGGGTTTTACAGTATATATACTGTATAACCGGTTATTATTATTTTTTATTGATTGATTGATTGGTTGGTCTAAAAAACTTTAGGCATTAGAGATGTGTCGAAAATCAAAGACCAGTCCAAACTATCCGATCTGGGAATGGACTCATTGATGGTCGTTGAGATCAAACAGGCATTGGAACGGGAGTTTCAGGTCATACTATCACTGAAAGAGTTGACTGAAATAACATTTGGATCTCTAGACAAACTGTCCGCTAAATAATTAATTAATTGTTAGTTTATTTTAATTTTATTTTATATCAATAGATATATACTATGTTTTTAAAAAAAATAAATAAATTATCATTATTAATTTTAACTAGGATATTTTATATTAATATTAATTTTGTATTTTTTGAAATTATTAATATATTGTTTGTTTTATTTTAATGGATACATACAATATTATAAATACAATGGCTAAAATAATTTATATTTAGTCAAAAGACTCAAAAAAAATTTTTAGTTAATTTTATTTTTTTTTATAAAATTTTATGTCATTCAAACAAGGTGATTTTTTTAATTAAACTCAATATGTTAACTAATAAATACTGTTAACAATTTGTTTATTATATTTTTAATAATAGATTATTTGTTTTTATATGTATTTTTTAAATCTAATAGTTTGTTATAATAAAATTTTATAATTTGATAACAAAAAAGTTTGTAAATATTTTTAAATATTTAATGAACTAAATAAAAAGTTATCCGAAGACAATACAAAATAAAATTGTTTAATCAATAAACAAAACAAAAAAAAATATTTTAAATATTTTTTTAAACTTTGGTTTTCAACTGTCTATTGCTATACAATGAATAGGCGAACATAAATATAATTATTAATATGAAAACTGTCGGCAAATTAGTCTTGAATTGATCCCAAAATGTTATACGAATGGTCTGATGGATGACAATCAGTTTGATTACCGAAATAGTTGTGTTTGTTATGTCGTCTACACATCTAAACTCAAAAAACACAAACACAATAAAACATCAATAAAAATAAATAAATAAAATCAAAACTAATTTCTCATCAATAAAAAAAACCTATAATTTCGTTGATCATATGGAAGTACTTTATTGATCACCAGATTATTGCTGAAATCAATTTTGACTCTTCCGTTAGTCAACTGATGAATACGGAATGGATTTATACGGTAATTGAATCTATTGAGCATAGATATCGAGGAATTATACCAAACATACCAGTGCAACGAGTCTAGTGGTCTATTAGTGGGTTTTTTTAAAATATCCACAAATAAAACAATCATTTTTTTATGAAAACAAAAATCCATTTATATATATATATAAAGTTAGATATAATTGTCTGTCTATTAACTTATTGCATGTAAGCACCAGTTTGTCGCCCGAATTGACAATCAATACCCGTAACATTGACATCGCCGACGACAGAGATGTCTTGAATTGGGCGAACTCTCGTTTCCTTAGCTGATCCTTGACTTCCGCCGAAACATTGGTCGTGAGTGCCGAACAATTTTCCAGCTGACAAACGGCGTACTGGAGTTCCGATCGCCGCAATTGTATCGTATCGATTGCAGTCAAATTTCGGGGCAAACTTGGCGACCGACACGGAATTCCTATATCCCGGAGTCCATACAAATCATTGTCAAACAATGGTATGTCTGTACTGATAGTAGCAGACAGTGGCTAATAATGGGGTGTTTTTTTAGTGGAGGTATGAAAAAAAGTTATAATAAAAATCTTAATTTTAAATATTTTTTTTGATGGTCTCTTACTTTTATCGTACAGACGCCGATCCGTCTAATGAGTCCTAATGGACATCGAGTACATGACGACCAATCGGACCAATCGGTAAATATTTTAAATCTATTATCAATTATTATAGTATTATTATCATCATTATCATTGTTGTCGTTGCTGTTATTGTCAATTAAATTGATATTATTTTTATCAAAAACAATCAAATTAAACGCTTCCAGACTGTAGACAGTAATATAGTGTATGGCATATATTGTTGAATTATAAATACAATAATAGGTATGACTTTGGTTATCGTATTTGAAGTTAACATCAATAGTCAAATTGGTGGACATCATTGTCGGCACTCTGTCCAGTCGTAGTGGTTGTGTGTTGTGGCCATCGGACGTGATATTAAACCAAATTATATTATCAATTGGTTTACTTATATTAAGACTTTAATATTTTATTTTAGATGATAAATGAAATATAGAAAAAAAAACAAAAATAAAAGTTTTCATTTAATAATAAATGTTTTTTTTGAATATTAATATTAAAATAATACTATACATTACCATAGATTAGTGCACTCAAGTCTTAGAGTAGTTCCCATAGATACTAGATTTGAGCTAACAGTAGGTCCGGCAATGTCAGCAACTGTCCGATTAAGACAATTGACATAATCGTCATCACTTTTGTAGATATATTCGTCGGTCAATTGCGATACCCGGCGATAGACATTAGACCAACTGTTTTTGTTGACCTCAGTTTCGCCATCGTCGTCGTCGTACTGGTGATGATGGGCGCCGTTGTTATCTAACTGATCCGATAGACAGACAGTCAATAAAATTATTACTATTATTATAAACAATACTATTTTTGACATTTTTGTCATTAAAATAAGGGTTTAAACGAAATTATATTTTATTTTAAATCCTAAAATAATTAAATATATGATATATACAGTGCATTATGTATTGCATGAACAATACAATGTACATTGTTATAAAAAACAATCAAATATTATAAATGAAATAATACATAAATTTTAATTAATAATTATTTATTTATAGATTATATTATAATTACTATTAATTTATTGAGTTAAAGATTAAGCAATGGTTTTCAATTGTAATTTATATACCCTGTATAGTGTTGGGTAAAGTTTTTCAAATGTATAAATATGGTATATATGTAGTACTGTACATACAGTATATTATACAATACAAAATATATTAATATTTATAAATTTTTAATTTTAATAAATGTTAAAAATATGATTTAATTACATAAATAGTTTATTAATTTGTTTTCTTTACAAAATACATGATTTTATATTAGTAATTTTTGGTATATTCATAATAATATTATAGATTTTAAAATTCATCCACAAATTGAATTATATCTAAAAGAGGCCATCAATAGTGAATTAAACATGAATTATATATATATATATAGTTTTATTAAGAGATCCACTAAATAATAGTCCACAACATGGTATGGATGAGGTGGTGATACTTATTAGGAGATCAATTGTGGCCACAAATGCTCAAACTAAAGGATCAACTAATGGCTTATAAAGATATAGAAAATTTCGATATATTAATTCAATATATATATGACTGCATTTTCTTATTATCGTTTTATACCTATTGGTGACAGATATAATAATTTGAAACAATATAATAATTATGAGATTTTTTTGTTGTTTGTTTCATTCAATACAACCATAAACTAATAGTTATAAAGCATTTTATTTACTAATATTTATTGACATTTAAAAAAAATAACAAAAACTAATTTGAATACAATTTGCAATTAAAAAATAAGATTTTTTTTTGTTTGAATCTAATGAGAGAAAACAAAAACTTGATTTTGAAGAGTAAAGAGAAAACATTTTTGTTGTTTGTTTTTGTTGTATATGTAGTGATCGGTCGGTCATATCATTAGACGACAACAGCAACAACAAAAACTACCGGTGCTTTCTTTTTTTTTTGGTGGACTCTATTTTTACTAACCGGCGAACCGATTGTGTCCACCGCCGCTAAACAAGTGGTGGTTCTTCTGGTATTTGATGGCCACCAATGCAATGGTAGCGCCAATAGCTAAGCCAACAATAAGCGGGACAAGAAATCCTCCGTTACCGCCGAAGCCGGCGATCGATTGGTTGGACGCTGTGGACGAAGTTTTGCCGACTTTGGGTCCCATTTTCCGAAAATCAAATACAAGTCAGATATGACAGTCAAGACACAGTGAATCTCTGTATTGGATTTTTTTTGCCAACAAAATAGTTGATTAATTTTTTTTTTGTTGCAAATAACTGTTTAAATAACTAATGTTTGTTTTTTGTATTACTTCTATGAATTTAAATTGTTTTTTTTTTAAATATTTCAATTGATTTATCGTTTTGTTGGACTGTAGTCGCGCACAATATCATTGTTATTGCTATTATTATACCTTATATTTGATTGATAACTAAATTGATTTACTATTGGATTTCTAGTTTCTAATCGCGCGACTATAATATAAAAACAATAGTAGTTTAAAAAAAAAGTTTTTTATTAATTATGATATCTTTTAAAAAAATCTATTATTAATTTAAACGTATAATTTATCTGAGAATAATTTTTATGCTTTTTTTCTCAGCAATAGTTTTGTGATATAAAATACAATATATATATATATTGAATGTCTTGAATGACTTCATCAATTCATGTCATTTGTTTGATTGGTATATTAATTTAATTAACAAAAATCATAATCATTTTGATTACAAATATTGTTTATTTTTTTATTGTTTCATTGATTGACAACAACAACAACAACAACAACAACAGTGTCGTTGATGTTGTTGACCATTGGATCGGTAGTCGTTGTCGTCGACTCCGAGGATTTCTGTTATGAATACGTGAAAAATGGCCATAAAATTGATTTTTCATTTCGTTTATATGAATACAATTCAAATTTTGATAAAGAGTTTCAAAAGTACTTTTTTATTGGCGATAAATACTGGAAGTTGTCATACAATGACGGATCAAAAGCTGATAGAAATGTTACCATTGATAGGGAAAGTGCCGGTTATTCTAACTGGTTGTCCGGCGAGAAGTATTCAATGGTATGGTATGTCTACTATAAGGCTGACTATAAAAAAGATTATTGTCGTGTCGGTGCTCTACAGGTATTATATAATTCATAATACAATAGTTATAGTTAACCAGACATTAAATACAATACAATACAATATATATATAATTTAATTAATTTAGAAAAACTTAAAAGCTATTGATTGGGCCGTCCTTTACGCTGATACCCTAAATTATAAACAATTGTTTAATACAACAAACATTACATTTGCCGCCAATTTTAGACCAATATTGGCCTGGCTATCGATTCCCTATCAAGTAATGTATAGAGTCATCACATTTATGTCCGACTCGGGTTCAACCAAATCGTATAACTTTAATGATCCAAACAAACCAAATGAAGACATTTCTATGATTAGTCAATATCAACGACCAATTCTTGAAGGAAAACAAGAACAAGAAGTTTATAAAAACTATCCATTGATGGCAATTATTGGACAGTATAGCTATAATGATTGTGGATGTAGTGATGGGAACTGTTGTAGCACTAAAGTAGATGGACAGGGATCTATTGTGTTTATGAATGTCAACAAAACTATTCAGTACTGTTATGTAGGGATACCTCAAAGTGAGGTTAGATATCAATTATCTAATATATAGTACAGTAGTTGTCATTTTTTTTTTAAATAAAAAACTAATTAAATTTTTCTCAATTGTTTGTTAGTGTAAACCCAAGACATTGATCGACTGTTCCGATACTACTTTAACAACAACTGGCGGTCCATTGAGTGGTAAATCAAAATTAATTATTACTTTAGTATTGGTTATCATCGGTATTGTACTATTCGTCCTCATTGTCGCTATAATTTGTTGTCTCAGATACCATGGATTATCTGGAAATAATGGTAATAGTGTTTAGGTGGTGGTGGGAGGGGAAGGGTAGGAGAGAGACCTAATGGATCTAATTGTTTGACTCAATTAATAATATTTGTTTTCTGGTGTCGTTGTCTTTATCCAATTGTTTAGGTTCATCGGTGTCGTTATCCAAACAGTCTGGCATCAAGTCTTCCCAATCGAAGAAATCAAAAAAATCAAAAAAGAAGACAATGAGTAGTCCATCGACAACAGGAAGTTCATCGAAAACTGGCGATCAATCGAAACAAACGATTTCAAAAACGGTATCAAAAACTCCATCAAAAGGTGGTATTTCTGGTCATTTCGGACCGTCAGTCAAGACATCCGGAACACAGACGAAATGATTTTTGTTTTACAGTATATTTATATTTATTATTATTTATTTTTTTGAGTTGACTTTCATTGAAGAATATTCTGCCATTTATTTTAGTTTTTTAAGTCATTTTTCTATTCAAATATATTTAAACTTTATTTATTTTTTTATTATTAATTTATTTGTATAACTATTAATAATTACTCAAATATTTTGAAGACTATTTATATTTCTATTTAATATTAGAATTATATTACGTTTTTTTGCAATTGTCTTTTTATCAAATATGCAAAAAATAAAATCTAAAATAAAAAACACTTTTTTACTATTTTTGTCTCTCAATTAATATTTATTGATATTTGAAAACTAAACGAAAACTAATTTCAATACAAATTGCAAAATATTTTTGAATCTAATAATAAAAAAAACTGTTTTGAAGAGTAAGAGAGAAAACTTTTTGTATATGTAATGATCGGTCAGTCATATAATTAGTCGAAATCTTAGATCACAGATATCTTAGAGAGAAATTATTTTCTTTTGTTTTGTTTTACTTTTCATATTTATATTATTATTAATTTATTGGCTGTTTGTTGACTGTATGTTTGCTGATTGTTACTATAATAATTACTAAACTATTTTGAAATACTATTTGTAATATATTAATACCATAAAGTTTATACAGTATTGTTTTTTATCTATGATTATTTATATTATTTATATTAGATAATTACCATAGAAATATAATGTCTATCAAAAATAATAAGTAAATAAATAATAATTAGTTACGTTTATAAAAATTTTAATGTAATTATTTTTTAAAAAGATGTCATCAATTGAATTGTTAAATAATATTAATATATGTAATAAAATACCACAAGAATTAAAATATAAAATCAAACGAATTCATTGTAATGTAGATATATTTCATAATAAAAGTGTATGGTTTGTGACAATTGATGATCGAGTCTATACATTGGGTGATAACACAAATGGTGAACTTGGTTTGGGTCACAACAATGATATTAATAAACCACATGTTATACCACAATTGTGTGACAAAAATGTTCAGAAATTTATTATAGCAATTAATTTTGGATTATGTATAACAAGTGATCAACAAATATATAGCTGGGGTCGGAATAATTGGAAACAATTGGGTAGACATATCAGTGATAAATACAGCAAACCAGAGATCATTACATTCCTCAGCGATAAATGTATTATTGATATAACGTGTGGTTCACATCATTCACTGGCGCTGACCAGTGATGGCACTGTCTATGGTTGGGGTCTTAGCAGATACGGACAGTGCGGTTGCGGACAACTAATTACTTATATTAAAAGTCCGACTCGTGTTATATTTCCCATAAATACTGTCATAAAATCGATTTATTGTCACAATTGTTGTTCATTTGTCATAACAAGTGATGGACTCGTATACAGTTGGGGTGACAATCAATACAATCAATTGGGACATAAAAATACAAAACATATTATTAAACCCGAATTAATTAATAATATACAGAATATAAAATCCGTTTCATTTAATTATAACAAATCATATTTACTTAATTATAATGGATATGTCTATCAATGCGGACAATATTACAGTGATTTTAATATAATATATAATTACAATAATATTATAAATATTTGCGATAATTTTGTTGAAAAAGATAATAATTATTATGAATTTTTGTTTAATTTTGATGAAACATTAGTTAAAATTTTTGAATTAAATAATACAAATTTTATCGATATTTTTGCCGAAAAACATTACAAAACAATTGAATCATTAGATTTTCAAAAATACAGTGAATTATATGGAAATGATAGAGCATTACAATTGATAACCAAATATCAAACTAATTATTACAAAATAAATATAAAACAATTACAAAAAAATAATGTTAAAATTAAATTAATTCATTGCAATGAAAAAAGTATATGGTTTGTGACAATTGATGATCGCGTCTATACATTAGGGTATAACGAGTGGGGTATACTTGGTTTGGGTCACAACATAGGTGTCAATGAACCACAAGTTATACCAGAATTGTGTAATAAAATGGTTAATAAGTTTAGTATTGGAAACGAGTTTGGGTTGTGTATAACAAGTGATAAACAAATATATAGCTGGGGTTTGAAAACTAAAAAACAATTGGGTAGACATACCAATGATGAGTATAGCAAACCAGAGATTATTACATTTCTCAGCGATAAATGTATTATTGATATAACGTGTGGTTATAATCATTCACTGGCGCTGACCAGTGATGGTTTTGTCTATGGATGGGGTCATAACAGTAGAGGACAGTGCGGTTGCGGACAACAAACTGAATATATTCTTAGTCCAACTCGTGTTAAATTTCCCACAAATACTATCATTAAATCAATTTGCTTCCAATTGGTGTTCATTTGCCATAACAAGTGATGGACTCGTATACAGTTGGGGTGACAATAGTGACAATGAATTGGGACATAAAAATAATAATCAATACATAAAACCAAAATTGATTAATAATTTAAATAATATAAAAAGTATTTCATTCAATAATGGAGAGTCTATTACATATTTTCTTACAATTGATGGAAATGTGTATCAATGCGGAAAAATAGATAAAACTGTATTTAATAATCCAACAAAAATTAATAATATTAATTCAATCAATGATATAATCGGTAATTATATAAAAAAATCTGACAAATATTATGAATTAATTTATGAGTCAAACATTAAATTACGAAAATTATATTACAAATCATTTGATGGGTTATTTGCCGTCGAATGCAATAAAACTTATCAAACAATTGATTTGGATTTATATGTCAAGAATTATAAAGAAATCAATGAAAAACCAAACAATTTATTGAATTGTTTTAAAACACTAAAACTGTTGGGTTTTGGAAGTTATGGAAAATTATATAAAGTTGAAGACAAAGATACTAACGAACTGTTTGCCATAAAAGATATCATATTAAATGGTAAATTAAAATAAAATATAATATACTTTTAATTATTATTTTAATTTTTAGATGAAAATCACAAATTAATTGTTTTCCAAGAAGTTAAGCAATTAATGAAACTTCGGTCACAATTTGTGGTCAACTGTTATGACGCGTGGTTTGAGTTCAACAATCTATTCATTCAAATGGAGTTATGTTCACAAAGTCTTAAACATATCATTGAAATGAAAGCCAAAACATTTCAAAGACAATCCAATGAACCGATGGATTGTATCGAGTATTACATTACAAGTCATATAATGCTTGAGTTGTGTGAATGCGTTGAATATTTGCATACAAGAGATCCGCCGGTCATTCACCGCGACCTCAAACCCGCAAATATACTCATCAATGATAAGCCAATTGATAATAGATTTCTAAAACTATGTGACTTTGGTGTAGCCATAGATCACAATCGTATGGGCAGTCAATCGGAATTACACACCAAAAAAGTCGGAACAATGAAATATATGGCACCGGAAGTCATAGATAATAACGGTTTCATCATTAGAGTGGCATATAATGAGAAAAGCGATATCTATAGTATGGGTATAATATTGTGTGATTTATTTGATGTCAACAGCGCTAATGATTTAAGGTATACTAATAATATTTGATTCAAAAATAAACATTAATTAATTTTTTTAAAATAATTATTTATTAAGAAAATTTAAAGACTCGTATTGTCAACAAAATTTAAATGTTTATATTAAAAACATTTCCAAATTAATATCATCAATGTTACAATCAAGATATTATGATAGACCATAGTGTACTGAAATTATCAAGGATAATTTACAATATGTTAATTACGATTTAATTGACACAAAATTGATAAATCAATTTAAAACAATTGAAACAAATGAAACAAATAATATTTTTAGACAAATATATTTTTCGAAAATCGATAAAATGTTAGAAAAATAGTTTAATATTATTAACATTATATAATATTGTCTATTATTTGCATATTTGTATATATAATAGTATTATTTAAAAGATTGTATTTTTTATTAGAAAAATATACATTATATATTTATAACCAATCTATTTGTAACACTATTTACTATTTCTATGTAATTCTTTAACTACAGTATATTGATATATTTTTCAATAATTATCATAGTTATTTAAAAAAATATATGTAAAAAATTAGCAACAAAATAATAAATAAACCTTTTTTATTTTATTCAATATTTATTGATACAACTAATTAAAAAACTAATTTGAATACAATTTAGAATAGATTTTTTTATACTCTTATAAAAAAGAGATTTATATTTGCCGCCAATTTTAGGCCAATATTGGCCTGGCTAGCCATTCCCTATCAGTCAATGAGTAGAGTCATCACATTTATGTCCGATTCGGGTTTAGGTGGTGGTGGGAGGGGAAGGGAGAGAGAGAGACCTAATGGATCTAATTGTTTGACTCAATTAATAATAATTGTTTTCTGGTGTCGTTGTCTTTATCCAATTGTTTAGGTTCATCGGTGTCGTTATCCAAACAGTCTGACATCAAGTCTTCCCAATCGAAGAAATCAAAAAAATCAAAAAAGAAGACAATGAGTAGTTCATCGAAAACTGGCGATCAATCGAAACAAACGATTTCAAAAACTGTATCAAAAACTCCATCAAAAGGTGGTATTTCTGGTCATTTCGGACCTCAGTCATGACATCCGGAACACAGACGAAATGATTTTTGTTTTACAGTATATTTATTATTATTTATTTGAGTTGACTTTCATTGAAGAATATTCTGCGATTTAATTTAATATATTTTAAGTCAATTTTCTATTCAAATATATTTTAATTTTATTGATTTTATAGAATTTGTTTTATTTTTTTTATTAATTTATTTGTATTACTATTACTAATTACTCAACTATTTCGAAGTCTATCTATATTTATATTTAATACTGTATTATAATTATATTACGTTTTTTTGCAATTGTCTTTTTTTATTAAATATGCAAAAAATAAAATTTAAAATAAAAAGCACTTTTTATTACTATTTTTGTCTCTCAATTAATATTTATTGATATTTGAAAACTAAACGAAAACTAATTTCAATACAATTTGTAAAATATTTTTGAATCTAATAATTTAAAAAAAAACTTTTTTAAAGAGTAAAAAAGCAAAACTTTTTGTATATGTAATGATCGGTCAATCATATTATTAGTCGGAATTTTAGATCACAGATATCTTAGAAGAAATGATTTATTTTGTTTTGTTTTACTTTTCATATTTATATTATTATTAATTTATTGGCTGTTATTTGAAAAATATTCTGTGATTTATTTTAGTAGATATTCTATTGTGAATTGTATTTAAATTTTAAAATTTTGTTGATTTTTTGTCGTTATTATTTTTTAGCAAAATTTAATTTAAAAAATAACATTTTTATCATTATTAGTAGCTTTACAGTAATAACGTAAAGTTTATATATTTTATTACGACAGAATTAACTTTAGTTACTTTATATTTAAAATTTCGAGTCGCGTTTAGCCTTAAACATTATAATAATTATAATAAACAATTTTATAACACTATTTGTTTACATCATTTGTTACACTATTTATGACTATAATTTATATTATAGATAATTACCATAGAAATATTATGTCTATCAAAAAAATAAAATATATAATATTTTAAAAATAACTAAATAATTAATCTAAAAATAATCGAAAGTTTAGTTACTTTTATAAAAATTTTAATGTAATTTCTTTTAAAAAGATGTCTTCAATAGAATTGTTAAATAATATTGAATTATGTAATAAAATATCACAAGAATTGAAATATAAAATCAAAAGATTTCATTGTAATTACGATAGTATATGGTTTGTGACAATTGATGATCGCGTCTATACATTGGGTAATAACTGGAGGGGTAATCTTGGTTTGGGTCACAACAATGATGTCAATGAACCACAAGTTATACCAGAATTGTGTTATAAAAATGTTAACAAATTCAGTGTCGGATTTATGTTTGCATTTTGTATAACAAGTGATCAACAAATATATAGCTGGGGTTGGAATAGATTTAATCAATTGGGTAGACATACCAGTGATGAGTACAGCAAACCAGTAATCATTACATTACTCAGCGATAAATGTATTATTGATATCACCAGTGGTTATCATCATTCACTAGCCCTCAGCAGTGATGGCACTGTCTATGGTTGGGGTCATAACAATGACGGTCAGTGCGGTTGCGGACAACAAATTAAATATATTGAAAGACCGACTCATATTATATTTCCCACAAATACTGTCATTAAATCAATTTATTGTTACAATGACTGTTCATTTGCCATAACAAGTGATGAACTCGTATACAGTTGGGGTAACAATAGAGACAATCAATTGGGACATAAAAATAGTAATCAATACATAAAACCAAAACTGATTAATAATTTAAATAATATAAAAAGTATTTCATTCAATATTGAAGTGTTTATTACATATTTTCTTACAAACGATGGAAATGTGTATCAATGCGGAAAAATAGATGAAACTGTATTTAATAATCCAACAAAAATTAATAATATTAATTCAATCAATGATATGATCGGTAATTATATAAAAAAATCTGACAAATATTATGAATTAATTTATGAGCCAAACATTAAATTACGAAAATTATATCACAAATCATTTGATGAGTTATTTGCCGTCGAATGCAATAAAACTTATCAAACAATTGATTTGGATTTATATGTCAAGAATTATAAAGAAATTAATGAAAAACCAAACAATTTATATAATTGTTTTAAAACATTAAAACTGTTGGGTTCTGGAAGTTATGGAAAAGTATATAAAGTTGAAGACAAAGACACTAACGAATTGTTTGCCATAAAAGATATCATATTAAACGGTATAATGAAATTTAAAAAATAACTAAAATATAATATACTTTTAATTATTATTTTAATTTATAGATGAAAATCACAAATTAAATGTTTTCAAAGAAGTAAAGCAATTAATGAAACTTCGGTCACAATTTGTGGTCAACTGTTTGGACGCGTGGTTTGAGTTCAACAATCTATTCATTCAAATGGAGTTATGTTCACAAAGTCTTAAAGATTTCATTAAACTGAAGGCAAAAACATTTCAAAGACAATCCAATGAACCGATGGATTGTATCGAGTATTACATTACAAGTCATATAATGCTAGAGTTGTGTGAATGCGTTGAATATTTGCATACAAGAGATCCGCCGGTCATTCATCGCGACCTCAAACCCGCAAATATACTCATCAATGATAAGCCAATCGATAATCGGTTTATAAAATTAGGTGACTTTGGTTTGTCCACTGATCACATCCGTACGGATACTCATTCAATAAGTCATACACCAAATGTAGGAACACTTAAATATAGAGCGCCAGAGATTAATACCGATCCCAACAACTGTACACAAAAATATAACGAAAAATGTGATGTCTATAGTCTAGCAATCATTTTAATGGATATTTTTGATTTAAATGATATTACTATTGATGGGTAAGTTTTTTTAAAAAATAATTATTTCAATTTATAGTTTTAAATTTTACTATTTTTTCTATCTAATAGTTCAAGCATTAAAATTTACAATAATAGTAGTGTTGGATATTATATGGAAAATGTGTTTAATCTGATCCAACAAATGAAACAATTACAATACACTGCTAGACCCACGTGTACACAAATTGTCCTGGATCAACTTAATTATATTAATATAGTGGATAAACAATTATTTCAACAATCAATAATTGCACAATTAAGTGATGACGATATATTTAGACAAATATTTATTACTAAATCAAATGAAATATAAAATAATACTATTATAATGTATTTGTATTATTATTATTTTAATTGGCTATCATTGAAGTATATTTTGTAATTTACTTTTATTTTATTTTATTTAAATCTATTTCCTATTCAAATATATTTTTAAACTTAAATTTTTTTTTAATTCATATTATTTGTTGTATATTTATAATCAATCTATTTGTGTTACTAATTAATAATTACTAAACTATTTTAAAACACTATTTACTATTTCTATTTAATACAATAACTACATTATACTGTATTAATATATTTTTCAATAATTATTGTCTTTTTTTAAACATATATTTTAAAAAATTAGCAACAAAATCAATAAATAAACATTTGTTTATTTTATTCAATATTTATTGACATAACTAATGAGAAAACTAATTTGAATACAATTTACAAAAGATTTTTATTTTGAGTCTAATAAAAGAGAGAGAAATACTTTGAAGATTTTTGAAGAGTAAAAGAGAAAACTTTTTTGTATATGTAGTGATCGGTCGGTCATATCATAGACGACAACGACGACTACAACTACCGATGCTTTTTTGTGGACTCTTTTTTTTGTTGGTTACTAACCCGCGAACGGGTGCCGAGTGGTTCCGCCGCTGAATGATTGCGTTCTACCGTATGTCGGCAACGATGGAAACGACGACAAGTGATTCTTGTGGCATTTGATGGCCACCAATGCAATGGTTGCGCCGATAGCTAAGCCAACAATAAACGGGACAACGTATCCACCGCCTAAACCGCCACCGCCGCCGCCCATCGATCGTTTAGACGCTGTGGATGAAGTTTTGCCGGCTTTGGGTCCCATTTTTTGTTCTTCTTTGGCCAATAATACAAGCGATTCAAGTGAATGACAATTTGAAGACAACAGAAAACAGTGACTATGTGTGTGAATGTCTTGTGTTTTGTGTTTACCACCAAAAAAAATAATTGACAATTAGTTTCAAGACTTTTTTTGTTGATTGATTTCAATTATATTTAATTTCTTAACTGAATTTTTTCTAATATAATATGTTTTTGAATTTAAATTTTGTTTTTTTTTCAATGAATTCATATTCAATTGATTTTTGTTTGTTTGTTTGACATTTGATATTTGAATCGCGCGATATCACTGATAAGACAGTTAATTGTTTAAAATTTTTAAAATTTATTAATCATTTAGTTTTGTCGCACTAATAAATTGTTGAATAAATTAATAATAATAATATGACTTATAGTGACTAACATATATCAAAAAAATGATCGGTTGGACACAATTTAAGATAAATTTGTTAACTATTTTCATAGTATTCCTATCGTTAAGGTATATATATATATTGATATATCTAACATATACTTTATATCAAGAAATATAGAAATTTAAAAAAAACTATTTTATCCATAGCTATGGTGTTATGACTGACACAACAACAACTGATCCACCATTAAGCGCCAGTATCATAGCAATACTATTCATCGGTAGTATACTATCACTGGTCATTCAGTGTGGCGGCTGTATAATTATCGTTTGGCTGTTTATGCGGACAATACATAACATTGCCCGACCCGAGCGCTCAACACGAAAACCAAAAGTGATTCACATATACACTGCACCCCAACCCGTGAATACGATTACTACTACTACCGCTGCTGTCGCTGTCCCACAGTCACCACAACCAATGTATCAGCCATTAAAATCTCAGAGTCCAACACCAGTCCAGACACCACAAGTATCGGTCATTAAACCATTAGAAAAATCATCGGCCAATCGTAATGACAGTAAAGATAATGAGGAGCTTACTGTGCGATCTAACTAAATGTTATTATTATTTTTTTGCTTATATACTGTATATTTCAATGTATGCCTAAATTTTTTTTGATGTCTAATTCAAATATTTATTAATTATAAATATTTTTTAAAAATTGTATATTTAGTGTAAATAATAAATTATTAAAAATAGTAATATTTCCAAACACATCAAATACTATAGCAAATCAACAGCAAAATATAATTAATAAACATTTAATTTAATTAATTTTCATTTTATTCATTATACTATAAAAAATGTTTTTTTTAAAAATATAAATATACAAAAAAATATATATAAATATAATAATAATATTAATTATTATATACGTCATGACCAGATTTTAAATATTTCACTTTGTGTTACATTATATATATATATATATATTGATATATATGAATAAATTGTTTCAATAAATGGTAAGTGAAATGACCAGCAAATTGTAATTTACGCACAAAAAATACACTAAAAATATATATATAAATTATGTAAAAATTATATAAATATTTTATCATCATAATAAATATTCATTAAAAAAATTATCAATTATTTTGTTTTTTTAATAGCTTAATACATTAGTATTTGTTGATCGATCGATTGATTGATTGATTGTATATAACTTTTATAATGTAATAAATATATCTTACAATTTATTTATATAGATTTGATTTTAGCTTAATTTTTTTTAGCAATTGTTTAAATTAAATTTATATATTTATAAATATATAATTATCTAATTAATTACCTAATTAAATAAATATAAATATATACTGTATATATATATATATATATATATATATATATATCTATATTTATATTATATCATCGATCAGCCATCAATTTTATACATATAAAAAAGGATTGATTATATAAAGAGCAGTGATTTTTTTATATTATCGTATTATAAATAAATAAAACAAACAAAAAAACATTTAAAATATAATTTACAATATAACGCAAGCAATTATATAAATAAGTAAAAATTATAATAAAAATAACCAAAAAAAAATTGTAATCATTGTGTTATATTAGTAGTTTTGTAAATGATTTAGTGTCTATTGATGTGTATATGTGTTTATAGATGAGTCTCATGTGATATACTATTAGTGGTCCGTTTTTTTAGGAAATAGTATAGAATGCCTGCCTGTGCCATAACATCGATAGTGCCGGCAGTAAACGAGTCTACATTTGCCGACGTGGCGGCGGCAGCGGCCATACTTGTGCCACCACTTGTACTACTACTACTACTGCCAGCACCGGGTGGTCTGATTAATGTCGGCCCAAAAACAGTGGCCAAGTTATGTAAAGACATTTTATTGTGTTCTTCAAACTGGTTCACTCTGTGTGGACAATATTATTATCATTATAAACATTATAATCAATAATAATAATAATAATTTTAATTACTTATAGAGATGTTCAATAAGATGGTTGATAATGGTTTGGTTCGGTTGTGCCAACAATACAAACAATGAATGCAAACGTTTACTCTTTTCCGATACATTTGCCATATCTATTGAAATAATTTCATTCATTCATTCATTCATTCATTAAAATATGAGATAATTTCATAAAAAAATAAATAATAACTAATGACTACTAACTGAAGGCATCAATAAAATCCTTGTATAAGGCATTAGTGAAGAGTGATTCCGGCAGTTCACGTAAGTATAGCTTTAAAATACCAGTAACGGCATTGATGTCAATATCTTTGATCAATAGATCCGCTTCGTAAGCGTCTATTAAATAAATAAATATATAAATAACAAATTATAAATATTATATATAAAAAATCTTAAATACAACTATCACTCACTTGTTTCGAAAGCTTTACGCAGTTTTTGTATATCTGATGACAGGCCGGACACTCGATATATGCCGACCTCTTTCATACCTCTTCGCTCGACTTCACGAATACAACTGCTTATCAAATAAGGAATACTTGTCTTCTCTTTTCTGTTTTTAAAAAAATTAAATCATTAAATTGTGTCAAAACAAACAAATCCAATGAGTACTTACCGGCACACCTGAGCCACGGCTAATCCAAAGGCACCGCATGTTTTAGTTACCGGTAATCGACTCAATTGCGACTCCGACGAGACATATCTCGCAGATATAGTTAATACACACTATAATAATAATAGTATGAAAATCAATACATTATTATCAGATCCTTAACTACATATAAAAAACACGGTTTTAAGACATACGTCTAAAATTGGAACCATTTGTTCGGTTTGTTTGCTTGAGAGCCACGTTTGGCTCAATTCGAGACCAGCTTTGCCTCTGAAAAATGGTTTTTGTTGACCATTAATCTCTTCGTAACAAAGTATACGCAACGTTTGGGAACCGTCCAAATCCATGATAAACTCCTGAGTGTAAAACAAAACAAAAACACATTATTGAGACAAACGAGTCGACAATTAATCAAAAATTAGCGATTCTGACAAATACCTGATCAAAGTGTGGTTCAATTGTTTGTCGGCATACTTGAGTAACACCTCGTTGCAGATAATGGCCATAAGTGTCCAATTCAAGTACAAAAAATATATCTGTGTCCACAAAAAAAAACAAATATCGAAACCCAAAAATGGTAATTAATAATTATAATAAATGATTAACTCATGAGTTAATAATAATAATAATATATTACCGGCTTCTCTACTCAATCCTTTCAGATGTTTAACAGTTAAGTATAAGTCGCCAAACAATAAGTCATCGTCTTTTGGCGATCGTAACAGAAATGAGCCCAAAGAGTTGGCGCTCAGGTTCTGTCATAAAAATTATCGGATAATTAATTATACAAAAATATATAACAAATTAATTACCGTTATTAACGTTAATAGTGTTTTTTATTAAAATTTAATGCCTACCTTACGACAGGTTTCAACCCATGCTTGTAGTTCATGAAAATTGATTGACTCGACAATGTTTTTAGTGATTTGAGCTAATAATTTACAAACAAAAAACAAACAATATATTAATTATTACTAATCGTTAGATAAAATAAATTGATTTTATATAACAATTAACAACAACAACAACAAAATCTACTGAAAAAATTCAATTACCAGATTGTTGTAAAACTTTGATGGATTCGCTCCATTGACTTCTTTCAAAATCAGATGACAAATAAAATGTATAGATTTTTCCACTTTTATGACTAATCGAAAACTTTTGTTGCGGTATATATAAGACCAGATGTGCCTCCTATTGCCAGTCCATCAGTCAATCAGTAATATATTCAAATGTTAAGTAAATTAATTAATTAATTACWAAACAAATGTGAATCAATCAAATAAAACAAAAATGTTTACCAAATCTGATCTCTTTTTCTTTAATTTTTCCAACAATTTTGTATTAACTTTTCCTTTCTAATGGATAACAAAAAAAATGTATTATTATTAACTATTTTATAGATAAAACTTTTTAAAACAAATATAYGATTTAATAACCACTAATCAAACCTCTTTCTCTTCTTCACGCGCTATCTGATGACGTGTTGTGATTACTCGTGACTTAATATTAAGTAAATTATTGCTAATCTCTTTGTTATCGACTAAACAAAACAAAAAAAAACAAACAATAAAAATCAATTATAGATAACAAACAATAGACATAAAAAAGACATTAAAAAACATACCATTAGTTTGATTATCATTATCTAAAATTGTGATCTCGTTTAGCACATTATAATATTTCAATTCAAATGTAAACTTTTGTCTAAAAACAAACACACAAACAAAACAATTGTTTTTAATAACATATATATAAAAATATAATTATTAAATCCAATTAAATAGATTATAATTACTTAGTCGATGGCTTATATTTGGCGCAAACGATAACATCGTTAAACAAGAATAGATGTCTTAACTTTCGTCTATCATCACTACCACCAGTGCTCTCAACAATAAAACTTTCTTTGACTAATCGTCTCTGTGTTTTGTCCTGAACCTAAATAATATGGTTAATCACACCAATTAATGAAACACATCCAACAAATCCAATAGTCTTTATCCATAAATGAACTATACTTACGGGAAACATCTGTTCGGTGGCCGCTATGTTCAGATCGTTTAGAAAACATTGAGTCATCTTTAAGGCACTCTTCAGTGCTCTGTATTCATCGATCTGATGGTCACTATATTTGAGCAAATCGTGTAAAACCAGTGCATTCTTCTGGACTCTGGCCACAGGTTTATGAAGTAGTTCTTTAATGAGTTATCAGTAAATAAAAATCAAATTAAATAACTATTTTAAAGTTATTATTATTAATATCATCAACAATACCTTCCAGACTAATCGACTGGCCTTTCATAGCCATAATTTTGATTGACTATAATAAATAAAATTAAACAAAAAAAAACATTTAATAATAACAACACCAATAGCTGATAATGTAATGGTTTGGTTGACATACTCTTGTGATTTCACTAAATTGATTGTTAGTTGCGCTACAATTATGAATGGTTTCGATGGCTTTGGAGTAATTCTTGAGGAAAGCACTGTAAGCACCCAAACGACTGGCCAAAACTTTGAACAATTCTCCGACATTGGCTGTCATCGTCGTCTTCTGGCCGTTAGAACCGACGGCGGCTCCGGTCGGGTTCGGGTGACAGCCATTGGTGTTGACACCGATTTTTGACATCACTTTTTTGAGTCCTTCGAGAAAATGGTTATGAATTGTATGCAATTCGGGTATCTTATAGAAAATGGTCGTCAAGTCTTCGCTGGTCAATAATGGATGAGTTGTTCCCAGTGTTGACTTCATTGCTTTCATATACTTTATACCAACAAAAAAAATTAAATTAAAATTAAAGCATATTTTTTAATTACAAAAATAAATGTATTATAAAATTGTGGCCTAAATATAGACAATAGTACCGGTAATTATTTTTTTTTTATAAAATGTTTATAAAATGTTAAATTATTAAATGTTTACTAATAATTAGAGATTCAATTAAAACTTAATGACCGGTAATTTTTTTCTTTTATTTAAATTTATTTATTTTACTGTTTTTAAATTATATGTGCAAATACAGTATATTATTTGTATTATACAGTTTAGCTTTAATTATATACAGTATAATAATAATACTAACAATTTTGTAAATTTTATTATTATTTTTTTTAAAATTATAAATAACTTTTATATACTTAATTAAAATATTTTTAGCAACTATTTGTCTGAATTATTGTGTTAAAATTTCCTCATTTTAAAAAGCCAGTTTTCTTATATAATAAATGTTAGTATTATTTTATTTATTTATTTTTTTTTATAAAATAAAACTATTTATATTAAATTATTGACAATATTTTTACAATGATAACTTAAATTATAGATGTAATATTTTTTAATTAATTAATTAAATTATACATTTTAAACTATTTTAAATTATTTATATATATGGCTTTTTTTAATTAATTAATTTTTGATTAATTTTAATTAACTTAATTTTTTTCAGAGCTTATTAATAATTAATATCAATAATATAGTTTGTAAAAATTTACATTAACTTAAATATATTATACGATTAATTTAAGGCAATTAAAAATAATTTCTAATATAATGATAAAATAAACTAAAAAATTTTAATTTATAATAATTTTTTAACAAAAAAAATGCTAATTACCTGGATCAGTGTGCTGAGACAATCAACATAAATGGTTTCGCTTTCAATAATGTTATTTATAATACAATGGTACATGGTCATATTTTTATTGTCACCATCAGTCGATTTAATCGTATTTTTCTTGAATAAATCAAACAACAAAAATTATAATTAAAAAAATTAAATAAATAATTCATTTATTCTAATAATAAAAAATAAAATATTTATTTTTAATAATTTCAATACACTGTATACCTGATTGTCGCTGAGATGATCTAATGATAAGACTTTTTTATCGCCACTATCAGCGATGATATCGCCCTCAAATACTTCGTCATAAGTAGGGGCTTGAAGTTCTGATTCTTTGTTTTTGTCCAACGATGACATCGATTGCATATCGTATGTATCACCGCTTGTGTCGATCAGATGCGAATCACGCAAACGATTATTACCACCAACACCAACAACATTGTCATCCATGTCGTGATCGCTGGACAACGATTGCGATATATGTGTTTCATTATCGTCGCTATCATCGCCACGCGATGATGTCTCTTCTTTGCGCAAAAAGTAATCAATATTAACATAATTGGCGTAACTATTGGATAAATTATCTGCCGTATCGTTTGATGATGATTGTTCACTGTGGACAGTGGTGGTGGGTTCATCGGGAGCTACTGTATCGTAGATATTTGGTTCATCAGTATATAGGATACTGTTGTCGCTGATACTTGTGGTGTCCTTATCATCGTTATCGTCATTATTGCTACTATTGTTGGTATTGTTCTTCTTATGTTTCGCCGACGACGACGAATGTTTGTGAAGAAGATTATTGTCATCAAATTTTCTGGCATTTATTGAATCACTTTTGGCAACTTTCGGTTTACGCGGTGGTGTCGGCGGTCTTTTCTTTTTGTTAGCCAATAATACTATCCAAAAAAATAATTGAAGAGTTTGTCGTGAAAAACAAAACAAAAAATATACCGAATTAAACAACACTAGCAATACATACATTCATTGCCATCATTTGAGGTAATATTATGTCTATCGGTCAACAACGGCGATGACTGATATAATGGATTATCAATTAACGGCTTCCTATTGTTGTTGTTGTTGTTGCTGCTGTTCAGATCAGATCTCTGTATTTGGCCATAGCTGCTAACAGTAATAACAGTAACATATTGGTCGTCTTTGGTCACACCATTGTTATCGCCACTATTGCTGTTAACCAATACATCGTCAACTGGTGTCGACGTTGTGGTCGTTGTCGTCTCCGACTTACTATTATCATCGTTGATATCCAACAACTCGTTATTACCGAATGTATTGGCTATAAATAAACATCAGAAACAACAACAAAGAGTTAGTGTCCAACAACTATGACAACAAATTTAGATGATCTCAATGAATGATATCTCATACCAAATAACTTGTGTTTGTCGACATCTTCAAGCAGTTGTTGCAGATATTGTACATAAAACTCTTCTTTTTCAAGCTCTTTCCTCAGCTGATCCACTCGATGCTGATGTTTATCCAGATTGGCCTTAACATCTTGTTCCCATTCTTCGGGTAACTGACACGTCTGGCCGAAACGTTGTGACCAGGCATCGGAAAAATCGCGAAATACATTACTACCGACTGATTGACAGTCGTCGCCACCACCGCCGCCGCAACCATCGGCTTCATCGACATCGCCGATACTACTCATTTCAATCACCACTACTACTACTACTTCTAACTTCTTAGATCACCACTAATCAGATACAGAAATTAAAATGATATGATATTATCATTAAATAATATATCCATTGTTGACACACATATCATAAATACTTTGATATACTGTTAACAATAATACTTACATTAATGTCATTCAAAATATGATATCAAAACAAACACTGCATTACTTTATTCACTGATATATTAATATTAATATAACTATTATATAACAACACCATTGATATTACATTACAAACACCACTAATCATATATCAATCAATCATTTAATTGTATTATAAAAATTCAATTCAATTAGTAATGTCTATTAAAAAATTTATTATATATTTACTAATAATAATATTATTAGTATTAATCATTCAATTGTGGTTTCCATATACAGTTGAAAATAATATTAATTAATTAGTATAGCGATTGTCAACACAAAAAACAATATATGATATTTACATAATATAAATATATAATGTTATATAAGTGTTAATATTAAAACTAATAATAATAATAATAATAATATACAGTATTATTGATACCCAACCCGTATTAGTTGACAGACAACTATTTTTAATACATAAGTACAGTATATAACTCCCATAAAGTATATATCATAAACAGTCTAACCATACAACTACTGGTACTATACTGTACTACTGGTATAGATGTTGTAAACTATTGAATAATACAGTAGTTTTTTTTTTATTAGATGTTTATACAGGCATGGTCATTGGTAATAGTAAAATATTTATTATTATTTTTTTAATAAAAAAAATATTTTATATTTATTTATACAGTATATGAGAAAATTTGTTGCAATAAAAAAAATATTTATAATTTTTTTGCCCCTAAATGTGTTTTTTCTATATATATATATGCGTTTAATATATGTTTTTATGGTTTTATTATTATGTTTTTGTTTGTGTGTTAATTTTATTTAAAAATAACTTTTTTCATAAAAAATAGTAAATTTCTAAATAAAATTATAATATTAATTTAATAATTTTAATCAAATTTTTTTAGATAATAATTTTCCAACACATTTTTTAGTTGTTGTTGTTGTTAATTTAAATCTAGTTTATGGTACAAAATTTATGATAAATATATAAACTAAAAGTTATTTTATTTATTTAATTTTTTAAAACGATAGTAAACTTTTAATAATACAGATAATAATGTACACACTCTGTACATACTGAGTGAACTATTAAATTTATATGACATTTCCATTCATTGATAACATAACACTAATAATACAAATATTACTGTACAGTGTGTGTACACTAATTCAATAATTTTTTAATAATAATAATAATATTAATGATATAAACAAAACACAAAAATTTTTTTAAAGATTACGTAAAAAAAATTAGTTTACATTACATTAGAGTATAACTAATAATAATAATAATAATAATAATAATCAGTTAAAAATATATATTAAATAAACAAAACCAATGATTATATGATTTAATTAATTAATTAATTATTATTATTATAACAATAGTGTTGTGAATATTAATGTGAATTTTAATAATAAATAAATTATTTTTTTTGAGACCAATTGAAAGGTTATAATAATATCGACAATGTATTTGATGTCCGGATGGCCGCAAACATTGGCCAACACCAGCCGTGTACACCAAGTAGTGGCCAATACCGACCGGACATTGTTTGCCACATTGACCGCTGATGAACTGGCCATTTGGTACTATCGACCGTCGGTCAAGATTGTCGGCCATCGACGAGACGCTGCTTCGGTCGATTCGTTGGGCGCCAATCTGGCGCTTGTCTGGCGGCCCGATTCGACACTAATTGTTGTCCAAACTGACAAACACTTTCTTCTCTATTACGATGTCCGACAAAAACAATCGCCGGATCAGCTATTGCTACGCACTCCCATCAAGTATGTGTGCGGTGTGGACATCATCGGTCATCATCGTAGCGATGATAATGTCTATTGTTGTTGTTGATAATAATCTGATCCCATATTTATTTTGTTATCTTATCGATTCACTTCTTCCTAAAGTTTTTCATCGCTATCGTTGATGAGCCAACAAATACCATCGCTGGTACTCATACTGTCCTCATCGACACACATATCATCGGGCATTATGTGGTAAAATTGAAAACTTATTAAGATTCAAACATATCGTTTGAATGTTTTAATCACTGCTTTTTTAAATTAATTATTATTATTATTATCAAAGTTTGATGGCGGCTGAAGAAGAGATAGTGTTGGCCACGAAAAATGGTAATACACTACTGATTACCCAATTTTTACTGTTACACCCGATAATCACTAATTTTTTTTATATATATAATAGGAGAGCTGTGTGGTGTCAATTGGGACGGAACTATTGACCAATCGTTTATCTGGAAACTGACATCGAAATCATTGTCGGCCACCGACGACATCAATGTGATTGATATAAAATACTCGTCAATGATCGGCGGCTTTGCCCTAGTGTTCAGCTGCGGTCGGCCAGCATTTATGCCACTACACCATTCGTCGCCGAGCGAACCGACAACACCCGACGTTATGGCCGGTAGTCCGCCACAGTTTGAGTTCAATTCGATGATCCAATTTGTTGCCGACGTCGACAATGCCTGCTGCTGTGCGATTAACCATAAATACCAATTGCTGGCCTACGGACTGGCCAATACCGACGGTGTTGTTTGTTGTTTAGACGACACACAAAATGCTATTATAGTAACTCACAGACTAATACTCTCTGCCGATACATTTCCCGGTAATTATATATAATTTTCTTAATCCCGATAATTGAATCCCATTGAATGCTATTTATAACCGTTACCACGTCCCACATTATACCCCACACCCCCTTCAACCCAGATGCTAGCTCACGAGCCGGTGCCATGACTTGTATTCAATGGACACCCGATTCTACTGTATTGGCCACTGCCTGGCAAAAAGGAGGCTTCGCTTTGTGGTCAGTCTTCGGCGCTCTGCTGTCGTGCAGTTTTTCCTGGCATTTGTCGCCAACCGATACATTCAAATCCACTCATTTTATAGTTAGTTCAATGACTTTTGGCAAAGAAGGTAATCATAATTATTTTTTTATTATTATTACCGATAAAATAAAACTAATTATAATATGTTTTTTAATTGTTTTTTAATAATATATTAATAGGATATCATCTATGGTTAGCCACTAAAAGTGTCAATAATAATAATAATAATACAGACAGTAGTAACGGTAGTAGTAGTAATAGTGAGGACTGTCTATTAAATGGTGTATCTAAGCTACCGATGGTTAAGAGTATCATTGCATCCAATCCCAGTTCATCCATAAGAGAAGAATTTGTTTTACTAATATCTGAAGATCGACTGTTCATTGGTTTCGGTGCCGTTAATGTCAATCAAGATAATAATAATAAACTATCGCCACCGATCAACAACAATGATTTTATTGATAATTATAGTACCGGTAATAATGCCAATAATATTGCCGATGATATAATGCCATCGACTAATTGTTCAGGTATTTCATCTATTTTTTTTAAGGTTGACTTTATTTTTAACCAATTTTTTATTTTATTTTTAGGTAAAATATTTTGTGAACAACAACCGATTGCTGTCGGCAATCTCCAGTGGATTATAACAAATATGCCTCAAAGATATCTACTGACCAATTGGCCGATCAGATACGCGGCCATCGATGATATGAACCAACACATTGCTATTGCCGGACGTACCGGTTTAGCTCATTATTCAATGGCGCAGAGAAAATGGAAATTATTTGGTATAGTATTTGTTGTTTTGTCTTTATTTAATAATTACCGATTATTTTACTGTATTTTTTTTGTTTGTTTGTTTGCAGGCAATGAAACTCAAGAAAAAGATTTTGAAGTTTGCGGTGGACTTCTGTGGTGTTTGGATCACATTGTGGTCAGTTGTTATAATATGATGGACGCCCGCTACGAACTGAGAACCTATTATCATAAACACAAACTGGACAACCAGTTTGCCCGTATCATCAAAGTGGACAACGAAGTACTGGTTATGTCGTTGATGAATACAAATCTGCTGACTTATCTCATCGATGGTAGTATACATCTATACGAACTGGTCAACCACTACGATAGCTATATGTCATCACTGCATATAATATATAAAACTGAAATTTTGGTCAACAATCTAATAGTACCGCCCGAATGTGTAACACTATTAGTGTTAACCAAATTACAAACAGAATCATCCAAAGAGCAGCTATCGATACTAATGAATATTTGCGGTCGACTTTTACTACTAGAAAGAGATGCCGATAGTCAACAATTATCGACACTGAATAGTAGTAGTAGTACTAGTAGTAGTAGTAATAGCAATAGTTATAATAATAGCAATAATAATGATAACAATAATATTATTGATAGTAATAATAGACAAAACATGAGCCGTGAGCCGCCAAAAGATCAGAAAATGTTTTATAAAAAAGTTTCAATACTAGCGTCGGGTGTGGAAAATGTTTGGCTATCAAACATAAATGGCAAATCAGATCGGCCACATCTAACCGAATCCTTATATATATCGTGCGGTTGTCACGGTATGGCCGTCTGGTTGCCATTGTTGCCGCTGCCCGAACAGCAGACCACTAGCCATAGTTTTATGTCCAAACGAATTATGCTACCGATTGCCACACATATATATCCGTTGGCCATCTTATTCCGCGATGCCGTTATGTTGGGCGCCGAAAATGATACAGTTTTGGGCTCAAAACACCTGCCAATTGCACTGCCATTTTCCGTTATCTCCCGTACCAGTCAAGTATATTTGCATCATATACTACGTGAACTGTTGCGCCGTAATCTAGGTCTACACGCTTGGGAAGTGGCCAACAGTTGTTCAAATTTACCATATTTTCCACATTCTCTGGAACTGTTGCTTCACGAGGTACTCGAAGAAGAAGCTACAAGTTCGCAACCGATTCCCGACGCACTGTTGCCCCGAGTTGTCGACTTTATCCGAGAGTTTCCCGTTTTCTTGCAAACGATAGTCCACTGCGCCCGCAAAACCGAGTTAGCTCTTTGGCCGCATTTGTTTTCCATTGTTGGCAATCCTAAAGACTTATTTCAAGTACTAATATAAATAATGACAATTACCGGTATTAGTAGTAATAATTATTTACCGATTTATTCTCTCTCTATAATAGAAATGTCTATCTGAGGGACAGTTGGAAACGGCTGCCTCTTATATAATTGTTTTGCAAAATATGGAAAAAACATCGGTATCCCGACAGTACGCTACACTATTGTTAGACGCGGCCCGCAATTCCGGTTGTCTAACTGTTGTCAAAGATTTGGCCAGATTTTTGCGTGCCATTGACCAATCGGAATCGGAAAGCGGAGCACACGGCGGCCGTACGTCGACCAGTTCGATGAATGGACCACTTTTATCATCGCAACTATCAACCGATTCGATGGGCGATAGTTATGCTACACATGTGTCGCTTCAAAAATCAGGTAAAATATGATTACATAATTACCGGTAATTAGAAAAAATAGACGGTTCCTCTAAATGGGCATTGTATTGACTAAAAATAATAATAATTGCTTTTATTATATAGGCGCTGGTAGGGGAGATACCGATGCTGATGATGAAGTACTACATCATCATCAACAACAACAACATCAACAGCAGCAACAATACAATATGAAACAAATAAATGGTGATAATCACAATAGTGTTGGCGGTGGTGTTGGTAGCGGTAGTAGCGCTGGTGGTGGTGGTGTCGGTGGAGGCAATAATACGTCACTACTAGTATCGCGATTGAATAGCATTAAGATCAGTGCCTTTCCGGGAACAACGACCAGATTAACTGATTATAATAATACTAGTGATGTTTCATATAATTTCAAATTAAACACTACTACTACTACTAGTAGTAGTAATACCGGTATCGGTAATACCGGAGCTCATACTACGGCTGACACCAAATTATATGATCAAAATGGTATGACTCTCGGATGATGTTTTATAAAAGTTTTAAATTTATAATTTAATTATTTTTGTTTTGTTTTTTTTGTCAAGTAATTGGTCGTTCTAATCAATAAATGATTACCAATGATGACCTCAAAATTTAGAGCTGGATTAACTTAATTAACCTGGATTATTATTATTATTATTATTTTTGTATAAATCAAAATGTATAATTTTATATACTGTATATACATATGTGTGTATATATAGATATATGTTAAATTGGTTTTTTTATTCTAGTAATATATAAAATTGGGGGAAAAATCATTTGTAAATTGCAACTAATATCATCCATCCATATATATATATACAGAATAATTAAGGTAATAACTAAATATATATATATTTGCGCCATCATTATCATCATTATGTTAAACAAACAAATATACAAATATAGGAAAAAATCGTTTTTGTTGTTTTTTTTAATAATTATTATTAATAAATATAAATAAATAATTTTTTTACAAATTTATAATTCGCATATACAGAGTATCAATATATCAATTAAATTTATACACTAATTTAAAGGCTATATATAACAATGATTTATTATATTAAAATTATTTATTTAATATTAATTAATTTAAATAAGTTTTATACAAATAGATAAAAAAACATTGAAAAATATATATATATTTATTTCACATATCTTTGCCGCCACCGTCCGTATCGTGCATTTCGCCGAAACAATGTTTGGCCTTCGGGTCCCGATAGGAATTTTCGTGTTGTACAGATGCCGAACTGGTACGACATCGGGTCAGACATAGTTCAAAGTGATCGGTAATGCTGGCCATCAGTATGTTTAGTGTGTCGCTCCGTTTTTGGCTAATCATTTTGGTCAACAACGGTTTCTTTGACGGCTCCAAACAACACGATATACAATACTCATAGACAGCGCAACAGCCGTTAGTCTGGATTTTTTGTTGTAAAGACCCGAAAAAACAATCATTTTTTGTTAGATAATTATTTAGTAATATAAGACATTTTTTGTCTTTAAGACCAGAGTGTCGAGACATACCTGACAGGTATCACATGAGAAGCGCCGAGTTGTGGCACTACTGGCGTCACAACAGCCGCTAAGGAGAACATCTTTACGATGGCAGACAAATCCGCGTTCATCGGAGATCAAGGCTTTGCCTTGAATTGAGTTGCGACAAACACGGCTAACAACATGGACACCATTGCCGCCTCCGCCGCCGCCATTGGCACCGCCACCGTTGGTGCCGTCGTCGTTGATATCACTCATGTCGACGGCAGCCGATTTGAGTGCCGATCCGTTGGCATCGCCACCGGCGGCGACCATATCTGGCGACAAATGTTGCGACTGACGAATAATGTGTTGCAAGCGGTCGGTGTCCAAACTGTTGCCGTCGTAGTCGTCGTCGACAACCGCCGACGTATGGCCTGCGGTCTTGTTGTGGCCGAACAACGATACGAGACAATAGGTCAGCGATAGTGTCAATATCAGTGCCAATACTATACGTTTGCGTAATAGTCTGGCAATCAGTGCTAACACTTGATAACAACTATTTGTGGACAACAACGACGCCGCCGATGCCGACGACGACGACATCGTTAATATCGGTGATAAAACCCGCGCACGTGTTGTTGCTGTTGTTGTCGCGCGCGCACCGATTGATCACTAATAACATATCACACATACATATAGTTTTTGTGTATTTAATTGATCCAATGATTTATACTATTTAGATAATGATGTCAAGTGTGTGATTATAATAACTGCGATAATTGTTATTTGTTTTGATTTTGTTGTTATTATTATTAACTTAATTGTGATTTTGTTTTATAGTACTGTATATACCGTATGTGTTATATAAGTGTTCAGTGAATTGAATAAAACTGTAAATAATTTTTTTGTTATTATTTTTTTTATAACATTATTATTGTACCTAAAAATTACGTCAAAATAGATTTTAGTAGTTATTCTGTACTAAATAATACCAGAATCCTATATATATATATATATATTATACAAATTTTAGATTGAAATTAGCTTAGAAATTAAATTATCATGATAATATATTTAAATAATTACTTAAAATAAAATTATTAAACAAAAATATAGTTATTTAATCAATTAACATATATATAGAATATTTTAAAAATTTATATTTTTATAGATTTTTGTTTTTATTGGAAAACAAAACCAAATATAAAATATTATTTTTTTTTTGATTACAATTATTTAAACTTTTTTTTTTAAATTAAATATTTATACAATTTATTTATTTAGTTTATAAAAAAGATTCTGATTATAATTAACATTATAAATGTATAAAAAAAATTATTATTTTTAATATTTAAAATTCTATATATTTATATGTCTATGTGATTCGTAATTTATGTTGCATAATACAAATTTTTATGGTTTATTGATTCTAGGTTCATCAAATAATTATTACTTAATCGTTACATAATAGTATATATATGTAACAATATATTGATATATATATATATATATATATATATAATATAATACTGTACAGTATAGTATGTATGTATTATATATCAGTATATAATTTAATAATAAAACAATAAATATTTGGTATTGCCCAGAATATTCTTTATTAATAATACAATATCTATATCTATATATATAAATATTTGATAACCACTTGTTATTTATTATATTTCGATACAATAATTTTTATTTATTTATTTTTATTTTTTGGATACAATATTTTAATTTCAAATAATTTTTGTGACTATAAAAAATAGTTAACTATAAATATGGCCTATTTTTATGTCTCCTATATTTTATTAAGTTTTAATTAATCCTCAAAAAAAATAAAATATTTACAGTATAATTATTTCAATAATGCAATACTTGGTCAACTTTATTGGTCAACAATAATGATATAAATATTTAATAAATTAATAAGCAACAAAATTATGATTAAATTAATAGATTTTAATAGATTTTTACAATTACTCATTCAATATATTGTGCTCAATCATTATCTATTATTGTTATCCAATGCACTTCCCAGTACTATTAAAATTGGTAAATTATAATTTTTTTAATAAATATATTTATATTTAATTTTATAATATAAAATATAATATGATTGATATTGATAATATATTAATAGTAGTTTATAAAATATATAATTCATTGAAAATAATAAGCTTATTTAATATTATGATTTTTATATGTATTTATTTAATGTACTTATGTAAATGTTTTATGATTTATTTATTTATTTCTAATCAATCTTAATTAATTAATGTGATTTTATTATCTAACAAAAAAAACAATTTTATAGATTTGATTATTAGTGATTTGATTGGTCTATGATTTATTGATATGATAATGATGTTGGTTGGTTAAATAGTTGTTTTGTTATGTGTTTGGGTATATTATCCTATTTGGTATATATATATATTATTGATATATGAAAGACTATGGGTGATATTAACTACAGTACCTGTGTGTGTATATATATGTATGTATGAGTACAGGTGCTCTGTTTGGTGATGACCAGCACGAAGAGGAACTGTTGTTCCGGTTTGCCGTCGACCGGATCAACTCGGACTCGACAATACTGGCCCAGACAACACTAGTGCCACAAATCGAAAGGGTCGACCATTTCGACAGTTTTCACGCCAATAAAAGAGGTGATAATAATGATTAGTAAAACATTTGATTCATTTAATCATTATATATATATAATGTAATAAATCAAACCCAAACAGTATGTTCCTTATTAAACAACGGTGTGGTAGCAATATTTGGACCGTCGGGTCTCAGTGCTAGTTCATCGCACACACAATCCATATGCGATGCACTGGAAATACCTCACGTAGAGACCAGTTGGGACTTTCAGATACAACGAGACGATCTATCGATTAATTTGTATCCGAAAACTGTTGTCTTAGCCAAAGCTTATATAGATTTAGTTAAAGCTTGGAATTGGAAAGTGTTTGCCATTGCTTATGAAACTAATGAAGGTTTTTATCTTTTTTTAAAAAAATATATTAATTAATCAATTAATTAATTTTTATACACAATACGTACGGCTCAGGTATCATCAGAATACAGGAGTTCCTCAAGGAAGCTGAACGCCACGATTGGCAGATATTTCTCTATCAGTTTAAGCCGGGAAAGCCCTATAGAGACACTTTCTGGGAGATTAACAAATCGCACTCAAAGATTGTCAATATTGTATTGGATGTCAAACATGAAAATTTGGTCAACGTTTTGAGACATGTATTTAAAAAATATATAAAAAATTAAAATTAATTATTATTTTAATATTGATTATAATTTAATTAATTAAGGCTCAACAAGTTGGAATGATGACCGAGATACATAGTTATTTGATAACATCATTGGTTAGTTTTAATTAATTAATTAATTAATTATTACTATTTATTACAAAATGTATTTTTTGTTCATCAGTTTGATTGATAATGAATATTATACTGTAATATACTGTATATTGATTTTTCAAAAAATAAAAATGTTTAAATACTTTTACAGGACTTACATACAGTCGATTTGGAGGACTTTAAGTTTGGTAATACAAAGATCTCATCGTTTCGTTTGGTTGATGTAATCAGTCCCGAACTACAGGATCTGATGAGCCAATGGTCACTATTGGCCTCGAAAATTGGCAAAAAACATATATTGCCCCCAAAATATATACTGGTATGAATTTTAATAATTATTTTTTTTTATATATTAAATACAATATATATAATTCACTTTTTTGTTTGTTTGTTATAACATTTTTTTAGACGGACTCTGCACTGGTCTACGATGGCGTCAAACTGTTGGCCACTGCTCTGCAAGACTTGGATCAAAGTCAGTCAGTTGACGGCATTCAGCCGATATCCTGTGAAAATGGCAGTCCCTGGCTATACGGAAGCTCTCTTATCAATTATATGAGACCTGTATTTTAATACATATTTGTTTTTTTAAATTAACACAATTTTTAATTATCAAATATTTTTTTTAAAGATTACATTCCGCGGTATTACAGGACTGGTTGGTTTTGATCAGTCGGGTTACAGATCCAACTTTGCATTGGACGTCATGAGTATATTTCCCGATGGACTACAAAAAGTATAACTATTTTTTTATTATGTGTTTTAGTTTAATATTTTATTATAGTATATAAATTATAGTTAATTTTTTAAAAAATAATATTAAAAATATAAAATAATTATCATTTGTTTTTGTTGGGATTACCATTTAGATTGGCTATTGGACTGAAAATTCACAGGTAAACGGCACCAGTAGTTTGCAAATCAACTCGGATATGATGAAACAGTATTCAGTGATATCGATGAAAAACGTTATGCTAAGGGTTACCACAATTATCAGTGAACCGTATACCATGTGGAAGGAAAGTGCCATTTCAAGGGAGGGTAACCAACAGTACGAAGGCTTTGCAGTGGATCTAATCGAAGAGTTATCCAAAATTATGGGATTCAGCTATCGATTCCAATTGGTCAAAGACAATGCCTACGGCATCAAAGATGAAAATGGCAATTGGAATGGAATGATAGGTATAATTGTCTATACATTTTTTATATCACCATAATTTGATCCAATAATCATTAACAACTATCCACAAAAAACAGGTGAACTGATCCGAAATGAGGCCGACATTGCTATTGTCGATCTAACTATTAGTTCCAAACGTGAAGAAGCTGTTGACTTTACCCAACCATTTATGAACACCGGGATTAGTATATTGTTTAAGAAGCCGACAACCAAAGTGACGACACTGTTCTCGTTTTTGTCGCCCTTTCAAAACATTGTCTGGATTTACGTTTTGGGCGCCTATATCAGTGTCAGTACCATACTGTTCATTGTAGGCCGACTAACGCCGTGTAAGTAAATTAATATATACTGTATATATCAATATAATTACCGATATTTATATATATATATATTTAAAAACATATATATAGATGAATGGGATGACCCGCACCCGTGTAGACAGGGAGATAATGTATTGGAAAACAATTTCAGCTTGATCAATAGTTTTTCATTTACCATCGGCACAATGATGCAACAGGGATCAGCTGTAGCACCCAAGTATGTACAGTATTTTAATTAATATACACTAAATATTAAGGTATATACTTTATATATATGAAATATAAATTTTCTAAAAAAACCAACTGTCCATTCATCCATTCAGAGCAATGTCTACCCGAACCGTAGCAGCCATTTGGTACTTTTTTACACTGATAATGATATCGTCGTATACGGCAAATTTGGCCGCATTTTTGACAGTCGAAAAAGTGATTTATCCCATCGAAGATGCCGAAGGTATGGCCTCACAGACACAGATCAAATACGGCTGTCTGGGAACCGGTACGACCAAAGCATTCTTTGCCGAATCCAAAATACCGACTCATCAGCGAATGTGGGCATTCATGAAGAATAACCCGTCGGTGTTTACCAAATCCAATCGGGACGGCATTGAAAGAGTCCAGAAAAGTAATGGCAACTATGCTTATCTAATGTAAGTTTTTTAGTTAATTAATTAATAATTAATTACCGGTAATTAATTGCAAATTTGATATAAATAATCAATTATTAAATATTTTATTTATTTATTTAATTTTTTATTTATAAATAAAACTTGGATTTCATAGGGAAAGTGCATCGATTGAGTATAAGATTGAAAGGGACTGTAATTTGACACAAATCGGTGGACTACTCGATACTAAAGGATACGGAATTGCCAGTCCTAAAGGTATTTTAGAGGGGAAAAAATATATTATTAAATAATTTAATTGCAATTTTTTGTGTGTGTTAAAAAACAATTTAAAATACATTATTATTTTTTATTTTTTTTTAAATACAATAGATTCTCCATATAGAAACCCATTATCGCACGCTATATTGAAATTACACGAAAACGGAATACTATTGCAATTAAAGGACAGGTGGTGGAAGCAAAAGAAAGGTATGTACTGTCTATCCAACCCATACATACACATAATATTTTTTAAAAAAACAATAACCTTATGATTTAAACTTTTTTATAAAAAAAATGCTAACCTTTCTCTAACCATCCCCACCCCACCCCAAACTCATTTGTGTGGATCAGGTGGTGGTAAATGTGCTGAAGAGACAAAAAAGTCTTCAGCCGTCAACAATCTGAGCATCGATCACGTCGGCGGTGTTTTTGTGGTCCTATTGGGAGGTCTGACCCTATCGTTTTTGGTGGCCATCTTCGAGTTCATTTGGAAGGCTAGAAAAAGTGCCGACAAAGAGGTCAGTGAGGTTGTTGTCAGTATTCAAACTACAATTTTTTTCTTATTTATTTAAAAAAAAACATTTATTATTTCCCAATTATATTGTATTTGTCTAATAGTATCTTTAAAAAAAGTTTAATTAGTTTTATTTTTGGTTCATTTTTTTCTATTATATCAATAAATATTTTCTATAATTTAATTTCCTAAATCTTATCTTAAACTAAATAAATATATTGTATTTATTTTTTGTGATTTTTTGTTTTGTTTTATGATTTCAGGAATCAGTTATCGATGAGATGATCAAAGATTTGAGGTTTGCTTTTGCGTGTCAGAGTAAGACAAAGATTGTCCAGAAAAATGACGACTTTGTCAAAGACAAGTTCAGCGATTCGTGTCCACCACAGTATGGATCAGATTATAATACAATTTACTGATTCTTATTACTGGTATTACTTATTTATATTTTTAGTATTAATAATATTATTACTGCTATGATATTATTATTATTATGGTTTAGTTAAATAAGCAAAAACTTAAGGCATATAATGATATAACTATCGATAATATTATCGATGAATATCTATATAATTAAATTTCAGTGAGTTTTTCTTTAATCATTTTATTTTATTTTTTTAATTTTAAATAACTATTTAAAGACAAAATATATAAATTTTTAATATGCAGTTAAATTATAGTATAATTTTTTGTTGTTTAAAAACTTGCTATCAGCCAATAAATGGTAATTTAATTATTAATGATATGCTAGTTAATGATTTGCTATTATGATATATATATATATATATATATATATATATATATATATATATATATAAATTTATTTATCTAATATAATAATCTTATTTTAGTTAATTAATTATTACTTAATATTAATTAACAAACAGCAATAATTTGTGATTTTTTGTAATAATAATATACAGGTTTGCCAGTATATAAATTAGATAAAGAAAATTTTTTTAGTTAGTTATTAGATATTTAATTTCAATTTATTTATTTATAGAATCCTTATATATACAGTACATGTATATTAAATTTTTATATAATTTATTTTTTATTAAAAAAAATTATTAATATTATTAATACTACAAATGATTGGTGATCATTATTGTTAATACTATAATATTTAATACTAATGTATAAATACTAATTGAAATTTATTATAATAATTATTATGAATTTTTATGATATTAATATATATATATATATATATATATATATTATAAATATTTATAAAAAAATAATAATATTTATATCTATAAATATAATTCCTGTACATTACCTAATAGAGAGTTACTAATTGTATAACTTATTGTTATTATTAAAGTTATGCATTTTTTCATAAAAACAAAACAAAAAAACATTTGCCAAACAAGTTGTCCCTCAATTTTGCCAAACAAGTAAAACAATTAATTATAAGCTAATTTTTAAATGCCAATTAATTGCCAAAAAATAATAATAATTCATTTGGACTGATTTTTATTTATTATTATTATTTTTTTGTTAAAAATAAATAATAAAAAAATATCATTACTATTAATATAAATTGTAATATTTAATAGAATTATTTCAAAAAAAATACAAAACAAAATTATATTAAAAATAATTTTTAAAATTAAATTTTTAAAAAAATTAACCAAAATTGCTTCTGTCTACGCACATAATGATATTGAAATTGTTTTATAGTTTTTAATAATTTCAATTTTATTGTAATATTTAACACAAAAACAAAAAATTAAAAAAAAAATTATTTAACAGTATTAAAAACAGTATTTTAGGTTTTATTATTAACTGTAATATTAATACATAGTTAAAAGTTAAAAGATGTTATACTGTATATTTGTTTATTTGTACAGTAATTACTATTGATAAACTAGTATAACAGTATAGAGTAAACAAAATATACAGTATACACTGTTTATAGTATACATATGTAATAAATATATATACAGAATATATATCGATGACAATTTATTTCTAATATTTCTAATTATTATTAAAAAAAAACAAAAATTGTACATTAACACAGAGATTACCATGAACATTTTCAAAATTATACCATTATTATAACAATTATTATAAAAATAAAGTAATTCAAAGTGTGATTTTTCATTATATTATATTATAGTAATATATAATATATATATATTATATTACCATAAAAAAAACATTTTTGAAATTATTATAACATATAATTAATATTATTAATAATAAAGTTTGCTTTCAAAGTACTACTTATTAATTTATTTATTACTATTTATCATTAATTATATATACATATATAAGTATATATAAGTTATAAAATAAACTTAACGGCAAATTAAATATTTATTTAGTTATTTATTGTATACAGGTATTATTAATAAGGTAGGTCACATTCAATTATACTTTTAAAAAAATATATTACCTGGTAATATTAATAATAATTACAACAATTTTTATAAATCAAATAAACATCCAATTTTATTTACAATATTTTAAAGTCATTTAAAATTTATAATAATATTCATATTTATATATATATATATATATAATATGTATTCAAACAACAGTGTAGTGTTCAATCATGTCAATGATATAAATTTACATCAAATATACCTTTATATACAATAATTAAAAATCAAAATTAAATAACAAAAATAGACTATAAGTTGTTATTTTTTCATCTATAATGATATACAACAGTAATATCATTGAAGAAATCAATAATATTTATCGTCAAAAAATTAAATAAATAAAAATAAATATAGTAATTACTAATTACTTATTATAAACACTCAATAATTTCAATTGAGATTTTTTTGTTTAAAAAAATGACTACAAAAAACAATGTTAAATATATATATAATCAAGATTTACAAACCATAGTATTATTATAATAATATAATTACAAATTATAAATAAATAATTAAAAAAAAATAAATTTTCCCCAAAAAAATAAACACTAAACTTATGGTAATATATCGCCAATCAATTGTTTCATTGAGTCTGTCAGAGAATCGGGAAATTTGATATCAAAATGTATCAATAGGTCACCCCTGCGATTGGGTTCCTTCGGATAGGGCAGTCCGTGACCAGACAAACGTTTAACAGTTGTCGGTTTGATTACTTCGGCTATCCTGACGGGCATTTTCTCCCCGGTCAGTGTCGGTACTGTTATCTGAGTACCGCACAGGGCGTCCTTTAGCGTAATTTTAGCCGTATAGACAATATCGTGACCGTCGCGTTTGAACATCGGATGCGGTTTGTCTTTGATAATAAATATAATATCGGCGGGTATTGAACCCGAATTCTGGTCGCCTTCGCGTTGAAACGTAATCTTTGTTCCGGCCTTCCAGCCGGGCTTAACATTAATGGTTAACACTTTGTCCTCTTTGCGATAGCTTTTGCCATCAGTGTTCAACACTTTACGGGTAATCTTCATTTTCTTTGTACAACCCCTGAGCACTTCGTCGAGTGTGACCATCAATTGGTGTTCGACAGGCGGGTCTTGTTTGGCACGATTTTTACGAGGAGAACCACCCGATGATGTGTGACTTTGTTGTGTGAATATATTTCCCGGACGACCGCCCGGTTGTCCGCCACCGGACATAAAATTATTCATAAATATATGATCGTTATCGATATCCATATGCTGTTCGAAACCTTGACCACCGACACCACCCGGGTGCTGGTGGCCGCCCAGTCCTCCCATATTGAAGAACATATCAAATGGATTATCGGTACCGAAAAACTGGGAAAAAGTTTGGCGGGGGTCGCCATGAAATTCGTATGTAAAATTCGATCCAGAGGTACCAAAACTACCGCCACCTCCACCACTACCAGGACCTCCTCCGCCGCCGCCGCCGATACCACCTTTCAGTCCTTCTTCGCCAAACTGGTCGAAAATATCGCGCTTTTTCTTATCCGATAATACTTCGTAGGCTTCGGCAATATCTTTGAATTTTTCTTCGGCTCCCTTATCCTTATTCTTGTCCGGATGGTATTTGAGGGCCAGTTTGCGATAGGCTTTCTTGATTTCATCGTCGGTAGCCGTCTTCGCGATACCCAATATCTTATAGTAGTCTTTACCCATTTTTGTTGATATTCAGGGATCAATTAGTTGATTAAAAAATATTTAGTATGCGATATATATATATCGCGCGGGACTATGAAAACTCTTAGCAGTTCTAGTCGTTGGGATGTCTTCTTCTTATTCTTCTTCAGACACAAACACCGAATGAGTGGATCCTTTTCGTGGAAGTGATTCCTCTTTTTCAGAGAACGAAAGTCCCGAAGATTTTTCTTCTTCTTATTATTTTTGATGAGATATTACTTAATAAAAGTGATTACCAGTAATGCGATCAACACTTTGTATATGACATTCACTGTTAAAATATATATATATTTTTAGGCTTTAATATAGTATTTAGTATTATATAGTGTTATGTGTCGTATAATCGCTATATTTATAGACCTTTTTAATACATTTTCTACAATAATCTCCAAACTTCTCGAATGTTCTCGAATAGTGTCTTACATATAGTACGTCATGATATAAATAACGTCATCAATATTAGCATATCGGGGGGTTTTACTGGGGGTGGGGAGGGGTGGAGAGGGGAGGGGGGAGCCAACCAAATATTAATTAATCTTATAAAATATATTTTTTTTAAAGTTAATTTAATTTTTCAAAACAAAAATAAAGGATATATATATATTTTTTTAAAGTTTCAACATATAATAGTTTAAGTGTGTGTGTGTATGTGTGTGTGTGTGTGTGTGTGTGTGTGTGTGTGTGTGTGTGTGTGTGTGTGTGTGTGTGTGTGTGTGTGTGTGAAACATTTTTTTTAGTTTACAAATACAAATATTAGATACAATTATTTAAACCCATAGTTTTTTTTTAAAAAAACATTATATAATCAGATAATGATGATTATATAATTATTGCAAAAAAAATTAATTAATTTTTTAATTGGCAAAAAATTATGGCTAGATTTTTGTTTGTAGATAAAATTGCACTAGATGATTTTGTTAATAATAGATTTATGATATTACCAAATTATAAGGTCTATTGTACAAAATAAATACAATTATATAATAATAATTATTAGTATTTTATTTTTAATTTTATGCAAAACGCATTTAAGCATATAAACTTTTTATATATATATAAATAATTTAAATATATTTTATCTATTAATAGATATACAGTAGTAAATGTAATTATTTTTTATAACGTTAATAATTGGAAAACTATGCTTGTACATGTTTGTAGATAACATTGATAAAAAAATTAATTTATTATCAATAAATAGAAAAATAATATATTACAACAATGTTATTTTACAATGTCATCTGTTTTTCAAAATAATATTATAATTTATTTGTATTATATTATAAATATATTGTGTAATGTGTATACAAAATCAATGATATATTCAAAATTTTTAATATTAAATTATTCTATATTATAGCAATTAAATTTAATGACATCATTAATATAATAATAATATTTAATTCAAAACATACTTTATTAATATATTCATAAAATTATTTTTATTTTTGCATAAAAATCAAATTAATTGACTATACTATTATAATTAAATACTAAACTATAATAAATTATAAAATTTACATATTTTTGCTCAATATATGTTTGTTCACTATAATGAATATACAGTATAAAATTTATTTGTCTCTATAGAGAGTATATATTATATACACTATACTACTACAATATACCTAATTAATAATTTAAAAAATAAAATAAAATCAAACTTATGATTATAACATTAAACTTGATTTCAAAAAAAAACTTTCATTTTCAATATTTTATATCATAATTGTAAATCCCATTTATATACCTATATATATATGATATAACTTATATCAATATACTTAATATATATTTCTCTATAATACCTGTATATTCTTGTATTATAGTTGAAAATTGAAAGTTCATATTTAGGTTCAAAAAGTCTATTAATATATATATATATATATATATATATATATATATATATAATAGTAAATAACGAGTGATTGCGACAATGATTCTCGTAATATATACTGTAATTTCTGTAAGTGTTTTCTCTTATCTTAGATGTCGAAGAATGTGGTCCATCAACTTCTTTAGTGTCATTCATTGCTACCACCGATATATACATCCATATATATAAAGTATATATATATATATATATATATATATATATACTATATATATATAATAATAATTATATTAAATATAAAATAAATATTAATATATTTTAATTGATTGAGATAACAAAAAAAATGGTGCATAAAAAATAGCAGATATTATGCGAATTAAAAATCTAATATTTTTTTATAATTACTTCAAATCAAATCCCAAAATCATTATATAATGTTATTACAACTAAGAATAAACCAAAACAACAAAAAAGTTGAATGAAATGGACAAAAATTAGTAACAACTTTGCGGTGTTATTAGCTAAAAGTTTTCCCCTCCCATAGGCCATAGCCCCCTACACTTGGCTTTTAATATAGTGTATATAACAATCTTTTTTTAAAAAAAAACTAATTTTTTTAATGTACAAAATAAAGATTAAAACTAATGATAAAATATTAATGGACATCATCGGAGAGTCTATAAAAGTGAAAGTTTTCAATTGAAATTTTTTAGTTTCATAAAAATATTTATTTTAGTGGTTTCACTAACTTTTGTTGTTGTTGTTGTTGTTGATGTTGTTGGTCTGTCTTAACTATAAGTTAACCGACGAGAAAAAAACAAATTAAATCAATGGCCATATCGTTGTCATACGTTTGGCTAACAATATTTCTAGCATTTATTTTTAATACAATTAATCGTAAGTTTAAAAAAAAATTGTTTAAAATAATAATACTTTTTTTTAAAAAAAAGATTTAATTAATTGCTATTCAATCAAAAAAGATATCGAGTGTGGCATCAAAGTCATCGCCGACGACGCCTTCCTCGAGGACTGTCTTCGGGCACACAATAAGTACAGAGATCTTCATGAAAATACCGAAAGACTTCAATTAAATAGAACTGTAATTGAATTGATTTTTTTTAATAAATTTTTTTTTTGTCTTTAAAAATCCATTGATAATAACCACTTCTTCGCCATCGTAGGCCACAGAATATGCATTGAACAGAATCAGAAGTCTGGCCAAAATCGATGGCCAGCGGCCAGTCAGCGACAGCCAGCGTACGATTTTCGGCGAAAACTTCTACTGGTATTACGATAGCAAAGGTTACCATTCGTGTGCCAATGCCATCGACCTCTGGTATAAGGGTAAAGATCAATACGATTACAATAGACCCGGATTTCATGAGAAAACCGGTGGTTTCAGTCAAGTTGTTTGGAGAGGATCCCAGTATTTAGGCTGCGCTCGTGTCGAGGACGACACCCGCCAGTACTACGAAACCTATATTGTCTGCAATTACTGGCCGGCCGGCAACGTCGATAGCCGCTATCCGTACAATGTATTTCCCCTTAGAGACCACCAACGACCGTCGCTCGGCGTCGGCAGCGGTAGCGGCGCCGGCATCAGTCCAATAGCCGCTGTTAGCGGCAGTCATCGGCCGACAAGCAGCAATCAGAGACCTACGGTAAGCGGCGGTTGGCTACCAGATCGTCCCGATCGGCCTAATCATCGACCGCCGCCACCAATAGCTCCTAACTATCCATTATATTTATCATTTTGAAAATATCAATTAATTACTAATTAATTTTTAAACGTCTATTATTTTTTGTGTGTCACAATAAATATTTAGTATCTTTTAAAAAAAAAATAATAATTTCATATATAATTGATTTTTTGAATTAATAATTTTTTTACTAATAATAAAAATATACATATGATAATAAATATACAAATAAAAATATACATATATGATACTGATTTTTTTAAAAATATAAAATACAAGTTTGACAACTTTTTTTTGGTATTATTAATACTGTATAATAGTACCAATGTTATATTTCTATGAAAAATTTATATACATTATTTAAAATATGTATTTATTTATTAATTTAAAAATAACAGCACTAACAGTGTCAAATACTATATGATTTATTAAAAATTGAAATTATAAATTATATAACTTTTCTAAAAAAACTAATTTAATAAATTATAATTGCTATTTATGTTAGGAAAATTCGGAATTTAGAAAATTCCAGATATTTCCAGCAATATTTCCAACACTAATACATAGAGGAGAGAGAGAGAGAGAGAGAGAGAGAGAGAGAGGCGGTTACAGTATTATGTTTATCATGTGACTAAGCATGTTCAATTTAAAAATTGACATTACTAATTTCAAAACATAACTGTACAAGTACAGTTTATATATAAATTAATAATGTATAGTAATGTATAGATTATTGCAAATAAATAATAACAAAAACAAAAATTAATCATTTTTAAAAATATCTACATGTTAATTTATTTTATTTTTTTAAATACAGTATATTAGTTAATCTAGGTTATATTTAATGTGTTTAAGTTAGCAAAAAAAACAACAAATATTGCACCATGGTCAGCAGGATTAACATGAATAATAATAAGCAATCATGTCTATGGTTTGATGGACACATCCATTATCATAACAACCGTCAGTCAGTTGATGCCACTCTCGGTTCACTATTGGCACAACATTTGCCCAGCGATTCGGTGATCGACAACGATAAAGTGGTCGTCGGGTTTGATGCCGAATGGGTTGCTTTTCCCCGAAGTAATTAAACGGTTGATTGTTATGATTACAACTAAATTAATCAATAAATTTGTTATTTCCCGAAGTGTCCAAAGTTTGTTTAGTTCAGCTTTGTTTCGATGGCATTGAATGCCATTTAATACACTTATCGGCAATGGACTACTATTTTCCCGAACTACTCACACAACTGCTAACCGATGACCACTTTATCAAAGTTGGCCTCAATATTGCCGGCGACTTTAATAAACTTCAACGCGACTATCGGCTGCCATTCGATGACATAGTTATGTCACCGAACAAATCGGTTATTGATCTCAACTATATGGCCGGCAAACTTTTAGGTATTATTATTATTATTAACCATCGATGATAATTATGAATTATCATATGAATCTGTTATTCAATGATTAAAACTTAAGTTAAACAATTGTTTATCACAAAAACCACAAAAAAAAAGGTTTCACAAAACGGATGAGTTTGAGTGATATGTCATATAAATTCTTGGGTCAACCCATTAGTAAAGTCCAGCGACTGACCAATTGGTCGAAGAATCCGCTCAGTGATGAACAGCTACAATACGCTGCCATCGATGCCTACGCCTCTTACGAACTATACTATGAGATTAAAAGTCATACACATCATCGACAACAACAAGAATCATAAATTAGTTGATTTTTTTTATAGTTAAACACCATTTACATCAACAACAATCATCTGTTTCATTGATCATCTATTGATAGACAAGTTTGTTTTTTATAAATTACAATAATTTTATATACTTTTTTTTTAATAATTATCATTAAATTTTTATCATTGATTACCACATAAATAAATGGCAATCAATGTTACTCTTAATAATCAGTTCGACTAATTGATCCCATTATTACATAATTCATCATTTTTTTACTTCAATTATTTTTTTTGTGTTCATTTGTACAAACTTTACAAACAATTTTGTTTTTAGTGGTTATTAATTTAAATTATATATAAGTTATTATTAGTTAATGTTATGATAACATCATCAGTGCTGATTGAATTCGTAGATGAATGAAGAAGTAAAAGACAACAACAACGACAAAGAAGAAGAAGAAGTAGTGACCAATTAAAGACCAATCAATCGGACGGCTATTTAACAAGCGGTCTATTCTTGTCGTTGTCGTCGCCGTACTTATCCTTATATTGTCGAACTTCTCTCATATATCGACTCCAGGCATCTGTCGGTTCATTACCGCTCGCCTGGCCATCGGTTTGGTCAGTCTTTTGCTTCTTAATAAGTCCTGTCTTAAGTGTCTTCGGTCGTCTCTTTGTGATACCAGTAGTTGTTGTTGTCTTCAATTCACATACAGAAACAACACAACAGACAAAAAAACAGACAAGAAGTCAATCTAAAAGACTATTATTAAATCCAAATCAAACTCTTTCGAGTGAAGACATACCAAACTACTACTACTACTACTGGTATTTGTTTTGTTGTCTTCATTAGCATCTCGTTTACTGTCGTCGACAACAGTCGTGTCCACCACTACTGCTGTACTATCTTTAGACAGATTGTTGTCATTCATACTATCGGTAGTTGTCTTCTTCTTCTCGTCGGTGGCCAATTGACTGTCCAGTTGTTGTTTCTTTGACTGCATTTGTTTGAATAGTTCGAGAAACGAGCCGTCGTTAGCAAACTTATTATTGCTAATCGGCGGCTGCATTGGCGGCGACGTCGTCGGCCGTCTATTGTCGTCGGCATCGCTGCTGTTGCTGTCAACACCCGACGAGCTATCATCGGAAAAATTGTCGGCCATATTGTCCGGTTTGGTGACAGACAATTGGTCGGACTCGGACTATGTGGTGGTCAAGAAAACCTCTTGAAGAAAAAAAACGATTTGTTTTTTTTCTTAATAAATAAATTGTTGGATCAAATCATATGATTGACTGATCTCTACACTGATGTTGTTGTTTGTCAACACAAATAGCTTTACAAACAAATACAATACAGTACTGTGTATAACAAATAGTAACTATTATTCATTAGTCTTACTGTAATTGATTTACTATAGAAATACATACGTTTAGTATACAGTGTGTTTGAGTATATCGTTCAATGTGCGCATAACATAACATTATTATTAGGCAATAGTTTACTGAATGTATGAAATGTTTTGATTATTATTATTGATGTAAAGTAATAGTAAACTAATTGGTATTTTTCAATGGATCAGATAAGGCCAGCAATGGATCAGATCGAAGAAATGGACATCGATGATGATGATTGTGTTATCATTGATGACGATAATGGTAAGCATATCACAGTATTTGTTCCCATCAATTGATTGTTGTTTATCTCGCGCGCGGCAATAGTGTCGTTGTTGTCGAAAAAACGGGCCATCGATGAGACCAACAACAACAACAACAACAACCGAACCCAAGTTAAAGTTAAAGACAAGTTACCGCCGTATGAGTCGCTGATCAGACACATAGTTAAAGCCAAGAGACGTGTTGTACCAGACAATCGCCGTCGGCAATTGGTCTGCGTATTGGACACCAATGTATTGTTGTCGCATCTGAACCAATTGAAACAAATGATTTGTCTAATTGAAACCAAACGATTACCTCATATGAGTCAAATCAAGTCATTTATGATACCATGGGTTGTCGTACAAGAGTTGGATGGCCTTAAAGGTGGTAACAAACACAACAACAACAACAACAACAATAAGTCTGTTGTCAATGTTATCCACTTTATTAACGAACAGCTGAACAAAACTAATGGTTTGATTTTCAGACATTAAAATCTTGATATCTTATATAAACTTTCTTTTTTGATTTGATTTACCGATTGCAGGACTAATTAAAGGCCAAATCAAATACAACAACAAATCCTTAGCAAACCAAAAGCATAGCAAACATCAACTGATTGAAGAAGAAACAAATGACGATAAAATACTAAATTATTGTTTCGAATTAAGAGACAAATCATTATCAACACCAACATCATCACCACTGGATGTATTGCTCATTACCAACGATGTCAATCTGTGCAATAAAGCACTGATCTATGGTCTCAAAGTCAACAAATGGATAGATTTTTGCGATAAATATCGTCTGAATAATAATACATCGTTTCTTTCAGATGAGTGGCGCAAAGATAACGATGTCGTCGACGCTTACGAAGATAATGCTAAAGATAATTGCGAATCAATTAGTAAACGTCTTAAAAGTGGTGATAATAATCAAGTTGTTATAAGTGGTGATAATAAAAATAATAATAAAACAAATCAAATCTCCCGAAAACAAAATCTATTACATARATCTCAAGCAAAACACATTCAAAGTCCAACTAAACGCAAGACAATGACTGCAACAGCGAAGTCTTTAACATCGATGACATCAATGTTAAAGTCTAGAATGAAATCCATTTATAGCAATAAACAACAACAACAACAACAGAAGCAGAATACTGTGACCACCAATAGTGACTGTAAGCCATTATCATCACCGATGACACAATCACAATCAACACCACCACCATCAGTAACATCATCGCCAGCGTCGTCATCATCATCATTACCATTAAAATATGACGATTGGATCAGATATCGTGACGAATGTGAACAATTGATATTGAAATTTATTATCAAAACATACAAACAGATTTGGGGCGAATCAGATTGGAAACTGATGCTCGAGTTGGACATTGCAAACACAACACTGCGCGATATGATTCGGGTAATACGTAAGGAATGGTTCGGCAATTTTAGCGACCAATTCAATCGGAATCCATCAGTCAAACTGCTTATCGATAGATTGCATACCAGTCTCAACAAATCCTATGCTAATTATTCACTATATTTTAGTGATTTAAAACAATTTTGCCAATTATGTCAACAACAACTACAACAACAACAACAATAACTAACACGAAGTTATGATGCGATAAAAATATATGCATTTTATTATATCCATTAAGACTTGCCATAATTCAAGTGCCGTTAAAATTGTTTATAAAAATTGTTATTTCTTTAATTCATAAATTTATTAAATAAAATATTGTATAATTCAAGTATATATATAATAATTAACAAAAATAGTAATAATAATTGATTCAACAATTAGGTAATAGTGCCATAATTATAGTCCCAAACGACGATACGGTAAAAAAAAAGTTAGTTACAATCGTTGATAACTGGGTGCGTACGCCATGTCCATCAGGGGCGGTGTGTCTAAACTTTTGTAGGTTTTCTGGTGGCCATTAACTTCATCATCAGCATCAATATCATCACAGGGGTAGACAAGTAGTGCTTGTGAGTCATAATCTAAGTTATAAAAAACAATTTAATATTTAAAGTTTATATTTGGATATAATCTAATTATTGTCATCAAACTATTACCATTAACTAGTTTTCCTGTACTTAGTGGTAAACTTAGATACGAATCCAGCGATTGTATTGGTGACAATTGGCACAGGACGTGGCCAGTAGTCGTTTGAATAGTTTCGGACATTATTGTATTGGGCACAGGTATGATCTGTGTAGTGGTCATCGGCTGACTAACTGTTGATCTGGTGTGTCTCAGTTGTGTTACATTTACCGTTTGACCGTAAGTATCGTTTAATTGCATAACTGGCTGGACATTATCAATAGCACCGGCAGATAATGAATTGGTGGACACAATCAACTGTTTATCGACCAATTGGTTGTGTTTGCGACCTTTCAGATGATCGGTAACTATTGACCACCGGTAGCACAGAATTGATTCCTCACAGAGTTGACATACCAGACGTTCGGCCGGATGTTTGTCATCGATACGGAAGTGATGAGTGATTTGCAATTTTGATAATTTTATTAAACGCTTTTCGGGCGACTCTTCAGATAGTTCTTTAGGTTTGAGACGACGCTTACGCTTCTTCACAGTTGCTGTTGTTGTTGTTGTCTTCTCCACTCCTACTGGAGATGATTCACTAGTTTGCGGTAATATATTATCGTCTATACGATTATCGGTTGGCGAAGATTTGAATTTCTTTAGCAATTGTTTAACATTTTTTCGCAACTTTTGCTTTTTTTCATTATTATTATTATAATTATTATTGTCAGTGAAATTCTTTTGATTGTCAATTGTCTTTTCATTGATATTCATCTAATAATAAAATTAATAACTTAATTAAAATACTAGAAAAAAAATTAAAATTAAAAAATCAAAAACTTACAGTAGATTTGTTGTAATAATCGTAGTCTTCAATACCATTAGCAGTAGTAGTATTAGTAGTCATCGTCGAAAATAAATAGTTGTCAATCAAATCATTACAACTATTAGTATTGTTGTCATAATTTGATGATAATTTGTTCAATTGGTCGCATTCTTCTTGTAGAAGACGTATCTGTTTTTGAACCCATTCTTTGTTTTCGATTTGTTCTCCAAGAGTTTGTCCGTTGCTGTTGTCCATATCGTTATCGTCATCGCTATTATTGGTGGTAACCGTATAAGTCGTGGTCGATGGACTCCACGACCTCATTAGGTCAGCAGACATCGGAAACTGCTTAATGAATAAAATAAAAAAAATTTCGGTTAAAAGTCTACTAAATAATAATAATAATAATCATACGTTTGAATAATTGTTGTCATGTTGTTTGTCCACCGATTGGCATATTTGTTGGCTAATATCAGCCAAATTATTTAGATCAAGTTCGCGATACAGTTGGACACAATCACGATATTTGTCGGCCACAACAGTCAAATCATTTTTCGGCGACAACTCTATGATATTGAGGGCCCGTTTCAGTGCCAGAACCGCTTGTTTCGGTTGCGATGCTTTCGTGTAATAATCGGACGCCTTTATCAACGATGAAAGTGATTCCCGTTTTTCATTTCTTGAGCCATACTTTAGCGATATATCGGCCAAACTTTCCAGACATTCAGCCGCAGCTGTATATCATTTTTTTTAATAAATAATAAAAATTATTAATTAATGTTTTATCGTAACTATTAGTATATTTCATACAAACTTTATAGTAGTAGACATTATTATAGAATTAATTTTAATATTTAAAATTTATTTTATATATTATTGAAATGTTAAGCAAAATTCAATATTCTTAATATGATTTTTAAAAAATATATTTATATTATTGATTATAGATATATATAATATTTAATTGTTTATTACTTCCAGGAAATAACTTGATATTATATATATATATATTATTATATTATTCAATAATATATATTTCTAGAAATATCTAATAGTTTTTTTTATATAAATTTGTAACTTTGTTTAAACTATAATCATTGGGTTTTTTAAAACTTAAACTTATTAATTTCAAATTTTTTTATCAATATAATATTTATAAGATTTATTAATATAATTAAATGTTATAAAAATGATAAGTTTATTTTTAAATATAAATAATCATTTTAATTAAAATTATAAATAATTTAACCTGTCTAAAAAAACTAATTATGAGTTTTAGTTTATTCTAAAAATATATGATAATAATATACATGTACTATAATATCCTATGACATTGAAACTATATCATCAATAATAATAATGTTTGATTAATGTAATTAAAATTATTTTTTTATCAACATTTATACAGTATTAATAGTATTAAACTAAACCAACAAAATTGTCTACTGTTTTGTATAAAAATATATAAATTACTTTATATGTGCCTAAAAATGATAATTAATAAAAAATATATATCTATAAAATTGTCATTTTTATTTTAATAGACTATACATTTTTCAAACTAAAATAAAACTATAAATATTACGGATTTTTAAACAAAAAAACTGGTTTTAAAATAGTTTTTAAAAGAGAGAGAAAAAAATCAATTAATTAAAAAATGTCTGAAACAACTACCAGTATTGCTGTATTTGGTTTACAATGTTTTTGGGGTTCGGAAGTCAAGTTTGGCCTACAAAAGGGTGTCATCAGTACTAGTGTTGGCTATACAGGAGGTTCGACACCTCAGCCTACTTATCGTCAATTAGGCGATCATACAGAAGTGGTTAAAGTGGTATTCAATGATAAACTTATAACCTATCAGGTAATGCAACTATAAGTCCAATTATATTTGACATATATATATATGTCTTAATATGGGCACCGGGATGCTGATGATAATGGGTCATAATTATATATATATATATAACTTTTTATTTTATTTTTTTGTTAGGAACTATTGGATATATTCTGGTCAGCACACGATCCGACATATCTTTTTAAACAACAATATCAGTCGGCTATCTATACAAGCGATTCAGTTCAACACCAATTGGCCACTGAATTGCTTTCGGCAAAACAAAGCCAATCAAGTAAACCGATTGTCACCAAAATTTTCCAATTAAAACAATATTATTTGGCCGAAGATTATCATCAAAAATATTTTCTACGTAAACATCCGGAAATTATCAATGAATTAGGACTAACTGATGGCCAACTAGTCGATAGTCCAGTGGCTAGTCGTCTAAATAGCTACTGTGCCGGCTTTGGTAGTCGACAACAATTTCTGGATGATATTGGCCAACAATTATCTAACAATAAGTTATTGATTAATGAAACTAATCAGCAAACTATTATTAAACTGATCAATGATGGACCTAATCTGGGTGAATGCTAAACCATGATAAATCAATTATTGATTCATCACAATATATCGTATATTATAAAACAATTTTGATTGTTTGCAAAAATAATAATAATAATTATAATTAATTATATATAATATATATATAATTATTTAATTATAGTATATTTTACTGTATTTTTTTCTTCTAAATTCTAATAAAATATTATATTTGATTTTTAAATAATAATAATATTCAACTATTGAATATATTTCTATTTCAAATACTTTCAATTACCGATCCACCACTATTGTAAAAATAAACTGTGTAAATTTAATTAATATATACTAGTATATATTACCTTGATAATTTCCGATTTTAGCATTTTCATTGATAGATTTATGCCATAAATTAATTGTTTGCTCGTATATGGGATTCAATTCATTTCTATTAACAACAAAAAAACAATATAATATAATCACATATAAATTAGTTGAATAACATTAACATAATAAGCATTTTTTTAGTTTATAAACTTAACTTAAAAAATACATGGAAAATAAAATATAGTCAAGTAAAATAAATAAATATATATATATATATATATTATCAATAATAAAAATAAATCCAAAAAAATATTAATAATAAATCAAAAAGAATATTAATAATAAATTAAAAAAAAATATTAATAATAAATCCAAAAAATACTTGTTTTGCAATAATTTCAATCGATTGATAGCCTTCTGGTCGGCGGTAAAACTTTTTAGCTCTTCGTAAGCCTTTTCTTTGATCAGATCCGATGTCTTGATCAGTGACCAGCACTTCAGTAGTCGTGAATAATGTGATCTCCAATTGCTTGGATCAGTCATTATATCCCTACACACACACACACACAGGTATTATATGACAATCACACCCACCCGTTCAGTATATATATATAAATATATTTAAATCATTTAATTGTCATAACCTGATATTTGATCACTAATTGGTAATATATTTTTTTTATTAATACTGAATATTATTATTATTTATAATAGTATCACTTATAATGGATTACTGTATTTTCAAGTATTAGATAATTATATTTTTTCTATACCTTTACTTTCTCTGATAGTATCCATTATCCCTCTGGTATTATATTACATAATAATTACGCAATGTATGTAGTGATACACAATGACATCTATGTCTATTACTATGAAAAATAGAGAAAGAGAGAGAGAGAGAGAGAGAGAGAGATGAATGGATACAAAAATAATATCTTCATCACTCATTATAAGATAAATATTTTTTTTACAAAAATTTATTATTAAATTAAATTAAATATTATTAATTCCCAATTTCTATCATTTTAGATTGATTTTAATATAATAGATATAATATAATAATATTGGTTTAATTTTTTTGTGCACATTAAATGAAATTTATAATAATAATAATAAAACTAAATTCTAATCTGAGTTTATTTTTTTTTTAATTTAAAGTTTTGCAATTGTAATGAATACTATTTTTTTTAAATTATGCTAATTTAGTACATTTTTTAACGCTAATTATAAATCATTATTTGAAAATTATTTTAATGTTTTATTATATTATGACAAAATATAATTTAGGGCATAAATGATTAAATTATATTAAATTTTTGGAAATTATTATTAAAAATTTATATTTAATACTAATTTTTGAAAATTATTTTTTATTTAATAGTCAATTTATATATTAGATTTTTTTTAATAAACTAAATTATAATTTATTTTAACTAAAAAAAATTAATTATAGCGAAGTAATAGTTCGGTTTTGGATAACAGCGGTTGCATTTGTAAAACTATTGGCCATATCGGCGGCCGTACCACCAGTGGACGTCAGACAATATTCTATAGCATTGGCCGCCGATGACTGGTACGGCCATTGCATGTCAAACGCCGACTCGAAATCAAATGAATTGGTTTGTTGTTGTTGTTGTTGTTGTTGTTGTGGGACCAGTTGATGGATGACTGGCCTCATTGATGCCGTAATCGCCGGTACATTTGCCCGGATGGGAATGGCTGTCGGTAYCGGTGGTGGTGGTGCTGGTAATGCTGGCAGTGCTTGTCTCAATGGTTGCGCTGATTGTCCACTATTACCGATACTAATACTGTCTTCGACGGCCTGTTTATGTTCCTGTGTGTTGACATGATTTTTCAGTGTCGAGCTAACGGCGCCCAAATGTCTCTCACATATCTTGCAGTAGACACGGCCGGCATCGTCGCCATCGGTGGCCACTTCGTAAAACGGGCAAAAYTTGTGCAACTTTTTGACCAACTTTTTKGCCGATTCTATACGATCTTGAATACACCGATTGGTCGACTGATGTTTCGATTGACTATTATTGACTGAGTTATGTGTAATCGATATGTTTGAGGCCATTGTCGTGACCGCCGAACTAGCGATACCGCCGATGCCACCGATACCACCRATTCCYGTCATGGCGTTCATGTCAAACAGGTCGCCGCCACTTTTCGGACAATTACTACCGGACATCATATAGTCCTGGATCAGTTTGTTTATTTTAAGTATATTTATTTAACAAACAAACAAAAAAATTAATAAAAATATTAATATTAATAGTTAACTTTTTTTTTAAAAAAAGTAGTTAACATAGGTTTCTAGCAAATGTCAAACACAACATACTAGAAAAAAAGCCTACCTGTGCTCCTTGGCTATCCTATATTATTTAGAAATGAAATTTAGAAGATAGARAGTAAAATTAATAAATAGAAATTAATTACAATTATATTTTCTAAACTTAGTAACTATATCTAAAAAAATATTATTTGTTATGGGGGTCGGGGTCGGGGTGGTGGTGGGGCGAACCTCATTATCAGTGGATCGGTTAGAGTCACAYTCATCATGTGATTCGGTAGTAGTAGTAGTAAATCGGCTATATTTGGATACAAAAAAGTCAATATCCCGACAACATCGTTGTTGACTTGAATCCCATTTTCTTTTATGATTTATATTACTCGACGAATAGCAGCTAATTTTAAGACCCTATTAGTTAACCACAAAAAAAACAAAATTATTCACCAAAAAAAACTGGTGATCTTTSGATCAATCAATCAATTYAAATCATTTACATCAATCCTTTTGCGATGTTTGACCTCATGGTTCCTCATTGTAAAGTACTCGAGTGCCTGACAATAATGTTTGGCCACCTCTTCGCTGGCGGCGTTCATCAGACGCAAGATTTTGCTGCACCGGTAGTGCAGAGTACCGGCGTGTCTGTACTTATGTATGGCATCGTAGTTGACAATAGCCGACTCCAAGTACTGGATGGTTGTCTTWGTGTCCTTCAGATTTGAATCGTTCATCAGGTTTGTACTATCGAACCGAAGTGTGGCCGCCCTTTCGTAGGCTTTGGCCGCACCTAAAAAATAWATAAATAAATAAAACGGTTGAGACAATTGTGATAATTATAAAAAAAAATTATTAACTATTCATATGTATTTAGATTTGAATAGATTTTTTTTGTTTTGTTTAAAAAATTAATTTTTTTTTAATYATATCTAATATATTGTCTAATATGATTCATTTGAATACAATATGACAAACATTTTATCAAAAACAAAAAAAAATTATTATCAAAAAACTGTTTTCTGTAATCAATTAATAATCAATTATTTTTTGAGTTATTAACGTTAAGTATTTAAATTTTATTGATTAGTAAATCAATCAATYAATTAATTAATTAAGGTTAAGTATTGGACATTCATAAAATAATATATATATATTTTAAAAATAAATAAATAGACAAACTAACCCATATAATTTTTTTGTTGATGACATTTATGAGCCAACTGTCCGTACAGGTATATAGCCTTATCCTGTGTGGAGGACTTGTCGTTATCGATGCTGTAGTAGTTGTTGTAGTAGTTGTATATCAATTAGTTATTTTCAAGTGGTTTTTCCCCCAGTGTATAGTTGTTAACCACAATATGTTTTTTGTATGTTAATTAAAATGAAATTATAATTAATTAATTAATTAATTTAAATTGATTATAATATCATTATACTGTATATGTTGTTAATTAGGCTAAATGTAGTAAATTTTCAAAAAGTATCTTCAAATGATTAAATATTTTTGCAATAATTTGCAATAAAATAATTATTTTTATAAATTTATTAATTAGCAAATTATATCAAAATAATTAACAATAAATTGCTATTAAATTTTTTTGTTATAGAAAAAAAACATTACATACAAATCCATAATATCTTTCATCAATGTCTTATTAATATCATTATTAGGATATGTGTCCAACTTTTTTACCGATTGTTCCCATTTATATAGTTTTTCATTAACTGCGGCCAAATTTTTTAGCATTTCAATCATTTCGTCGGCCGCTAGTGTATTGGTGGCCGCCGACGATGATTGTTGTTGACCACTTTTGTTGTTATCACTACTATCGGTGTTACCACTATTATTATTATTATTATTGGCACCAGAGGTAGATGCAGAGGAACGGTATGTCATGTTATCCGATGTCTGGTTCATTATTTTAGACGTATTAATCAACACACGCGACATATTTACTTATAATTGTAAAAATTATTATTATTTATTGACACTAAATAAACAGCAATTTARTTTTAATTGCAATATTAAYAAAAAWAWTTTTTKAAACTTAAAATATATAATTAAAAAACAAATATACAAATAATAATACAATATATTATTTTAATTAAACAAATATAWTAATTTYACTAATTATTATTATTATTGTTGTTATTATTATTATTACTAATTTAAGGTAATTTTAGCACTGCATTCATATGCAATACATTTAATATTGCATTTATCATTAAATATATATTTAATAATGTACACTGCTATAATTTTTTAACTATATAGCTAAAATTGATAGCTGATAAATAACTATATAACTATATAAGTATATAACTTTTATTAACATAATATTTAAACATTAATATAATATATATATATACTGTATATAATTAATATTATATTTAAAACTACTTTTAATTTTAATTTTAGTGACGTGTTGTCTATATACACACAAAACTATTGTTTAATACTACCCCGATATCATATATATATATAATAGATATATAATCATATAAAATATTAGTATATTGAATTCAATTTCAACAAGTTGTGTATATATATATTTTTATTGATATCTAAAAAAATATTTAATACGCTATTTAGTTTATTAAATATATACAGTATATAAATTTACAGTACATTAGTTACTATACACTAATAATTTACTATCAATTTTTTTATAAATTATATTTTTATTTAATATACTACATATTATTTAGAGTAATAAATACTAATATTTATTATATATCTACTGTATATGTGATGGTAATGAATACATGAGAGTTACTCGTGATTATTAACCACTGATTAGATAAATAACTAAATATATACTGTATATAAAACATATAATTTTGTCGTCAACTTTATTATTATTATAATTATAATAACATTAATAATTTTATTAATATAAAAATATTAGTTACACTTCACATAATTAGTTAGAGTTATGTCAATAACAAGTATTTTTTTTATATTAAATAAAAAATTATTTTTTATAACAATTATTTTCACATCTAAATAAATTATTGTATCCATGTTTATTGATTATATGTTTTTTTTATCTTATTTTATTGGTAATTGGTATTTATTAAAACTTTTAAAAAACTTATTATTATTATTATTGGAAAACTTTTTATATTGATTTTTTTTATTATACAAATAAATTTTTATCAAAATAAATTCAATTTGTTTTTTATTATAATTTATATTTATATCTAATTAATTAAATATATATATATATTAATAGTAAATATTGATATATTATTATACTTTGTTTGATTCTAACATTTAATTTATTTAATTATAATAATATAATATAATATAATATAAAGTATAATATAAAATTCAAACATGTCTTATAAATACAAGAATTTTTGTAAACTTTTGTAAACTGTTTTATTTTTATGTCAATAAGATATTTAAATTGATTTTTTTTATATGTAAAACAATTGAAAATAAATTCATTGTTAAACTGTGTACCGATTAGGGACCTAATCGGCAGTAATATCCAGATGTCAATAGAGCTCATGAAGAACCCATAGATCCAGTCGTAGACAACATTATTCTGTATGAAAGTCCTCGGCTGTTGTCCACCCGTTCGTTGTTTTCGTTTGTCGATCACTTCTTGAGGCGCTTTCTTTAGATCGTAGGCCCAACCGATCCAATGAAAAAAATCAATGAAAGCCGTATTCACATTGAAGTTGACGTCCCAACTGAACTCACTTTCCGATTAATCCCAGGGATACAAGTGATGGTAGTTATGATAGGCATCTGTATTTTGATTGTCTTATTTTGGTAAATGATAATTAATTTTTGAATTTTTATCAATTTGAGAAATTTATTGTTTTGTTTGTTTGTGTTAATAGGTTTCAATTACTTACAACCTAAATGTTATGAACTGTTTAATAATAATATTTTTTTTGACTATTTTATGATATATATATAATTGATAATTCGTTTATTATTTTATTTTTGTTTGTCAATAGGTTGTCAATTTAAATAAAATTTATAAATATCATATTTAGTTAAATATTATTGTCGTATTATTAAAATTTTAAAAATATAAAAATTGTGATCAAGATAACATAAGTATTTTATATATAAAATATATAATTTTGATAATGAATTAAATATATGATATAAATTATATATATATATATATATATATATTAATATATAAACACTGTTTCATTATTATTATTATAAGATTAGTAAAGTATTATACAGTATATGCCTAACCCTATCCTAAATTTAAAGTGTATAACCAATTAGGATCCTAATCGATAGTAATATCCAGAAGACTATGGAGCTCATGAAGAACCCATAGATCCAGTCGTAGATAACATTGTTTTGTATGAAAGTCTTGGTCTGCGGTCCACCCGTTCGTTGTTTTCGTTTGTCGATCACTTCTTGAGGTACTTTCTTCAGATCGTATGCCCAACCGATCCAATGAAAAAAATCAATGAAAGCCGTATTGACATTGAAGTTGACGTCCCAACCGAACTCACTGGCCGAGTAGTCGCGTGGATAGACGTGATGGTAGTTATGATAGACACCTGTATTTTGTTTGTTTGTTTTCGTAAATAACATTAACATTGTATTAATTAGTTTATTTTTTTAGATTATTAATTTTAAAAACCATTGTTTTTTTTGTTGTTTTGTCTAAATAGGTATCAAATTACTTACCACCTAATGCTGCATAATTGAACAGATTGTTATGCACTGATGTCATTGATTTATCATATGGTTTGGTACCACAATCTATATGTGCCACTGAATTACCTGTTTTTGTTTCAAATATAATTAAGTAATTTATAAAAATTATTATTTGTTAAAAATACTAATTCAGATATTAACTACCAATTAGTATGATATCTAATTCACTGATATTTTTTTAATAAGAAATTATAAAGAATTTAATTAGTTATTTTCAATTTAAGTTATTCATGTAAAATATAAATTTATTTTTTATTTTCAAAAAAAAATATTTTAGTCAATATTACTATTTTAGATTTCTATAGTATTAAACTGTAGTATATTCTATAATATATTAAAAATTATTCATAAAATTTAATTAAAATTTATCGAAAATAAAATTTTTATGCAAATATTAATTTTAATTACTTAATTTTAATTTTATTCTAATTTATGAAATTAGATTAACTGATCAATTATTAATTAACAAATTTTAATTAAATTAAATTTTTAAATTATTTACCACAAAAAGATAGCTGAAGAACATAGACATATCTTAGAAGGAAACACAAGTGATAGCTATTGACAAATGTTTCGCCAAACATAAACATCGGCATCAATGTGGGCACTAGTATGCAAAATATGACAACCAATGGTTCATAGTATTTGTACTGAAATCTTATTATCGGATCCGACCAGAGATACGATACATCTAATTGTTTGCGTTTTTCACTGCACTCCGGCAACAACTTAATCATTATCCAACCGATATGGGCGTAGAAAAAGCCGCGATTAATATTGACAACATCGGCATCGGTTCCCTCGTACTTGTGATGGCTGTGATGATCGCGGGCCCACTCGATCATTGATTTCTGTCCACTAAACGTCTGGAGCGACAGTAGTATCACCCGAAGTGGCCATTTGGCTTTGAACGCACGGTGTGTACCGTATCGATGGGCACCGGTTATTACACCAATGTTTGACAATACAACTATGATATATATTTTTCCATAAAACAATTATTGGTAATCAACTATCAATAATAATATTATCTTTTTTTATTATCAATAATTGAAAATAAAAATCTATACCTAATATATAAGTTAAAACAATTGTTTGCCATTTAGCACTTGTTATACATAGATAGACACCATATAGTGCACCGATGTGTACATAAATTATTGATAACGATTCTAACCATAAAATTTGTGAAATAAAATATTTCAAATTTGACACATTAAGCATCATTATCATCAATAGAAATTATTAATAGAAATAAAAATATATATATAATAATAATTATTATTATTTAATATGCTATTTATTTTATTAAAATACTGTATATTAGTTGCTATACACTTAATTTACGTGTTTCGTTCAAAATATCCAAAATTAAAATCTCCAAAATAATAATATCCAAACTTATAATATCCAAAACTATTTGACCCAACTCATTTGATCCAATTTATATTATCCAAAATAATAATATCCAAACTTATAATATCCAAAACTATTTGACCCAACTCATTTGATCCAATTTATATTATCCAAAATAATAATATCCAAACTTATAATATCCAAAACAATTTGACCCAACTCATTTGATCCAATTTATATTATCCAAAATAATAATATCCAAACTTATAATATCTAAATCAAAATATCCAAAATCATTTATTTTAAATAAATACTTATAACTATTAGAAAAATTATTATAAATGATAAAAAAAATAATATTAATTAAACAAATTACAATAAATATTGATAAAATAATTATATTTAATAATAGTAATTAAACTAATAAAAATAGAATCAATTGTAATTAAACAAATTTCAATTATTATTATTATTATTATAATTGAAATTTGTTTAATTAATATTATTTTTTTATCATTTATAGTAATTTTTCTAATAGTTATAAGTAGTGTTGGCAAAAAAGAGAAATTTATAAAATAATAGAGAAATTTCTAGAAAGTTTCTAAAAGAAATTTCTATCTATGGGATCCCCATGGTTAATTTTGTTTTCTGCATATATGTTATTATGTAACAATACATTGGTTTTACAAGTAATAATTAAATATTAATATTAATATTTTTATTATTAATTAAAGTAAAAATTAATTAATTTAATTATCTTAAATTCTTATATATATAAAAAATGATTATTAAAATTTTAGTAAACTGATTATTATTAAATAATTATAATTATTTTACATATAGGTATCGCATTTTGTATAGTAGTGTATAGTGTAATGTTATATGAATAGTAGTATTGTCTCATTATTTATATATTATTTCAATAGCTATAGATATGGGGATCCCATAGTATAACAATAAAGTTAAATTTCTATAGAAATTTATTCATGAGAAATTTTCTAGAAACTTTCTCAGTGAAATTTATTAGAAACTTTCTATTTGCCCATCTCTAGTTATAAGTATTTATTTAAAATAAATGATTTTGGATATTTTGATTTAGATATTATAAGTTTAGATATTTTAAATTTGGAGATTTTGAATTAGATATTATGATTTGGATATTTTGATTTTGTATATTTTGGATGCGACCGTTAATTTTCTATCATTTTTTAATATATATATATATATAACTTTATATATATATATATATATATATAACTTTATATATATATATATATATATATATATATATATATACTGTATATCAATATTTTATTTGTTATGTTTAAACTAACTAATATTCAGTATAATTATATATGTTATTTAATTATAAATTAATATAAAATTATTTTAAAAACCTTGAATTTTTATGAAACTAACTTCGCATAATATCTGACTTAATTAATAGATTTTAAATCAGAAAAATAAATTAAAATATATTGAATATAAATTTATTGTATATAATTTTGTCGTAGATTTTATTATTACAATTATAAAAAAATATTAACATTATTAATATAAAAATATTAGTTATAGACTATAACTTATAGTTCGCACATAATTAGTGAAAGTCATGTTAATAACAAGTATTTTTTCTAATTAAAAATAATTTAAATCTTATAACAATTATTTTCAAATAAATATCAATAAATAGTTAATTATTGTATTCATGTTTAATGATTATATGTATTAAAGTATTAGAAAACATTTTATATTAATTTTATTATACAAATTAAGTTTTATTCAACAACAAAAAAATATATATCGTTTGTATATCTAATTAATTATATAATAATAATATAATATAAGCTATAATATTGAATACAAACATGAGTTATAAACAAATAAATTGTTGTAAAATTTTAAAATTGTTTTTTTTTAAATTTATGTCAATTAGTTATTTACATTGAAATTATAAATATTATAAAACTATTGAAAATAAATGCATTATTAAAGTGTACCGATTAGGGCCCTAATCGTCAGTAATAACCAGAAGACTATGGAGCTCATGAAGAACCCATAGATCCAGTCGTAGATAACATTGTTTTGTATGAAAGTCTTGGTCTGTGGTCCACCCGTTCGTTGTTTTCGTTTGTCGATCACTTCTTGAGGCGCTTTCTTCAGATCGTATGCCCAACCGATCCAATGAAAAAAATCAATGAAAGCTGTATTGACATTGAAGTTGACGTCCCAACCGAACTCACTTTCCGAGTAATCCCAGGGATATACGTGATGGTAGTTATGATAGGCACCTGTATTTTAATTGATTTATTTTGGTAAACAATAGTTAATATTTTTTATTAATTTTATTTAAAACTTATTTATTTTTTTTTTGAATGTTTGTCTAAATAGGTATCAATTACTTACCACCTAATGTGGCATAAATTAGCGGATCGTTATGCACTGATGTCATTGATTTATCATATGGTTTGGTACCCCAATCTATATGTGCCAATGAATTACCTATATTTTAATTATTTAAATATACAAAGAAAACAGCAATTTATTAATAACATTTAATTATATATTAAATATAATTATTTGTTTAGGTATCAAATTAATAGTATTAGCATAATTCATACAATAATTTAATATTACTAATCATAGTTTCCATACAGTTTAATTTTTTAAAAATAATTTTTATCAAATTTTTATTCATACTATTTATAGAATATTCTATAGTATTATCACTAATTATAGTATTATTTATTTATTATAGTAAATAATATATGCAAATTTACTGATATTTTCAAATCAATATTTTGATTAGAAATTATTTAATATATATTTACCACAAAATGATAGCTGAAGAGTATAGACAAATCTTATAAGAAAACACAAGTGATAGCTATTGACAAATGTTTCTCCAAACATAAACATCGGCATCAATGTGGGCACTAGTATGCAAAATATGACAACCAATGGTACGTAGTATTTGTACTGAAATTTTATTATCGGATCCGACCAGAGATACGATACATCAATTTGTTTGCGTTTTTTACTACATTCGGGATGTCTTTTAATTACAATCCAACCGATATGGGCGTAGATAAAGCCGCGATTAATACTCACAACATCGGCATCGGTTCCCTCGTACTTGTGATGTGTGTGATGATCGCGGGCCCACTCGATCAATGTTTTCTGGCCACTAAATGTCTGGACCAACATCAGTATCACCCGAAGCTGCCATTTGGCTTTGAATGATTTGTGTGTACCGTATCGATGGGCAGCGGTCAACGTACCGATGTTTGATATTACAACTGTATTATTATTATTATTGTTATTAAAGTTATTTTGTATTACAACTTAATTAAAACCCAGTCATATTAAAAGTATTAAAAAATAATACTTAAATACTAAAATAAGCACTAAATGTAAAAAAGTGTTACCTGTAATATGTTAAACATTTATAACTTCATTCAACTTATCAATAATAATATATTTCTAATAATAATAATAATATATTTCTAATAATAATAATAATATATTTCTAATAATAATAATAATATATTTCTAATAATAATAATAATATATTTCTAATAATAATAATAATATATTTCTAATAATAATAATAATATATTTCTAATAATAATAATAATATATTTCTAATAATAATAATATATTTCTAATAATAATAATAATATATTTCTAATAATAATAATAATATTTTTCTAATAATAATAATAATATATTTCTAATAATAATAATAATATTTCTAATAAAAAATATTATTATTAAACGATTTTATTTTAATATTAATAATTGAAAATAAAAATATATACCTAATATATAAGTTAAAACAATTGTTTGCCATTTACCACTTGTTATGCATAGATATACACCATATAGTGCACCGATGTGTACATAAATCAAACCTATAAGCCATGTCCATAAAACTTTTGATTTAAAATATTTCAAATTTGACATAAAATTAAGCATAATCAATTATCAATATTATGTAAAACAATAATAATTGTTGTTAAAGTTTTACATTGAAAATATCAATATATAATTAGCTAATATTAGCTAATAGACTATTTATTATTATTTTATTAATATATAAAAATGTCTATATATAAGTATTATTTCATTCCCCCCATTTACCCCACATTTAAATATGTAAAGTTAAATTAAATTATAAATAATTTTAAAATTATGTAAAAGTAACATATTTTTTATGCATATATCAATAATTTCTATTGGGCATTCACATATTTTTTCAAATTATAATTTATAATTATATCTAATTAAATAAATAATTAATTAATTAATTAGATATATACATATATATTATACTGTATATTATTACAATTTATTTAGTTATATATAATAATAATAATAAAATAATGACTACATATCATGAATTAATTAAGTTATTAAAATTGTTTATTATTTTTCTATTAATTAGATATAATATTATATTTACATTGAAATTATTTCACATTATATTAATAAAACAATTGAAAATAAATACATTATTAAAGTGTACCGATTAGGGCCTTAATCGGCAGCAATATCCAGATGGCTATGGAGCTCATGAAGAACCCATAGATCCAGTCGTAGACAACATTATTCTGTATGAAAGTTCTCGGCTGTTGTCCACCCGTTCGTTGTTTTCGTTTGTCGATCACTTCTTGAGGCGCTTTCTTCAGATCGTAGGCCCAACCGATCCAATGAAAAAAATCAATGAAAGCCGTATTGACATTGAAGTTGACGTCCCAACCGAACTCACTTTCCGAGTAATCCCAGGGATATACGTGATGGTAGTTATGATAGGCACCTGTATTTTGAATGAATGTTTGTTTGTTTTTGTAAATAAAAAATTATTATTATTAGTAATAGTAATTGTATACATAAAATAAAATTAATTTTTATTTAGTTGTTTGTCTAAATAGGTATCAATTACTTACCACCTAATGTGGCATAAATTAGCGGATCGTTATGCACTGATGTCATTGATTTATCATATGGTTTGGTACCCCAATCTATATGTGCCAATGAATTACCTGTTTTTGTTGTTGTTTCAAACATAGTTTTAGTAATTTATTAATTATTATTTATTAATAGAAAAAATTAATTATTATATTGTGTATATTATTTTTATATATATAGTAATAGTATCTAATTATAGTATTCACATATAATTCACTTTTTATAAGCAAGTATTTATAAGCATTTAATTAGTTATTAATTTAATATTATCCATGTTAAATATAAATATTGTTAAAAAATAATATATAAAATATTCATCTTTATAATATTATCACCATATTTAAATAAGTATTTACTTATATATATAATATAACTTTAAATATAGTGATAATATATATTATTATTTATAATATAAAAATCTATTTTCTATTTAATAAATTCTATGCAAATATTAATTCTAATTTACTAAACAATTTAATTACTTTATTACTAATTTATTTCTAAAATTTCTAAAATTGTTAACTGATTATATAATTAATATCAATAATCAATATAAAACATATATATATATATATATTTACCACAAAATGATAGCTGAAGAGTATAGGCAAATCTTATAAGAAAACACAAGTGATAGCTATTGTTCAATGTTTCGTCAAACATAATCATCGGCATCAATGTGGGCACTAGTATGCAAAATATGGCTACCAATGGTTCGTAATAGTTATACTGAAATCTCATTATCGGATCCGACCAGAGATACGATACATCAATTTGTTTACGTTTTTCACTACAATCGGGATGTCTTTTAATCATTAGCCAACCCATATGGGCGTAGAAGAAGCCGCGATTAATATTGACAATATCGGCATCGGTTCCCTCGTACTTGTGGTGTGTGTGATGATCGCGGGCCCATTCGATGATTGTTTTCTGGCCACTAAGTGTCTGGACCAACATCAGTATCACCCGAAGTGGCCATTTGGCTTTGAACGACTTGTGTGTACCGTATCGATGGGAAGCGGTCAGTGTACCGATGTTTGACACTACACCTGTATTTTACAAAACAATTATTTATTTATTTTTTTATTAATTTTATTATTACAACTTAATCATTAAAAAAAACTATTGTAATTTAATCATTTAAACATTTTAGTAAAATTTATTATTATAATTATTATCATTGTTCTTAAAATATATTACCGTAATCTTAAATATATAATAAATTTAATGATAAACTAATTTTTAAAATAATCACTTAAAATAAAAGTGCTAATAAGTTAATAGTTTATATAATGATAGTATTATTTGTATCATATATATAGTAATAATATGATCCAAATAATACTAATACTAAAAATTAATTATCAATATTATCAATATTGTTAAAATTATTAATAAACATTTATTTTTATTAAACTATTATAGATTTAATAAATTTTTATATAAAAAAATTAATTAATACCTAATAGATAAGTTAAAACAATTGTTTGCCATTTAGCACTTGTTATACATAGATAGACACCATATAGTGCACCGATGTGTACATAAATCAATGATAACGATTGTAACCATAAAACTTGTGAAATAAAATATTTCAAATTTGACACTTTAAGCATTATTATTATTATTATTATAGCATCAATATTATTAATTAATTAATAATTTTTACATATAAAAATATATATATATATATTTAATAATAATAATTAATAATACTAAAACAATTATTTAATTAATAATTATTTAAACAATTCATTTACAAGTATTTACATATTGTTTATTAAACTTTAATTAATTATCAATATTTTCGAGACATGTGTCTATAATATGAAAATTAAATTAATTTAGATTTTTTTAAATAAAAAGAAAATGTTTTTTTCTAACATTTGTATAAATTTTATTTGAAACAAAAAATATTAATTTGTTTTATTCAAAAGGAAATAATTTAGCAAATTATTAGATCATAAAATTTATTTTTGTTTTTTTATTTGAAAGGACACTAAATAGACTATTATTTTATTTAGATATTTATAGCTAATTATAATATGTATTTAACAACAATAATAATATTGTATTATTTTATAATATGCATTTAATTAGTTTCTCATAAATTAATTGGATATTTTCTAAATTTATTTTTTAATAAAAATGTTTTTATATCGATTGTATTTTATATAATAATAAATAAAATATCATAGTTTTATGCAATGAATTGAACATTTTGAGTATAATAGCTAATTAATATTACAAAAATTCTAGACATTTTGATTGACTTAATTTTTTTTAAACACAAAAATGCTGTTTAATAATTACAATATTAATACCAAAAAAATACAGTACAATCATAGATAGATATTAATATACAGTATTTATTAACTACAAATATTTACTTAAATAAAATTTCTATACAATAACTGTCTTATAATATATATTAAAAAATATATATATTTTATAAGTGATTTTTAGGATATGATAGTTTGATTGACTTATAATAATACTGTAAGTACTTATAATATGACATTGAATTTCCCTAACAGTACTTACATTATTATTATTAACATTGATAGCGAAAAAATTTGTATTTAGTTTATAGTATATATTTAATAGTATAGTATTGTTATTAATATAATTATTTTTTTTCATATAATTATATTAACATTGATTTTCTAAAAAAAAGTGTCTACAATAAAACTGTAATAAGTTTTTTAGACAAATTGTTTTTTCAACTAATATATAAAAAAAATATATAATAATAATTAAATACCTGTACTTTCACTAACAGTGGGAAAAATGGTGTCAAATAGCAAGTTTAGACAACAAAAACCAGCTAAAAATGTTTGGAAATTATTATATAATAAATTGTTTCGCGAAATACTAGTTCCGCTGTTTTTAATGATAACTACACCTAATCTAACAATACTGTTGTCGTATATTATATTAAAGCAAAACAAACCATTAACTGAGGCATTGATCTATGACTTTCCAACTACTATACAAAATGCTTGGCTAACTGTCCATTGGTATAATAAATTTATCCAAGTTCATTTAAATTTAACTAATTTAATAATTAATTGTTGACTATACCTGCATATACTTATATCTATTACTTAAAAAACATAATTTTTTTATAATATTGTATATTAAAAATTAATGAGTATTGATATACTCATATAAATATCTCATAAATTAGTGGATATTAGTTTAGTATTTAGTAATTATTATTGTGAAATTTTTTTTAAGGTTTGATTTGCAGTGTTGGACAGCTATCGGATTATTACTGGGTTGGGGTCTCATATCATTACATTTACCGGCAAAACCATACAATGGACCGATCACTTCAAATGGGTTTACACCCAAATATTGGTAATTTATTTAATTATTTAAAAAAAATTTTTTATTAAAACAAATTATAATAATAATATATATTTTATATCTAATTATAATTAAAGGCACACTGGTTTTAGATTTTACTTAATATCAATGGCAATAACAGTGCCATTACTCTACATCTATAGAGTATCACATTTATTTGATAAACTCTATGATTTTACCGGCAATTTAATTGTGTTTGGTTTTATAGTTTGTTTATTTCTATACATTAAAGGTATATATATGTATAAATATAATAAAACTTTTTTTTGCATAAAAAATTTCATATGAAAACATAATATACAATATATTTTTTTAAAATCGCAGGACTATTATGGCCATCAAAAGGCTTACATAATCGGACAGGAAATCCCATATTTGACTACTACTGGGGTATAGAACTATACCCGCATCTGTCGGCTAGGATTAGCCTAAAAATTTTGATAATATGCCGATTCGGGCTAATACTCTGGCAATACATTGTACTATTGTGTTGGAAATCCAATTACGAGTCACTAGCAAATGGACAGTTCAATTATGCACTGACAGCTTCTACTATATTGCAATCAATTTACCTGGCTAAATTTTTCTACTGGGAGGACGGCTATATGAACGTATGTATTATTTAATTAAAAATTGATTTAATTTGATTTATTTTTTTGTTGGTCATATAACCAGACAATTGACACATCAGTCGACCGGTTCGGTTATATGGTGTGCTGGGGTTGTATAGCCTATGTACCCGGTTTTTATCCGATAACCAGTCTATATTTATCGGTTCAGCCATTGAACCCGAACTATACGTTTCAAGTGTTTCTGTTGAATCTATTGTGCGGTATTGCCGTTATTGGTCTCAACTATTGGTCTGATCAACAAAAACTAGTATTTCGGGCCACAAACGGCAAATGTATTATCTGGGGAAAGCCAGCCAAGCTTATCCGGTATTTCAATAATGATGATGATGTCTGTCCCCCCATAAACTAATTAATTTATATTTATATATATTTCTTATCGGGTTATACCTACCAGTGCCGAATACGAGGACGACTTTGGGAAAGTTAGAAAAAGTATTCTATTGACGTCCGGTTTCTGGGGCCTAACCCGACACATAAACTATACGTTCGAACTAATGTCGACATTCCTCTGGTGTATACCATCACTGTTCAATAGTCCCGTTCCCTATCTCTATCTACTGTTTCTAACTGTACTACTGATTCATCGTAGTGTACGCGACGATAATAAATGTGCCAAAAAATATGGCAAATATTGGCAACAATACAAAGGGGTTGTCAAATATCAGATGATACCCTATGTTTATTAAGTAGAAATTAAATTTAGATTCAATTAATTAATTAAATTTAAGCTAGATGAAATTAGTTTTATATGTTAATTTTTTTTAAGGAATTTTTTTATGAAATATTTTTCAAATAATAATTTAATAATTATTTTCTATTAAATTTTTTAATTATTATTATTATTAAATTTGTTTAAGAAAGTGTTCATTCAATTTATTTATAAATCATTTATTTATTAATTATTAAATAATTAATTTATTGACAAAAAATAGATAATATTTTTCTACTGTGTTGTACTGTATATACAACAAAATAATGAGATCAAAATAATAGAGTAGTCAATAGCCTATAGATGATGACCGTCCAGACAATGTTGAAACTGATAAACCAACCGATAATCCAGTCGACAATCGGCCGACGCTTGAAAACGGCTCCGGTGTCCACTTCACCGCCGGTCCTATTTCGGCGATTGTCGACCATACGCTGCGGTGCCCGTTTCAGGTCGTAGGCCCAACCGATTCGGTGAAAAAATTCAATAAATGCCGAATAAATGTTGAAACTTTTGACACCAAACTCGCTGGCAGAGTAGTCTTTGTTTTTAGAAATAATAATAATAATAAAATAAATTACATTTTTAAATACAAAACATAAAATGCATAAATATTTTATAATATATATATAACTTAATTAATATTTAAAATATTTCAATTGTCTATAAATGATGCTAAAAATATATGCCAATAAAACTTGTATTGTATAACCTTATTGAATAAATTTTTTTAAAAATATTAAGTATATCTTTTTTATTAATGTTTGAGTTTTTATGATTTTTTCCTATAAATATTAAATTAACATATTTATACAGTATATACTGTAGAAATTGTTAGTATACTTGAGAAAATAAAATAAAATAAACTTTTTATAACAAAAGGAGATAATTTTAATAAGTTATAAGTAATAAAAAACTAATGGAAAATTTACTATAAATTTTTCAACAAAAAAAAATCTTATCTTAATATTAAAAAATAAAATAATATTAATCTTATTTTTTAGATAACATTTGGCATTTATGACTGCATTTTTATAAGCAAAACGGTAACACAGAGATAACCAAAAAATATATTTATAGTATATATAAACGAGTCATTAAATAAGGCACTAAATAGTTATCAATTGTCTTATATCTAAATAATATGTAATTAATGACAATTTTTTTAATAAAAATATATATATAATAAATCATATCAAACCGTATGGAAAGGCGTGATGATAGTTATGATAAGCACCTCCAAGGGTGAGATAATTGAGTGGCTTATTATGTGTCGATGTCGATGACTTGTCGTACTCCCGGTAACCATACATATGTGCAAATGAATTGCCTAAAGCATAAAAAACAATTAATTTAATTTAATTAATGATATTATTAATAATTGATTGGTTAGTAAAAAAAATGCTGACCACTTAATGCCAATTGCATTGTATAGGCATATCTTAAGGCAAAACATGTATAGAAACTGTTGACTAATGTTTCGCCAAATAAGATGTAGGGTATGAGTGTCGGTATAAAACAATTGATGACTAAATATAGGAATAGATAGTACTGGTGCTGTAGTCTGACCAGCGGGTCGTTCATCAGATAGTCGACATTGATTTGCTTGCGTTTGGCCTCACAGTCGGGATGTCTTTCCATAACAACCCAACCGATGTGGGCAAAGAAAAAGCCGCGGCCAAGACTAACAGCGTCGGCATTGGTTCCCTCGTACTTGTGGTGTGTCTGGTGATCCAGTGTCCAATCGATGGCCGATTTCTGGCCACTAAGCGTTTGCAGGACAATCAGTATCAGTCGCAGCTTCCAATTGGCTTTGAAACTACGGTGACTGTAGTATCGGTGCGCACCTGTGCAATACTGATGTCATTTTACTTTATTTTTATATTATATTAATATTATAATAACTATGTATTTAATGAGTTTTGATGATTTGTTATAATTTTGTTTGTTTATATTAAATAATAATTTTATGATATTATCAACAAAAAAAAAAAACGATTGATTACCTGCAAGTACTCCAATCCCGGCTAAGACACCTTTAAAGATATAATAATATATTTATTTTTTTTGGATTAGATATATTGTATATAATTATAGATTATTTATTTTAGGTATCAGATTTATATTTAAAAAAATTACAGCAAAATAAACAATAACACACTTAATAGATAACATGCGATAACTGTCTGCCACTTGGCATCGGTCACTAGTATGCATAGTCCGCGGACAGCCGATACGTGTAACAGTATTAACGCTGCGGCCACTGACCACTTGATTTGTTTGAAAAATTGTATCCATTGGTCACTTAATAAAATAAAACCCATGGTTTTTTTTGGTAATTATTTTGACAACAGTTAACTTGACATTTATATATAAATTATATACAGTATTATAAAAAACTTTCAATTAATTGACACTTTTTTTGACACTTATTATTATATTATATTAATTTTTGCAAATCAATTAATTTTTGATTCAATGTATAAAATAAAATACAGTGTAATTATATAGTAATTTAGCAATTATTTAGATTTACTATATTACACTTTCAATACTTAAAATTTTTACAATAAAAAAATATTTAAAATAATTCAATATTATAATTACAATTACTTATTAATAAAATGAATAATAAAATTAAAAATTTTCGCACAATTTATATCATTGTAAAACATTTTCATTTTATTATTATTATATACACTTTCACCTAATAAAAAGCCTACTAATGATAGTAATATTGGGTTTAAAATTAAGATTAAGCTTTAATTAACATATTTAAAATGTGTGTTAAATCATCAAATAATTAGAAAAAAAGAAAACAAAATTTGGAGCAAATCTAATAAATAGTATATATATATATATATATTTAATAATAATTTTAATATTAATATCACTTTAATAGAAACTCTCACTTTATATACAGATTATCATTAAAACTGATGATTTTTGAGACACTTATTATCATAGATCACGTAGACTAGTACTACTAACATACCTAAGCTCTTTAATAATAACAATAATTACTAGTAAATGGACACACAGTTTGGTCGGGCACTAGTAGTAGTAGTAGTAGTAGTAGTAGGTGTCTGCCAAAAACAAACTGGTCAAACAACTACAGTAGTCTATATATTTTCACTGGTCTATAAATATAACTGTATATTATTTATTGTTTAACTTAACAAGATAAAATAAATTTTTGTTGATTAAATTACTCATAATAATACATTATAACAATATGAGTCACAATTTTCCTATATATATTGATATACATGTATGTATAAATTAAACGATTATATATATATTCAATATACAGTATATGCATTACAAAAAAGTGGTTAACTTATGTGATGCACAAACACACACACACAACAAAATTTTTAAGAAAAAAGTTATACCACTTTTAAATACATACTTATATATATGACATATAATAAATATTTAATATATGACATATAAATTAAATACTGTATATAAGTTATGGGTCCTTTATTTTTCAAAATTATTATTATTATTATTATCCTATTATTGAATACATTATTAGTATATACAGTATAATGTTTTCTGACACATATATTATACTATGTAATTGTAAATCACAAAAATTTTCCGTTATAACTATATAAATAACTTTTAGTTTTAGCCAAATAAGTTATAGCCAATAAATTATACACTATATAAGTGAAACGTGAGTTACTTTTTTTAAATATACCTAAAATAAAATTAAAATTGATTTATAATTTATATTTACTATATTTAAAAATATAACTATAATTTACAATTTGTGCGGTCATAATGTACTCAAAAGTTTCTTTTCATTGAAAACTAAAAAAAATTCATTCAACAAATAATTTTCAATTTTCAACATCAAGTATAGCATCAAATGACCTCAATCTGTAATATAATCTTAAAATTTTAAAACTATATATAAATACTATATATATATAAATAATAACAATTAAATTTTGAAAATTTTATTTTATTTTATTTTATTTTTAGGTTATACTTAATTTTGTTTGTTTGTAAATTGTTTAAAGTGAAATGATAATTTAAAAAAAAAATTGTTAATACATTATATATTATATTAATATTTATAAATAGTACAGTAAATTAAGTTATAACAACTTTTTTTTATAAAAAAAAAACAATTTACACTACTATGTAATAAAAAATAATTGAATAATTTTTTTTTTTTAAATATATAATAACACAAATATATTATTTTAAAACATGGTAATTAATTTAAAATTAACCATTTACTGTATATATATATATATATATAATGTATTTTTTAAAAATAAATTTTAGATCAATAAATACATTTTATAATAGTTTTGTTTACTATGTTAATAATGAGTATTTTTTAAAAAACAACATAACCTAATGTTAAAATAATATTCAACAAAAAATCTAATATATATATACGGTATATATGTATAATAAATTTCAATATACAGAAATATTGATATAAATTTTTTATTTTTTTTTGTTTTTTTTTTGTCTTATATGACATCACAATTGTCCAAAACAATACACTGGAATAGAGGACCTGGATGTTTTTCCCATTTTCTTAAACTACTAACCCGTCGATCGGCAACTTTGTGTCTAAACAAGATCATCACCTGTATGTTTTGCACCTGTAGTTATCAATAACAACAACAAACAAATTGTATACATTAATTAATTAATTGATCACTCAATAAACTTATGCTTAGTTAATAATAATCATCATATTTTATACATATAAAAAATTATCAATAGATTAAATTTTTAAAAAAATATTATATACAAAAAATTTATATATAATTATTGATTATATATTCTAATTATCATATGACTATGATATCATTATGAATGATAATATATTGTGTATATTATAATTTATAGATACATTTATAATTATAAAATTAAATAAAACTTAATTAAGTAAATAAAAAATTAATTACTTGCGGAAAATCATCGGACACTACAAACTCTCCCATAGAGTGATAGTAGTGACCATTTTGTATACCAGTTTGCATACAGTTATTGTTCTCAAACGGTGATAGAGTTTCGTTAAGTTTGTTGACTGTAACGGCACCGGTAGTTGTCGTTGTTGTTGTTGTTGTTGTTGTATTGGTTGCATTCAGATCTCTCATTGTTTGGCACGGATTGATAAGACTGCCATACGGTATGCGTACATACTTTCCCAGTGCAGGCATATATATTTTGGCCACAACACCCCTTTCTATCTCTGGCGAGTTAGTCGTTGCCTCTAAAAAAATTAATTAATTTTTATTGGGGATTAAAAACTATACTATTATTTTTTTGCATATATTAAATAATTAAATAAAAAAACATAATTTACTAAATCTAATGTCAAGCAATGCAATTGTGCCCCTAATAAACACACATCGGTTATGAGTCCGGGAATGGTTGGTCACATAGACGTGTGTGTCCTCCGATTGGAGCGGAATTAATGTATTGTTTTCAACTGAAAATTATTCACAAAAAAAATTTGATTAAATACATCAAATACAGAGTTTTTTTAAGTTAATTAAATTGATTTTTTAAAAAAAATTGATATCATATATAAGCACTTAATTACATCTACAATGAGACCAATTGGCTTCTTCATCAGCTACTGGCGACTCATCGATGGTATTGGTGTTGTCGGCGACACTATCGACAATGGTATTAGTGGCCAATGTTGTTGTCGCTGTCGTGTCATCGTCGGCCCATACCTCGACAGTTGTGGTCAATGCTATCGCAATAACAACAAATAAAATACTACTAAAATATGTTATTTTAGATGACTTATACATCATTATCATCTGATTTTAACTTTTTTTTATAAATATTTTAAACAAAAAATTTAGTTAAACTTTTTAAATCTTATATATAATAGTTAACAATTAACTAATTAATTGTTAATAAAATGTTTGATTTAAAATAAAAACTATTTTCTAAACATGTTTTTTTCGATTTAATACTACAATTTAATAAACTAATAAATTACTTAAATGGCTATAATTTTAATAAAAATTTATAATTTATAATTACTTATTTAGTGTCACACAATTACTACATTTATATATATTATACATATTTGATTAGATTTGAGTATAACTGTCAATGCCATATCATGATTATAGCTAATAATGATCAAGATCATTAGCTAAATTTTTTAAAAAATAAAATATAAATTATATAATAAAAAAACAAATTTTTGCTAAATTTATTACTAGTAAATAAGTTCAGGTAAAATGTGTTTATTAGAATTATTAAAAATAAATTAATTAAATACTATTTTATTATAACACTTCAGATTAATTACAGTAATTAACTAATTTTTATTAATCATTAGTTATAATATATAAATTTAAATAAATAAAATATAATTAACTTGACTATCATTTCTTTGATATACAGTATGTATAAAATAAACACAAAAATTTTAACTTTTAATTAAGTGTTGATTTTGTGAAAATTTATATCTATTTTTTGTTTGATGGTTTCACAAGTGACTGACTTTCCTAATAATAATTTTGTTTATTAAATATTTATATTCAAATTGATTGCTAAATAGTAAGCATTTTGTTGTTGTTGTTGATTTAGTGAGTAGTGTTTGATTAAACTATTTTTTTTAATTATAAATAAACTGTAAATTCCAGTAGATTCAAGAATTAAAATTATATATAATTATATCAAAAAAAATAAAATAAAAATTAATTAAATTTTATCATTAGATAACTTCCTCTGAAAATTAATGTAAACATATATTTTATTTAATTATAATTTATACTATTTTATTATATATATATAATTTATACAGGATATTGATAGTAGATTTTGTTCATGTTAATTTTTTATTAGTTAAATGCTCTTATAAGTAAATATTTTTTTTTATAAATTAATCATTTAAAAAAAATAATTAAATAAATTAATATTTTTTTAAAAAAGAAATAATTAAATAAATCACTTTTTATTATTATTTATTATTATATCATTCAAATTAATCGATTTAATTATTTAAAAACACTATATTTCTATCTATAAATTTATATACAATAATGTAATACAATATCATATAATTATTACAAGTATTATAATAATAATAATAATAATAATAATAATAATAATAAACATTGCTGTAATTTACAGTATTATTTTATATTTTTTTTGTTTGTTTGTTTTGTTAAAACAATGCTAGTTTAATAGGTTTATTATTGTCCATTAATAAACAAAATAATAATAATAATAATAAATATAATATACTTAAATAAAATTATTAATTATACAATTAAGTTATACATTTTACAATGAATAATTATACTTTTAATAATAATAATATACTAAAAAAAATAATAATAATTGTAATAAATAAATACTTTTTAATTTATAGTCAATTTTTTATAGCAAATTATAGTCAAATTTTGTTTCTTTTATATATACAGTATATATATATATATATAAAAAAAAGGCTATGACTTCTTGTTGAATGTTTGTAACAAATCGTTTATAGAGGCAATCAATCGCTCGTATAGACAGTCGTCGGCACCGATCGCTGATGATTCGCCATCACTGCTACTATCGCTTGTGGTCTCAACGGTATCGGCAGTAATGATCTTGGGATCAGTGGTCGCGTCTTTAGTTTTGCGTCTTTTATGTGGCGTTTCGCCTGAAAAACCCCAAACAAATAGGATGTCATTATATTTTTCTATGGATCAGTTTAAGTGATTATTAGACAAACAAAAAAAAATCTAAATACCAGTTTGACGTTTACTTCTTTCGACACATTTTTCATTCAATTGGTTTAATGTTTCGCAAAATTGTTTCGTCAAGTCTTCGTCTAAATTATCTGGTTTTTCGACCATAAATACTATATAAACAGCTCTTAAATCCTGCAAAAACAAAGCAACAAATTGTTTACTCAATTATATCGCAAATATATATATATATATATATTTCAATCAAAATTCAATATCTATACCCCATTTAATTGTAGGCATTGCTTATTAATGTCTAATGTGTTGAATATTTGACAAAATGCTTTAATCAGTGTTAATACTTGTGACATTAGATTTGATGAAATAACACTTTTGTATATCTATAATAAAAACACACACACAAAAAATAGAGATAAAAATAATTATCTATATATACATATCTACACATTATAGGGTTACAAACAAACAATCAATCAATCAAATCAATTACTTTTGGTATATAATGCTTTAATAGCTGATATGTGTGCTCATTGTTAAGGAACTGTCGTTCCTGTGTCAACACCAGTGATAGATAATCCCTGAAATAGGAGGTCGAACATAGATTATCGACAAAACTTTTTGAATCATCGGATGTGTCCTCATCGGCGACCAATTCAACGAATAGCTTCGGAAATATCACTGATTTAAAGTTAAGGCTTTCGAGAGCTACCGCTGAACCTATAATTATAACAAAATTAAAAATAATTATTTTTAATATAAAAAACAAATTGTAATCAATAATAATAAAACAATAATATTCAATTTAAATAATAACACATACAAAGACCAACTAAATCACTGGTAATCAATTGATTTTGAAGGGCTGTCCGACAAATTGATTCAATAAACTGATAGTAGGGTTCAAAATACAATGCTATAGCTCTGTCGTAATCTTTGTCGACTCCTTTACCGCATTCAAGTATCTTAACATTGAAACACATTTGAAATAGTGGACGGGATGGCCGTACACTTGATTTTGTTAGCATTACTCGTTGGCCGCGACGCGGGAAATATGGACCGGGAATAACTGTTATGACAATAAATTTTTAAAAATTATTGAATGCATAAATAAATAAATTATTTTTAAAATAAATAAATAAATTCAATGACTTACAGGTATGGCTTTGTTCAGCAAAGCTGATGTGTTGTAGACCTAATAGTTGTACCAAAAATGGTAACAACTCTTTGGCGTATAATTTAATCAATTCAGTCAAAACATCTATAAAAAGTTAAAAAAAACAATAAATAAAAATATTTTGACAATAAATATGAGATAATGAAAAAATTAAAAATCAATAAATAATACCTAAACAGATAACCCGTACGGAGCTGGGAGTATAGGAATTAACTAATAAGATATTTTTGCGCATAATATCCATGAGATCGCGATTATTGTTTTTAATGTCACGTAAAGCCGATTGACTACAATTGGCGGTCAATGTTCGCAACAATTGGTAGATAATCTTTTGCAATTCCACCAATTCGTTGGTTATATGACAGGCAGTTGCCTCGTGAAACATGATATACATGGCGTGAAAGGCTTGAAACGTATTGATCAGACCGTTGTTGGTCAGCACAAACAGCCGATCTTCCTCTTGTTCGCATAGTATAGACATTGCGGTTATCAATGTTTGCCACGAACTGCGGGCATCGACTGAACTCAAATACATTTGCAATGTTATGCGCTTGAACTGTAAGATATCGCGGATCTCCGGCTGACTGGCATCGGGATGTTGTTCGCAGAAAATTTTCATCAATTTAAACAATTCGGTTACCGCTAACTGATACTGTGTTATATAGGGTGTAATGTTTTTGAAGGCCCACTGGATATTCTGATGCATTGCCAACTGTCGGGTAAACTGTCGGGACTGTTGACAACAAAGCCGCAACAGGCCGTAGTAGTTGGGAAGCATCATCTTGTTGAAGAATACCACCTCTTGGTCATCGTGATCGGCGAGTATATAATTGAAGGCAATATTTTTGGTTACATGTGCCGACTGGACAATACATTTAACGTTTTCCGGACAGTCCTGACAGGCCATATACCAGAACATTAGTAGCGCCTGTTTGTTCTGATGGATAGCAATGGCCGGTTCGCTTAGTTTCGGTTGAAACAGATTCCATAAGTCATTGAAAAATGGTACCAATTGTTGTTTCTGGCGTTGGGATACCAGACAATAGGACATCACAACGAAATATGATGTCAACTTTTGTGTACTATGTGTGGCCGGATCGGCGTATAGTTTGACACGTTTCAGTAGTTGTAGCAAATAGTTATAGATCTGGTCGATGACCAGTACGGCTTCGGGACTCAGATCGAAATCTTTGGCACCGGAATAGGGAAACGGCCGGGACGGGCGATAGTTTTGACGAAAACTATTGTTGGGGACCAAACAGATCAATAGTTGTGCAGCATTTGAACGGACCCGCATATTGGAGTGGGCGACCAGAAAATAGAGTACCCAACTCTCGAACGATTGTAATACATAAGCGTTGGCCACTTTGTTTCGGGGCATCTGTATTGTCAGCCATTCCAATGTTTGTAGGGGTACTTGTTCGGCAATTTCCCAGATACGGGGCAGTACTAGATTGGAAAATGGCTGTAATCCGGGTGAGATACCTATTTGTGGGGAAGTCATTTTAAAAAAATCATGTCATATAAATACAATAACAAACATAATTGTGCCCAAAAAATAAAAATAAATACTACTAACCCATTTCAACCAGCATTGATAGCACCTTAAAAAATGGACCGCTCGAGTCGGGCATACGAGTAATGGATGTAAATATCATATTAATGATAAGTCCGGCCAAATGATCGTTGAATCGACACAACGAACAGATCAGATTGTAGGTCTGTCTCAGATTGATATTGTCACGGATCTGTTGCTGAAGAAACGGAAACGACTTGGGACTGGCAATGGCTTCGTAGTCTCTGTCGGATAGTCTCAGCCGATTGTCTTTGCCTCGGGATTTCTCGACCAACAGAGCTACCAGAGTAATCATTTTATCGAGAGAAGCCGGTTTGGGAAACTTGTCGTCCATCATCGGACCGACTGTATGAGTCATACGCTGATTGTACGGATGACTACCGGAAAACATTGAACTATTGTGCGGACCGTTACCGCCGCCACCATTGCCATCGTTATAGACATCTTCTTCTTCGTCTTCTTCATCTTCGGACATTACTTCGACTAAATCGTTTGTCGCTTTACCGCATAGTCCCATATAAAAGGACACTATTGTCGATATGGCTTCGACGGCCAACAAGAACTTGCACTCTTCGTCGCCCTGTTTGGCAAATTCACACAACAGTGCAAAATATTCGGTCAGATGTTTCAGATGAGGTTTGGCGGTCAGATTTTCGATACTGATCAGCGACAAGAGTTTACGTATAAATCTGGTTACACACGAAAAGCGGCCCACGTGTGACATCACTTCGGCATCGTTCGAGTCGTCACTGTCATCGCTGAGCGGCTGAAGATATAATGACGACTGAGTTGGTTTCAGTTGAACAATAACGTGTATACAGAGTCGTTGGAACAGTTGGCGAACCATTTGATTGGGACATCGCAACAGTATCTGTATTGGCCACCAATCGTCTTCGGCCAGATGATCCATTAGCCATTCGCAGGCCTGTTGCGATGAATTGAACTGTTTGGTCAGCAATTCAATCCAACTGGCAATTGTTGGCTTTTCTTTGGCGTGAATCAGTGTTTCCAATACAAAACTTGTGGCCAAACGAGCCGATAGTAGCGTAACTTTCAATGACTGGTTTGTGGACGACGATGATAATGTCTGTGGTATATAACCGCATATTTGCCACATAAAGTCAAAGTAGGTGTGCTCGAAGATGGATTTATCTCTCAAAAACGATATATTATCGTCGCATATCCATTCGCTAAGATCGGGTGCCAATTGGACATTGGTTGGCACAAGACTTTCGTTAGCTGATGACGACGACGACTCTTTTGTTACGATTTTATCCACTCTTTCGTAGAACAACATGTAAGCCGAGTTGGTCTTCTCAAACGAAAAGTCCATGAATTTGTCGGTTACCTAAATTACCGGACAAACAAACAAACAAAACATTTTTATCGGTAAATACCGTTATCTCTCAGAAAAAAACGCCATTTAATAATATAAAATACCTGATCGTATGTTTTGCTGGTCATCTCACCACCAAAACATTCAGTGGCAATCTGTGTCTTATCAAACGGTTTGACCTCAGCGTCGTTAAACAAATACCACTTGTCCTGAGCGCACGCACTGGCCGTTTCGCGTTCTCTGATAAACGAATAATAATGTCCGCCATCAGCGGTACCCGTATGAACGGTAACACCAATCAGTACGTATTCGGTACTGGTATCGGGCGATATCAGATTATTGGGCGGCTGTTGTTGTTGTTGCTGCTGCTGGTCGTTGTTGCTGTCGGTACTCATGGCTTCGTCACCGCCAACTGATTCCTTTGGGTTATTGGTTGTCGAAGCTTTGATCAAATTCTTTTCCAAATAGGGAGCCATATCCAACTGAAACGGAAACGAAAAGTGTGTGTTCACCTTCTCTTTGGTCATCGTTACCATATTGAATGTATAGCGCATTGTATTGAAACATAAAATTTTCGGTAAATTCTTAATACAGGCCCGCTTTTCGGCTCTAACTTTACGTCCACAACGGGAACAGTTATACATATTGTCGCCCTCCAAAGTGTCCTTAACTGTAATCTCATCCAACGATTCGTTAAGGTTTCGCATGTCTGCCACTTGACAGCGCAATGTATAGAACTCTTCGGTAGTCTGGGATATGTGCGGACAGTCCAGTGAGACAACATTGTTCGATAGGGAACCGCTAAACAATCGTTTGACCATATCTTTCAGATCGGGTGTCATTTCTTCTAATTTGGTAATGAGATCAGTAAAAAATTCGGTCATATCCTTCTGTTCGCCCGTATTGAGCGGCTGGTGATCCATAGTATAGACTTTACAGAAACTCTTCGGATTATAGGCTTTGCGTTCGGATTCCAATAGAAAGACAAACATTTTTTGCAATTCTTTGAGTACGGATTCATGTTTGACAACTGATGGCAAATTTGTTGATAATATTATGTAACGAGACTCGGGTATCATATACAGGTGCTGCATACACGATGCCATGTAACAGGTGGCGCCTACGGTAATAATAATATACCGATTTAATTTCAATGATATATTATATATCGGGTAATTGTTTGGGGCAATAAATCAATAAACAAACACCGGGTTATTGTGTGGGTTTATAAAAACATTTAAACAAACCTAAATTAGTGAGACCAACATAACCGGCATCCGATCGGCAATCGTCGTGCGGCCAATAGTCCCACGGATACGGTGTTAGTCGACCGGATAATTCGGGACTATGCTGATCCATCATTTGGCTAATTAGTGCCACATAATTGTCTTCAGATCCCTTAACCAATTCGACTAACAGATCGAAAGCTGCCGATCGAGTTGACGGTGCCTTACATTTGGGTAGGATTTTATCTTTTTGTGTCGGCAGCGAAAACAAACAGTCAAAAACTTGTGTAACAAATTTTTGGCCAACTTTTGAGTATTTGAACGACGGATTGTGTTTGAGTGTTACAGTCAACAAAGATATCAGACCTCTTAGGCCTTCGTCTTCGATGGTATTGTGTCGGGTTTCGCGTATTTCGCGGCTGACAATCACTTCGGCAATATAGGTACACAACACTTCCAGATCGACAGTAGTGACAACAGTGGTGACAACAGCCGCCGCTGTGTCCGATATTTTTTGTTTGTCCAACGAATCGACCAGACGGCAAACGAGCCAAAAGTAATCTTTACAACCCGGACCGTAGGGCTCTTTGTCGGCAATCAGACAATCATCGGTATCCGATAGTTTCGGCGCACGCATACTTTGCGCGACTTTCAGAAAACTCAACAACGAATTCAACAGTTGCGGTATAAATATATGGCCAGTAGTACCGTCGGCGGTAAATCCCAGACACAGCCGATAGAATCCGGTACAGGCTTCGCGTCGAATGGCCGGATCCGGGTCGTCGAGTACCAGTTTCTTAAGTAGGTGTTCCAGATTGTCGGCCTGGTAGAGCGAGTCGCGAATTTGCGGATCGCTGAATGCCCACGATATCAGAAACGTCATCGTATGGTGAACTACCTGAGCCCGACCCCAGAATCCCGTATGATAGGTATGGCTCATATCGCATGCCTGGGTTGTGGCCTCGTTCAGGATAGTGAGCAACACTTTTAACATAGATTCGACATCGCGTATCATTAGCAAGAATTTTGAATTCAATTGAGGCACTAGTAGTTTATCAGTTGATCCCTTACGCGATCGTTTGGCTTTGCGTACCATTTCGGTAATAATCGACGACTGCGATGTTGTATGGGATGGCATTTGATCCATCATTGATGAGACACCACTACTACTATTGTTGTCTCCGTCGTTGTTTTTATCACTAGATTTTGTTGACGACGACGGCGTTATGGGATTTACACCAAACTGATAGAGTAGTTGAAGTAGAGATGCCAAACAATCTTGTTTCCATTCGTTCCAAGAATCGGCACCCGATTCGCCCGATTGTAACACTCCGCTAACAAATATGTCGAATAGATGCTGAAGACCGTCACAGTCTATAAACTTTTGTGTCCATTGTTTCGAGTTTCGCCTAAGACTGTCGACAATCTGACACGAATACATTAACTTTTGCGGACTCGATGGCGACAATAGTTTATTAAACAGATCAGCTGATAGTGTCTTCTGCGATGTCGACGGTGTATTAGTATTTGTCGTTTCGGTTAGCATTTCGTTGTCGGCAGTCATTAGATGATTGATATTTTCTACCGATTGATTGACAACAGGAGTCAATCCAATTGTTTGGAAACAGTCTAACAGATTCGGTGATGTAGGCAACAGTTGTATAATCTCCCAGACCCGTCGAGATAGTACCTGTGCTTTGATATGGTTAGCACTTTTATGCGAACCCAACTGTTGCATCGACGAGAATAGTTGTTCAAAATTTTGCGGCTGAAGTAACAGAAGCGATGGTATGCGCTCCTTAGGCAGAGACCACAAGGCAATCGGTTCGGAATTGTCGCGAAATTTGCGAAAACTACGGGCAATACCTACCGATACGAAAACAATTTGCATGTCTTTGAAACCGACTTCAGCCAACTGTTTCTCATCGAAATCGTAGGTAATCTCCTGGCCCTGTGTCAGCAGCCGTAGTGGACCATCGCTGATGGATGTGGCGTTAAAATTGGAAAATGTTGACCGTTTTTCAATAACATCTTCGTATTTGTTGATCAACGATTCCCACCATTGTTGAATTTCTGCTCGCAGTTCACCGACATAATCGGTACTTTGCATCTCAATGATGGTACGGTCGGGCAGCGATGCCGGCTGACAACTGATACGCAATAGAGAACCGGTTCGTTCACGAGTCTTATGGCTCAACAAATCCGAATCTCCATTCAGTTGCCAGCGCCGAAAGTTGTAGGCATAACGACTGCGGAAGCCCTCCAAATGAGTCTTAATCAGAATGACTGTCCGCTGTATTATTGTCAAACTTTTGTCTTCATCAGCTTCGAGATGTTTAGACGCTGTTTGCAAATATTCCATACATTTGTTGATAAATTCTTCTTCTTTGATAAGATTGGTATTCGGCGGCTGAAGATTAATATAATAGCTGTTCAGATGACGGATGGCAGTCATCGAGACATCAGTGTTGCAACATCTCAGCGCAATGTCCCACAACTGTTTGATGGCTGTCGAGTCAATTGTTTCGCTGGTCTTACAATTGGCTTGAGATAGAAGACAAGCGGACAATGTTTGCAACAATTCCAGTGCCATCATTGAGAAGTGTTCGGGCGATAGTTGCGGCAACTTTTCGATTAAGATATGATGCATCATATCAATGCCGAGACCGTGATTCTCACGGGAACGTACTTGACCTGTGCGTAGTAGACAGGAGAAAGTGTTAAGGTTATGGGGGGTTTAATCTGAAACTAATTAAAATAAAAGACAACAACAATAACTTACTCAATAGCCAATTGAATAATTCGTCAGCCGATTCGGCATCGCTGGCCAATGTTGACCACAGTGTATCGATTTGTTCTTGACTTAGCCGAAAACTATCGGGCGAACCGGCACTCGAAAAGACAAAACTTAGAAAATTAAGGCGCGTCTGAATTTCATCCAAATGTGAATATATGTCTAAATTATTTAAATCCGACGATTTGTTTGCTGACGACAATTCTAAACTAGTTGTCGATGTCGTTGTTGTTGTCGTCGATGACGATGTAGTTGTCATCAGTTGTTGTTGTTGTTTCTCTTGTCTTAATTTACAATATATACACAGATTATTGAAAAAGTATTTTAACATATTTCGCTCTTTATCGGCCCAGAGTACGATACGATGGGTGTCCATTCCGCCCCGAAACTGCTGGAATGATAGCAAAAATTTCGGTAACAATCGTAACGATGTATTAACCGAATAGTTTTTGGCCAAATTGTCTAAACAGCCTTCGATAAACTTCATCCGAATTCGGCGATCACTGGACCAGCAGACAGTATTCCAGAAAATTTTTTCGGTTTCATGCGCTAGACCGTCGGCCAACTGTTGAATTAGATCGTCCTGAAGCAGATCCCAGAGCAATGTACGGCCGGGTTTGCAAACATTTTCAAACGACAAATCCATCAGTTCCTGATCTTCGACGACATCGTCGATGTTGTTGTCGTCGGCTGTGATGGTGGTTTCGCCGATATTATCACTACTATTGGTATTGATCTTATTGTACATCAATTGGCTCTCTTGTTGGACAATCTGCTGGGCTATTGACGCCAATTTATGTGATGCCGAAGATGATGGACATTTACTACCGCCGCCGCCGCTGCTGTTTCGTTGGTCGTCGCGTTCGCCGCCAAAATAATTATCAGAACATTCGTTGTCCGTAACATCCAGTTTGGTCACATCACTATCAAGTTCTTCGCCTTCAAAATCGGCCATATTTTTATCACTTAAACCACTTAATCGACTGCTGGCTCGGGAATTATTATCACTCATGTCTTCGTCGTTGTTTTTGCTGTTCAAACCTTCGGTTAGTTTAACTAATTTTTCCATAACATCCGGTGGTGTCTGTATATCCGAATCGACTAATACTAAATCATCGGAAATACTACCACTGGCTTTGGCTGTTAGGGCCGAAACATCTTTGATGACTTCCATCGATGACTTTGGTTGGGTTGTTGAATCCGACGTCGCCGAAGATGACTGCTGCTGTTGCTGCTGCTGGTCACTTGTTAACTTGAATGGGATCCGATCGGAAAACCTCAAGTCTATAGAAAGATTTGCAAATTAGTCTTTTTAATTAACGGTAATATCGATAAACATACTTATAAAAGATGTATTCTTGGATAGGTCGGGCTCTTTAGGCATCTGTTCGCTATTATCTTTATGAATGGCAGCGACAACATCGCGTACGGCCATTGGCACCAAATCACTCGATGAAGAATTACTATAATTGCCGACCAATGCCTGATGAAGACGTACGCCAGGTGTGGAAACATTTTCATCGCTCATCTGCGGTATAATCAATTCTTCGTCCTCCGATTCGGATGTACCATCAGAACTGTCATCGCTGTTACTATTGTTGTCGGGTTTGCCGCCATTGCCGCCTCCGCCACGACGAGTACTACCACCACCACCACTGCCAATATTATTGGCGCTATTCTTGTCGTCATTCGAAGCACCGCTAGTACTCGAATTGCACAATCGTTTCGGCTTCTGGCGAAACAATGTCCGGACTGGTACTCCTCCCTGCGAACAATCTACTTCGTAATCGTCGTCGTCTTCATCGTCATCGCTATTATCTACCGAACCACTCGATGAACTGGAATCGGCTCCTGTCGAGTGTCGCCGATTCTTTTGATTAGAACCGGGCAACATTGTAAAGATAGGACTGCGCACTAGTGTCAAATCTTCGAGCATCTTCACCGACTGTATAGATGACGACGATTGCTGGCCATAGGCGTTGATCATATCACCGCTGGACGTATTACTCTGACTCCATATGTATTTCAATAGTTGCGAAGCCAAAAGCAGCGTCTGTTCCGTATGTTCTTTCGGTTCCATATTTCTTAACAACCAATACATGTGCAAAACTGGCTTCAGTTTCAGATTCTTAATCAATGGTAACAGTATGTCCAGTACTTGACGGCCGCAGTGTTTCATCTGCGACGCCGACCAAATTACGTCGATATGTTGGACAGTGATTTGGGTGGCAATAAAATTCAGAATAACGTGACTCTGTTTGATGACCTCTACGTGCGAATTGGGACCAAATATATGTTCGATAATCTTATTATCTTTAATCCAATTGGCCAACTCGTCCAGTAGGGAATCGGTATTGGCATTGACCAAACCTAATGGTATCACAAGAAATACAAACAAAAAAAACATTAATATATTATCAGAAACTTTATATCGGATCAACTTTCTTACCATTAGAGTCTGCCTGACAGAGTTCCGAATAAATACTAATATAGTTATTGATTTGAGTGATTCCCGTCAATCGCATTGTCAGTGTTGATGATGTAAAATATTTTAAGGCCAAATTCAATCCCTCCCGATCTATGGTACCATTACGGAGATCAATGTGCTCTTTGACTACCGACCAAATAAACTCAAACATTGTCCTATTGTTGATAATTCGGAGTTCTTTATCCGATACTTTGCACAGATATTCGATAACATAAGTACGGAGCGAGACTAGCTTCTGTTGGATGACATTCGAGTTGATCCATGGCTTAAGATTGGCCATTACGACAATCATTGCGTGGGCCAACGATAGTGGTAGACCAAGATTTGGCTTTCCTTTGGCAAAACATTCGACAAACAGATCGACACCGCCAGCGTCGCAAAAGTAGACAATATTGCGGATCAAATACAATGGCAGATCCAGTTCGGATAGTTCACAGTAGGCGCTCAACGATTGCAGTTCTTTAGTGGTCGGATCGTCGCCTCGGGAGTTGACAGTATGCTTCTGAGCCATATATAAGGGAAATGTCACGTGAAATGCCTTTGAGGCTAAATGAAGTAGTCGTTCCCTGTCATCGCTGGACCATTCATCAAAGTTATGAGCGGCCATCAGTTTACTATGTTCTTCGTTGCTTATGTAGTCGTTATCATCATCGGTGTCCAGCGTCAGTGATATCACTTTTAGGAGATTGATGGTCGTCTCGATGATCGACTGAACCAATTGGTTGAAGCGACTGTAATTTCGTTGATCTTTATAGCAACAGATACAATGTCTGTATGGAAAAGAAAACAAATGGTAAATAACAGATCACCAGTAGATCACAGGTCATCAATGGCTGCAATACCTTTGGCTCCAAGAGTTGACATAATTGATGACAAGATTAAGCTCTGGCTTTCCTATCACGCCGTGTCTTTTATTATTATTATTATTAAGACCACTATTGTTGTTGTTGTTATTGTTGGCGGCGACGGCGGCAATGGTGTTGATGGCAGTGGTGCTCGTATTGGTGTTGTTATTGGTATTGCCGTTGTTGTTGTCGCCGCTCGTCGTCGTCGTCATCATCATCAATGTCTTGCTGTTATTGTCATCTATTCAAATTAATGGTATAGATTTGGATCAAAATTGGGTGATAATGACACCAATAATAATTGATACTCACGTTTGGTCATCAAATCAATCATATCATTGCAAATGTCACACATGTTGTTGATGTTGTTGTCAATCAATTTGCTGGACATTTCGTGTTGTTGTTGTTGTAGTTATATTAAGGATATTATGTAATCATTTGTTGGTCCTAATGAATGGATCAATTGTTGATCATCTTCTTCAAGACATTTGTTGATAACAACAATCATATTATTATTAATAATAATAAAACACACAATAATTTAATCATTATTTATGTTATTAACAATTAATAAATACAAACCAACAAAAAAAATTTGTTTGAATTTTATGTTTGAATTTTTTTTTTTGAAATGTTTGTTAAATCAATTTATTTGAAAACAATAACTAAATCAATGTTTTTCTATTTATTTAAAATCATTAAATCATTTATAAATACTGTATTTAATAATTAATTAATTAATTAAATGTTTTCAATAAATAAAAATAATTCATTTCATTCAACCCATCAATTGATTCAATCATTCATTCATTCAAACATTGCATTCAATTGTGTTGTCTGTATGAGTGATGTGTGTGTGTGTGTACTGTATGTGTGTATAGTATTGACTCAATTAAGTCAATAGATTGAGACACTAGAGGAGTACTACACACAATCACAATACACTCATACATAGTATTATGCAAAATATAAAATAGTATTTAAACAGTATTACTGTATTAATAGTAATCTGATTAGTATAAGAAATAGTTACAGTATAGCTGATTAATGCTGTCAACTATTTATTACCATGCTTATTATCATTATTAATGCTAATATAGTTATTATGATATTATACAGTACAGTATTAACCAAAAAAACAAAAATTAATAGTTAAATTAGATGATTATATAGTTTATGTACAGTAAATGTATATTTAAAACACAAAAAATTGTTTTCAATGTCAATCACATATTCAATGCATAATTTTTATTCAAAATATATAAATAAATAACTAATTAGTTTAAATAAATGTATGGAAAATAATTAATATCAAACTTTTTTTTTACTCAATACTTTTATAACTTTTTTTTAAAAAAAAAACTTAATATTAAAACTATCAAATTGCTATAATTGTTTTATATATAGCTATATATTTTATTGATAAAATGACTGAGTATTTTTACATTATATTCAAAAAATTATCATGGTTCATTATTTATTTATTATTTTTTATTTTTTTTAAAACTTGATTATATTAAGAGATAGTAATAATTACTTTGCATTTATTATTTAGGGTTATGTGTGTGTGTAATACACTGTGTATGTGTGTATCAAATGGCAAATGTATTTTTTTAAAAACAATATTGAGATATACTGTAATACCTAAGCACTGGTATATTTTTAAATACAGGTATACCGTATATGCAGTTAATATACAGACTCTCTCTGTGTGTGTGTAATATAAGCATTACACACATACATACATACTGTACATACACATAGAGAGTGAGAGAGATACCCTAAATCTAGGAAACAGTAGTTTTTACTACCTAAGCGCATACACACACACATACATACATACATACATACATTACAAACCAGTGTAAACATAACAATGTTTTTATTATTGTCCAAAAATACATTTTTATAATACATTATAATTTTTATTAGTAATTTGGTAGTTAGTAGGGTTATTTTTTTATACCGTATAAATATGTTTAATATATATATATATATAGTTTTAAAAACAACTGTCAAATATATTAATTATTATTTACTAAAAATGATTGATTTTAGTTAATTAAATAATAATAAGATAATAATAATTAATTTTCATCAGTAACAAGAAATCATCATCAATTAGTATCAATTAATTAATAATTAATAATATGAGATAAATAATAATAATAATATTAATAATTAAATGTATGTATAGTTTATATATATATATATAAAACACATGTGTTTTATTTTTATTACCAGTTTTTATATAATAATAATAATAATATAAACGATTGCTTACTTATTTTTTTTTATATATAATTAATTGAATTGAATTAAACGCTAATTAATAAAAAAATATACATTTTTTCATATATCATATATAAATTTTTTTTATAATGGCTTTACTATATTATGAGTGTTATATAAATTTTTATATAATATATAATATATATTATTTAATTAATTAAAAATTGTATTTTGTAATCTATGATATATAATATATATGTGCTATAATAATGTGATACTAAATAACTAACTAAAATAATTAAAATAATAATAATAATATATTAAATTTAACAGTCATTTTAATATAGATATATATAAAACTTATTACTTATTATAAGTTATAATAAAAACCATATAATTTAATGGCTTTTTATCTATAGATAAGACCCCAAAAAAAAAAATTTTATATAAAGTTATAGTTTTTCAGAGATAATGTCATTTCAAGTGATGGACTATTATCTCAAAGATAAGACTAAAACAATCTCTTGATTATAATATTAAAACTATTTATTAATTAGTTTGTTGTTTGCGAAGAAAAAAGAGATTGAAATATAAGAGAAAATGGCTGAAGATTTTAATGATATTGTCGTCAATAAAGACGATAATAATAATAATAATAATAATGACAACAACGATATCATTACCACTACTCCTACAACTGGTGGTGTTGTCGAAGATCATCACTATTATGGAGATAATAGCAACGACTCTACAGATAATGCGGTCGTCGCTAATACCAAACAACGGCGACGACTGTTTCAGCGATCGGTTAATAATAATACGTCAGTTGTGGCGACGGCGGCGTCAGTACTGGCAGCCGATGAAGACGATGAAGAATTAGATGATGACGACGACGATGATGATGACGAGTCGTCGTCACAGTATTGCCAATCGATGGTATCAGAAGAGATGATGATAATGTTGAACAACAACAACACCAATAATAACTGGTGTCCGACAACAACACCGGCTGATCAATCGATTATGAGAGAGTGTGTCAACTGTTCCACACAAAAGACAAGCCAATGGCGTACTAACGGCAGCGGACATTATCTGTGCAATGCGTGCGGTCTCTACAAGAAGTACAATGGAGAGGACAGACCACCGGCCGATCTGGTGGTGACCCGCAAGAAGAATGTATGAGATTTTTTATATGCAATTTAATTAGTGTCTAATAATCGGGGTTTTTGTTTTGCTTTTCTTTTCCTTCATATAGTGTTCGGCACCGAAACAGTGTTCAAACTGCGGTACACTAACCTCATCGATGTGGCGCAGGACGGCCAACAAACAGGTGGCCTGCAATGCCTGCGGACTGTACTATAAGCTGTACGGTAAACAGCGACCAATCGAAATGCGTAAAGATGTTGTCTATCCGCGCAATCGGTATTCAAAGCTCAATCCGACTACCAATAATTGTGGCCGATTTTTGCACGACACCAACAACAACACCGATCATCCGCCACCGTCACCACTACAACATAATAGCCCCGATGATAGTCCACTGAATTTGATTGGCGGTAAAAATGATTTCGATTACTACACTAATAATAATAATAATATCAAACAACTGAAGAAAACAAAACACACAACAAAACTGGCGGCCTTTAGCAACAACCACAACAAGTTAGCCATCAATGATAGGACCAACATATCATCATATATTGAATCGACAACTGATGACGAAAAACCAATTGATTTGAAACGATCGGTTTGTTTTGATTTGATTTAATCCGATTGTTCTTATCTTATTTGTTTGTCTGTTCCAAATATATATATATTAGAATGGATCAGCTAATCGACAACAACAACAACGACAGTCATTAGCATCAATGATGACTGCTGCTACTGGTGGTGGCGGTAGTGTTGATCAATACGATATTAAACCATCACCTGTACAGCAGATACTATCACTTTACGATAGTATGCATAATAATAAAGATTTTAATACCTGTAATACAAATACCATAAGTGCTATCACCGATTGTTTTCGCCAGTGCGCCAAATGCGGTGCCAATGTTGTCACACAATTTGGTGTCCATTTTGGTCACTATTTATGCAATGAATGTGGTATTGCATCTAATGATAGTAATAATAATGATAATAATAATAGTAATAATAGTAATAACGATAATAATCATCAATTGTTGTTAAAGTCATCATTAATCGGAAGTGAATCGGAAATAAAGTCAAATTCTGTGGTAAATGACATGGATAAGATTAGTCTTAAAAAGGTTTGTTTGTGTTGAATATCATCTGATTATCACTTGATTTGATCTTTGAATGACTATCTTTTATTATCTTTTTATCGCACAGAAGAGCCGTGAGATCAGCTGCAGTAATTGTGGTGTAACCAAATCGAGCGAATGGCGCCGTTCGCCGTCCGGCCAGACTGTTTGCAATGCCTGCGGCCTATACTATAAGTTGCACCACAAGAATCGGCCCATTCATATGCGGCGCGATTTTATTACACATCGTAAAAGGACTGCCACCGCCAACAACAACAACAGCAATAACAACGCTATGAATGCTATTATCGCATCTGTTCCTACCATTACAACCACCAACAACAACAACGCCATCAGCAGTACAGGCGATACAACAACAACTGTTCAGCCATTCAGTAGTGAACAACATATTTATTACAATCAAAATATGTTTATTAATCATAATAATGATAAACATATAAACATTAAATCTGAATTGTCATCACCGTTGATGACAACTACTATGACAAGTGATAATAATTACCACTCTTTAATCGACAGCAGCAATAATATTAATATCAATAATAATATCAATAATAATAATAATAATGATTATTATTATGCACTAACTAATCATCAATTGTTATTAATGACAACATCTTCATCGAAAAAACGCAAACAAAGTAATCCTAAGAAGTTAGTCATTCCTCAAAGTTATCAATAAATTAATTATTTATTGATTTAATTTTTGTTTGTTTGTTAAAAATTTGATTGCAATCACAAAACACATACACACATCCTATTAATTAAATACTATATTAATGATAAAAAAAAATGTAATTTTGTTGCAAATTTGCTTTAAAAAAAGTAATAATTAACATTAATTATAAACTTATATTGTTATTGCATAATATCGATATATATATATATATATATATAATTTTTTATATTTTTCATTGTTATGCCTAAAAAAATTGTACACTTATATTATATTATATAAATATATATATAATAATTTTTTATAAATAAATCAGTGATTTTGTATATTTTTAATAATAATAATAATAATAAATATATTTTGTGATAATTAATTTGTTTATTTGATTTTTTCTATATAAATATAATCTACTGGTAATATATCCTATAATTTAATGTAATAATTATAATTAATTAATCAATTAATTGGACTTAATTTAAACACAAACAATATACTTCATATATACATATATATATAATTATAGATATTTTTTGGTCAATTATTACAATTATTGCATTTATATTAGTCATACATAAATACCAATTAAAAAAACTAAATATCAAACTAATATAAAACTTGTTAACTTATATAAACTAAAAATTATTATTTAAAGATTTATTTATTAGTTGTGTTTGGATTAGACATTTGATATGTTTGTATTAATTTATTTATTTATATATCGGTATACGATATACTATACTACAGTATAAGTTAATAAATGTTTAGACAACTAAACTTTAAAGTATTACAAGTATATTAGTTTCATTATATTTATATAAATTATTATCTTTTTTTTTTGAATTTATACTGATTTAAAAATAATGCAATATTTTTTTAAACAAAACAACAACAAAGTTTAAAACATTAGACTAGGTTAATTTTAACTTTTAAGTAATACTACTCAATCAAAATATATACATTAAATGGTATATTAAAAATATAATTAGAAATCTATTTTGTAATACAGTATCAAATATTGGTTTTTTAATTTTTTTTTTTTTTTTTTGAACTATACATTGATAATTTTGATGGATTAGTAAAAATTGTAATTTTATAATTATAATCAATTTACTAAAAACATAATATGATATATTGTATTGTTGTAGTTGTATTTATTACCACAAATAAATTATTACCCGTCCAGTACCCTTCCCCCCCAAAAAAATATATTAAAAACTTACCCAGATTAAATTTGTTTGATTGAAACCCATTATAGTAAATTACTTTTTTTAAAAAATAATAAATAAAGTAGCCAGCTTATTTTAAAAGTTTCTAATTTTATTTTATTATTAACAATTTATTCAATAGTCAATTATTGTAGTTATCAAGAATAAAAATCAATTATTATGGTGATCAAATATATATATATATATCAATAATTTGGTAATTATTTATTTAATTTTTTTAAATAATAATAATAATATATAAGATTTATCCAAAAAAATAATAATAATTATAATTAATAGTATGATTACATATTATTACTAAAGCGTCGGTCGGTATACAGAAAAAAAATCGGTTACAAATAGTAATACTGGTCGCACATTATATTTAGATAGTGTAAAAACTATACTATATTACTACCCGTCCTTGAGGGGTATTCCCCCAAGGTATACAAATATAGAAAAACAAACTAATAATAATTTAATAATTAAAAAATTTTGTTGTTGTTGTTGTTTTGTACTTAATTAAATAAGTAAATAATTATAAAAAATACATTAAATTACACACCAAATCAATCAAACAAACAAACACATAAAAAACACTAACTTATATCTACCGGTATATTATTTGTTAAATAATAATTGCGAAATATAATAATAAATTGGTTAAATTATTTATAATAAAAAAAAATAATTACGGTATTTAATAAATAATTGCATTAACTTTTTGGACACTACACTTACACTACTACTATGGTATAGATATTATTATTATTATTATTACAAATAAAGTGAGACAAACATTATTATTATTACCAATAAATTTGTTGTTGTATTTATAGTTGTTGTTGTTGTTGTTGTACGACATATACAATCATTGGTCACAATTATTTTACACTAATCTATTTAAAAATATTATATATAAATTTCATAATAATAATAATTAATTAATATTATTATTATTATTATTATAACTAATTTGTATATTTGAACATTGATTTTTCTAATTTAATTATTACCGGCGATTGTTTAATATTTGTTAACTGAGTGCCTACTCTTTGATGTGGTTGTAGTTGTAGCTGTTGTTGTTGTTGTTGATTACTATTGCCGGAACCGCCGATGACGTACAGAATGTGTGGTTTATTGTTGATAGTGATAGTATTGGTGGTATGGTTGATGATGTTGTTGTTGTTGTTGTTGCTGATATTGATGATGTTGTTGGTGTTATTGTTATTATTAAAGGTATTGATGGTTGTGGTAGTAGTGGTGGTAGTGGTCGTCATAATATTGTTATTGTTGTTAACAATATTATTATTATCATTATTATTGTTATTATCATTATGTTGTCGCGTCAGACCTTTAATACGATTCCTCAACTGTTCAACACATCCTTCCAGATGTTTGGCAAACTTTTTCCTGACCTCAATCTTCCTCTCGTATTCTTTAACCTCTTTGTCGTACTTTTGCGATTCCGTACACTTTCGTTGTCGCAATCGTCGGGCAGCCAATCGATTCTTCTCTTTCTTGTCGCGCAAATGTTTTTCCAATTCTTCCGCTGTCCGGTTCTTCGGTTTGCGACCTCTTTTACGTTTCTCAACCATAACAAGCGTACAGTCGTCACCTAAACAACAACAATGTATTTAAGACATTAAGATATAAAAGAAATTAATTAATGATCAATAAAAAAATGCGGTTCAATAGTCTAATCGGTTTGATATTCGGATCAACCGATTGTCATCATCATCATCATCGCCGGTTCATTACCATTGTATCCCTCGTCGGTGTTAACGTGACTATTGGTGGTATTGTCGTCGTCATCGTCATCATCGTAGATGTCGTCTACGCTGTTTGTGTTGTGGTAATTACTGTCATCGTTGACGACGGCGGGAGAGACGGTAGCGATGATTGTATTGTCGCCCGATATGCTTATCTGACTGCTGGTCAGATTCAATATGAAATCGCTGGCACTGCTGGCCTCCTGTGACCGAACTTCGGATACTGTCAGCAACTCTTGAGTAGACAATCGGTAACCGCTATCAGTACTGGTCTGCGAACTGGTCAACGAAAATGATTTTTCAGTCGATTGGCTCATAGCTGTTGTGTTATCGCCGCCGAAAAAGTAAAATGTTTGACAATCGGATCCAATTGAATGGATGAATCAATTAATTAATCAATGGTTACCTTAAAATTAACGACAAAAAAGATAACTTTTTTTATTTTGTTTTCAATTATTATTATTATTATTATTATTATTATTACTTTAAACTGTAATAAACAATATGACTCCTAATTTTTATTAACGTTTATTAAAAAAATTTTGCTTAAATGGCGTAAACTATTATTAAATTATTTCAATTGTAATAATAGTAACTGTATGTCTGGTAGTGGTGGTCAATAGTAGGCCTATTTAATATTAACAGCTTATAAGCGTTATATTGTTAAATAGGTACAATTGATCGTCTTGAGTATATAACTGATTGTTTAGTAATGTTTATTCAAACAAGTTAAGCCCTTTTTGCGAATTACTGTCTTTCATCATATTTAATATTATAAATAAGTTGTGATGAAATTGCTTTCAGACATTGCAATGTATTTTAATTGCAAAATACTTTTACAAATACAATACTTATACTTATAGTTAATACTAGGAAAACATTACTAATTTTTATGTTTAAATATAAAGTAATACATTTGTTAATAAAAAAAAAATAAAAAGTTTGAATCATTGAAAAATAGTTTTTTAAAAATAATATTAAATTTACATAAATGAATATAATGTATATATATATTATAGTTAGAAATTTAAATGATTCAACTCATAGATAATAAAAACTATTTAGATTTTTGTTTTATTTTAGTTTATTAAAAAAAATACAATTTTTATTTATTAGAAATTTAAATAATAAACTATAGTTTTTGAAAAAATTAAAACTATAAAAATCACTAATAACTTTATAAATAAGTTTAATTTATAATAAACATTTAATTAATAAAATTATAAATAATAATTGCAAACCAAACAAACAAACAAAAAACAAAACTTTGTGATTAAAAACAACAATTATTTAATGTATGGATAAAATCATTAACAATAAGTACCGTAAGTTTGGCATAATATTCAAACTCAATGTCCAGTTTTTTGTAAAAAAAAATAATGGACCAAAAAAATTGAATCGTTTAATATACCGATATATTTATATTTTAAAAACTAATTTTTTCCAATAATTACATATATATATATATACTAAAAAATATCAACCGTATAAACTATTATTATTAAATATATATATATATATACTGTATATGATATATCAATAATAGATTTGACACAAAAAAAACATAATAAGTTAAATCATTGGTATTGTTGACCCCATATGAGAACTGTTAGCCATAAATATAATGAATAACAGGAAAGTTTGGTTTCGATCCAATGAAATCTAAGAATTAGCGACAATTGTTGCCACCAGTGATGAGATTGACGATATTGTTGATCATAGACAGCCCGAACACAGCACCGGGACATTGTTAACAGTGATCGGCGTTCGCCACCAGTTCCCAGTGCATAGTCTATAGATCGCAACAAATCGTTTGTTTTGAACACAAGCAATATCTGTCGGTCGACTTTAGACAACAGTTCCGATATTTGGCTTATATATTGTGACGCGTATTCACGTAGTTCTCGTGACTATCGGGTAATAAAAACAACAAACAAACAAACAAAAAGTGAGAATTAATAATAATAAAACATTTACCACAACTACAACAATACCTCTTTCTTTTGTGTCTCTTTATCGACAGTCTTGTCGAGACCTCTTTGGATAACATTCCAGGGTTTGGCAGTCATAATACAGGCCAATAGGGGAAACAGTTTGCCGACACCCAGTGCTTCGCCCCAGACCTTCATTTCGTTGACATCGCTGTTAATGACTGCTAACCACATACGAGAGTATTCGTGTCTAAACTTTTCGGTCAATTGCTGTACGAAAAACAAAACACAATATTATAATCAAAAAACAATGAAAATTTAAAGACATGAAAGACTGTATTACTGTATATAATCCGTGATCGAGTAGAACAATCTGCGGACTTCCGTCCTTTAGTTTGTTGACCAATATGTTGCCGGGATGTGGATCGCAGTGGACATAGCCTTCGATGAAAATCATTTGACTATACATAAGACCCAATCGATGCGACACTTGTCGACAGTCGATACCGTTGTCAATCATATACTTTTTGTTGGTCACTTCGCAGCCGTCCAAGTATTCCATAGTCAACAATCGTTTCGATGAAATCGTCCAATCGATGGCCGGCACCTTAAGCCACGAACACTGAGCAAAAGTTCGGGCAATACGTTCGGCATTTCGGCCCTCATTAATAAAATCCAATTCGAGTGGCAAATTACGACGGGTTTCTTCGGCCAACCACTGGAAGGAAAATTCGGGAAATATTTTGTCCACTAGTTTGACCAGAATATCCATAGTTGTCATATCGATATAACTGTGTTGTTTGACACGCGGATGTTGTACTTTGACAGCTACTAGCCTACCGTCGTGTAGTCTGGCTTTATGTACCTGTGCCAGCGATGCCGTACCAATAGGTTCTTCATCAAATTCGGCAAATAATTCATCAGTTGTCTGGCCAGTGTCCGCGTGAATCACCTAATTATTAGTTTAAAAAATTACTTTCCAACTAAACCGGTAATTGTTTTTTTTTATATTTTTGTGGTTAATTTACTCGTTTGATGTCATCGATGGACGAACGGGGAGCTCTGCTGTGCAATACTTTCAGTGTCGATACGTACTCGTGAGGCACGAGATACTCGAGTGCACCGATATGTTGGCCAACTTTAATGAAAACGCCGCCGTTTTGACAGCACAACCATAGTAGACGATTGGCCGCTCGCTTATGTGTTTCCGACCAAACGGCCAGCGATTCTGGTGAACCATCGTTATGGCGACCCGAGACGGACATCTTGTAGTCGACGGCAATCCGGCCAACGGTAAGTGCCGCCCGACCGAAACGTACGGCTCCTATATTTTGAACATCCCTGTGTTTGAGTCAGGGGCGGTAAAATATTTAAAAAAAAACATTTTAGTAATCATTATGAGACCAATTGACGGGTATATAAAAGATCATTAAAAAAAAGATCCGATCCGTCGGTAGTTATCGTATACCAATCGTTTTGGTTGAGGACATGGACTGTAGAGCCGCCCAATGCGGCAATTGTCGCATATTTGGTGATTCGCCACAAATTAGACATTAAAACTTATAAATTATTATAAATACTAATAATAATTATCTTGTTTTTCATTTCATATATCATAACCACATCATTAACATGTGTTTTGTAGTAAAAAATTTTAACCACATTTTCATAAAATTAAAAAATTGTTTTTTTTTTAATTTAATTGATTTGTTTGTATAATCACTGCCAACACTACAACACAGTGTATAAACTTTATACTATAAACACACTTAAAACCTATGGTTTAACCCAATAATTATTATTGACTGACAACTTGATAGGCATTGCATAACCTGTTTGTATCCATACAATCATTTTTGTTGTTGTTGTTGTTGTTTGAAATAACAATTTAACTAACTGACCGATAATTTATGACTATTTCAAACATATAAAACTAGTATTTTTTATTTGTGAACAGTAAGCATGAATAGCGTTTAATAATAAATAGTATCGATTCATCGTCAGTCAGTTAACGTAAAATCATGTTTGACAAAATCAAACGTTTAAAGTGTATGAATGTATTGTTTATGATATTAATAGCGATTATTATTGTTATAACACTGACACTAGTCCTGTGGCCAAACCTATTGTCTATCGGCACCAGCGGTGGCCAAATGTCGGCCACTAGACTATCATCGGTTGACTATAAAGTCTACGGTCGAGTTCAAGGTATGTCTGTCCCAACATTTATTTAGTCCTATTTTTTATATTTGCCGATTGATTTTACCGCGGTTTGTCCGCCGCGACCGACCAAATGACAGGTGTCTTCTTCCGAAAGGTCAGTACTACAGCTAATTTGTCCGATCGGTGTCCGATGTTTGTCACACACCCGGTTTGTTATTGTTTATTAATGTATTGCCCAATTAATAGTTTACCCGACAAAAGGCCCGGGAATTAGGTGTTGTCGGTTGGGTTCAAAACCATAGGGACGGCACAGTTATCGGTACTGTTCAAGGATTGACACCAATTGTCCACCAAATGTATGGATAGATCATAACTTTTTTTTATTGTTTATACCGATTTTCAGTATTATTTTCTCTCTCTCTCTCTCTCTCTCTCTCTCTCTCTCTCTCTCTTCTTTCCTATACTCTATATATGGCTTATATATGGTTTTAGTTTTAGTTTATTTTTAACTTTTATTACCGCTATTTGTGATAAAAACACATATTATATACATTTATATCATTTATAATATTTTAGACTTTTTTAAAAAAAAATCTATTACTTAATATTTTTTGAAAAAACATTATCATAATAATCCATACATTAAATTGTGTGCTTAAACAAGTGTTTTTAAAAAAAAAAAAATATATAGATTTATAAATTACTTATATTATTATTATCAATTTTTTAAAGTATTGTTTGTTTTTTTTGGGTATATTAATCGGTATTTTTTTTTGATTTTAATTATGTTTTATTATAAAAATAAATTTATTTAGGAAGCAATGGCTACTATCGGAGGGCAGTCCATACGGTAGTATCGATAGATGTGTGTTCACTAACGAGATGGCCATCACTGACATGGAGTTTAAAACATTTGATATCCGCTAAAATAGTTTATTTTAATTGATGGAAATTTTTTGTAATTTTAAATTTATTATTATAATTAGAAAATTGTTAATTTACCGGTAATTTAAACTATTTAAAAAAAACATTTGTGATTGATTGAAATTTTTAAAAATAATATTGTTATATAAAAAAAATGCCAAACTATTACTGTATATTAATATATTACAATTAAAAACCTCATAAATTTCATTAACATTTTGTTGTTGTTGACAATCATTAACATATGTATTAGTCTATTGGCAAATATTTTAATAAATTTTATACGCTTTTTTAGTTTATTAAATTAATTGCTAAAAACATGATTTAACAAAAAATAATATAAAAATTGTTTTTTTCAGCTAATTAAAACACATTGTAAAATTTTTTTTATTATTGTATATTAAAAATTAATTATATTACACACAATTTCATATAGTTGTCTAAATATAAATTTGTATTATTAGAATTCAAAAAAAATTACTAAAATTTATATAAATTAAAATATACCGATAACTATAGCCTATATGATAAATAAAAAAAATGCATATTGTATTTTATGGCAATAAAAATTACTTAAATATATAAAGTCATTCAATTGAATATATAATTTATAATAATAATAATACTGTATATATATCAATATATAGTGAATATTCCTTAAGTATGCAAACAATTAAACAAACAAACAAAAAATGCAATTTTAATAAGAGATTAATGGTTTTAAAAAAAGAGATTCAATCTATCATTCAATCACCCGGTAGTTTGTAGTACTATAGTAGTAGTAATCAATAGATTATTTTATGACATAATTTTTAAAAAATTATTATTGATAATACTTTTACCGGGGAATTGATAATTAAAAAATAAAAAAAAATTAATACTGTATTCATAAATATATCATAATTTTTATACTATTATAATAATTATTGGGTATATCACAGAATTTACAGTCAGTCATATAAATGTCTTAATTATTACATCAATACAATGAAGACATAGTAGTTGTTTAGGTAGGAGGAGAAGGATGAGGAGGAGGACACAGACCTAATGTTGTAGTAGTAGTAGTAATACTAGAGGAGTGGATATATGGTTGATGTGAATGGATGGCAGCTGTTGTTGTTGTTGTTGTTGTTGTCATTTTCATCTACAACGGAGTCATTTCTTTCTTTTGAATGAAAGCTTTTCGTTCAATTTGACCATCAAAATCATCGCTTGTCATACGATGACGTACCGAAATACTGGCCGATGACCGTTTGCGGCGTTGGTCGGCCCGTAGAAAACAATAGCCAATAATACCGGCAAATATCAAGGCTATGACAATGATAACCGACGGAACTATAGTTGTCCACAGATATTGATTATCCAAGACATTCGTGTTGTAGATGACCGACTGTGGTGTTGTTGATGTCGATGATGATGATAATGTTGACCATACAGTTGCTGATGAACTACTATTGATCGGTACGGATGGAGGAAGCGTTGCCGCTCCAGAAGTTTTATTATTCATTATTATTATTAGGTTTTTTTTGTATACAAAAAAAAAGTTTCTGTTTGTTTGGTTGGTTGTGTCAAACACTTCTTTGTGACAAAAAAGACTTATCCCTCAAGAAGACTAGTCGTCACTTTAATTGGAAAAACGTGTTTTGAATATATATTTTTTTATTATAAACATTTGTATCATCACTTTGATGAGGAGGGACTGACTGCTATTTCTCTACTAAACACTAGTATTATGACGTCCTCTCCCCTCCTCCTCCTCTCTCTCTCTCTCTCTGCGCTTATGGATAATGTGATGACTGTGCACAACACACAGGGAGAGAGGGAGAGAAAGAGAGCATTTTCCATAATAATCTACTGAAAATAACATTTTTTAATTGTAATTATTGTAATAATCATCAAGGTAATGATTATTACAATAATATTTTTTTTACAAAAATAAATTAATTTAATAATTATTTTTTAAAAAATAATAACAATTTTTTTATTTGAATAAAATGTCCGCAAATGATGTAATTGTATTAAATTCATTGATAATATCATTGCTTAACGGTTCGGTTCCTTCGCGTATCGATAAAACTGTATTAAAACCGGCATTTTTTGCGGCAATTGCCTCTATTTAAAAAAAAATACATAAATAAATATCATTAAAATTACTGGTAATTAAAAAAAACTTAATTTTAAGATTTTTTAAATAAATTATTTGCAAAAAAAACCTTTGACAGCGTCTGTAATAAAAACTATATTATTTGGCATCAAATCCAATGTTTCGGCAATTTTCGTATAACTGGTTGACTCGAGTTTCAGACCAATTGTTGTATCAAAATAGTTGTCTATAAACTAAAAAATAAAATAAAAATAAAGAAATTTTTTTCTTCAACAAAAAAAATTAATAATAATTTAATTTACTTTAGTTAAGTCACCAAAAACTGAATAACCAAACAGTAGTTTCTGTGCCAAAACACTTCCCGATGAATATATGGCTAACTTTATGTTCAACTCTTGTGTCCATTTGGTTATCGCTTTGGCCGCGTCTTCGTAGACACTAATTAAAGATAGCAATTAATATCCATTATATTAGATATCTCTGAAATTGATTGATTTGGATCATAACATACTGTCCCTTAATAGCGCCCGATTGGTAACCAAATCGCCAAATGTTTCCCTGAAATTGTTTCAAAGCCGTTGTCTTTCTGTCGGCATTCATCTGCCACAAGACATTGTCAACGATGGACTGCTTAAGTGTTTCCCTATCAGTGTTGTCGTTATCGCCAATCAGTGGTACGACATCTGATGTTGTCGTCGATTGTTTGCCGTCTTCGACGGCCTGTTTGCGCAACAGATCGATGTCTTCGCGTAAATGATTTTCATTCCTCGGGTATTAAACAAAAAATCACTTAAAAACTGATCCCAAACTATCATTTATAGCAAAAAAATATGTAAATTACAAACCAGTTTTCATCCAAATAGTCGCTGATATGTGTCTTAACGTACGGAAACAAAAAGTCTTTGACAAATGTAATGGCAGTTGTGGTGCCCTCGATGTCCACAAGTATTAGTTCGGGTTTGTTTAACTCAATCATTGTTAATTGATCTCAAAATGTCTTTAAAATTAAAAAAAATAATATCACACTATTAAATCAGTTCACACACAGACACTATTTATTTAATTTGTTAATTAAAATTATGATAACATTGTTATAAAATTAAACACCAAATAAAAAAAAAGTTTATAATTTATAAGTAATACATTCACTTCAATGCCATTCAAAAAAAAAATAATAAAATAAAAAAGTTTTGTAACGCAAAACATGTGACAATGTTTGGACACTAATTTAGACGCTTATTAAATCACAATGAGGTTTACTGTATTGATATTACTTTATACTACTACTGTATAAAGTTTATAGCAATCAATGTGTGTGTGATTGGCCAGTGATTAAAGCACAGTTAGCTACTGTAATAGGCTGTCCCTTTAAATCAGTTAGTTTACTGCATACTGTGTGGACACTTACACACATACACACACACACACTGTAGTACAAGCATTGCATAAACAACAACATAAAACACCGGTATTACATAAAATAAAGCGGAAACCAAAAAAAAAGTTTGCATTTTTTTATATAGATATCGCAAATAATTATTTCATATAATAGTTATATATATTTAATTTTTTTTTTTTGGATTACATATTAATTTAAATAAAAACATTTCATATGTTATAATAATAACGAAAAACAAAAACATTATTATTGTATTAATACATGAAATGTATGTTTAAAAAGGTATCAAAAAATACAACAAAAAAAATTGAATACAAAATAACAAACATTTAAAGCGCTAAAAGTTTTTTTTGTTTGTTTTTATGCGCGCGCTTTAAAAGGCACTAACACTCAGTGCTTGACAGTACTCGAGTTACGCCCATTTAAAAGATCTCTAACTACTAATGACATCACAAATGCTTGAATTTTTCTGTTTCAATGATTTAAATGACTGTTGACTTCAAAGACAGAGCACTGACTGTTGGCTTCACATCTGAGACCATACTTTTGAAGACATTTTTTTTAAAAGACTTTTTATCATCTGTTTGATTGATTGTTTGAAGAGATTGCCATCTGATTTGCCGCCACACAAACCATGAGTGATACAATCAGTGAAGACCAGTGGTCATCGTCGTCATCGACTTCCTCATCGTCGCTATCGTCGTCGGCAGCGATGGCCTATTCCTCGTCATCGACTTTTGCCGCCCTGAAGTCGCTGATCACTTCATTGATACCCGATATGCCGCTTATGGATCCATTGTGGGACAATATTATTGATATGTATGGCCAACATCCGACCGCTCCACTGTTGACCAACGAGTCTATCGATGCGAGAAGAGAAAGGCATTGCCGTAATGAACGGTAAGATTCATCTGTTTGTTTGGTTATGTGTGTGTGTGTATTGGCTGAAGATATTAATTTAATTGTTTTCTCTGTCATTTGTTAATAGCAAACGCCACAGTAGAATCATTCAGCTGATCCAACAGTTAGGTCAAACACTAGGTCTACAAGACAAACAGGACACTCAGGTATCTATCGACTTATACTAATCTGTCTAATCTGATCCAATGTGTGAGTGATTAAGACTTATCTTTATTTTAATATATCCCTTCCCTTGTAGGCCAACATATTGATGCGATCGGCCCGTTATGTACTGTTCCTGTCCTATGTTATCGACAAACTGGACATCGAGTCCAGCGCCAGCAGCAGTAATAGTACCAATGAGCAGATAATGTCCGACGAATGGCTTCAATCGTTGTATCCATTATATCAAAGAGCTTACGGTAATTGATTGACACCCTTAGTGGTGGCTATTAAAGAGTCAATTACATTATTATTAATATTATTGTTTTTCTATTATTTACTATCACTTCCAGAGGAGGCAACAAATTGGGCTCAAAGTGCTTACGAAATTCAAGTTAATAATAATAATAGTAATAATTGTGGTTCAGATGGGGAACCGTTAGGACAATATTATGATCAGTGTCTTCCTCTTAAGGGTTGATTTATTTTATCGTTTAATTAATTAATTATTACTAAATAATAACTATATATATATATATACTATTTATTAATTAATTACAACAAACAGTAAAATCAATTTTAGGAGATAATGTAATTTTGTGATAATATAGTTAATAGTAGTTTAGTTTATAAAACAAAACAAAAAACTATTATTAGTTTTAATAGACTTTGAATGCATGTCATTGTAAGCAATAATTGTCGGTTAAAAATCAAGACAATCAGTATTATTATTATTATTATTTGTTTTTTTGTTTATTTTAGTAGTCTATTAGTTATTATAAAATATTGATAATAATAATAATAATAATGAATTTAGTTTTTACAACCAATCAACAAACAAACCAAATACTGTATAATAATTAATTAAAAATGTTAATATAATAATAAAGATTTTATATTTTTTCAATAAAAAAAATTTGTTGTTTTTTGCAATTTTTATTTATTTCAAATTTTTTGTTATAAATAAACTTTTTTTTGTTTGTTTTCATAATAGAGGAAACTTTACATAAAATATATATAAAAAAGATTTTTATATAATTTCTAATTTTTTTACAAATAAGACCTATTATTACAATATTATTAATATTATTATTATTAATAAGTATTATATTAAGGCTCTCTTAGGGATTGGGAGGGAGTCGTCGGTAATAAATAATAAAACCTAAGATGAGTGCCAAAACTGTCATCAAATAGAGATCCCAGTCTTCACCCAACATCTTATTGATGCTAACATTGGCAATAAGGTCGTCAACATTGTAGTCATTCATCGACTCCAAGCCGTAGACAATGCCCAGTTTGATTCGGGCCAACGCCACTGGTACCTGAGCGTCGAGACTAGTTTCGGCGGCCAAATCGTAATACCTTTTGGCCAAATGTATGTCACGCTTGAGTCCGAGACCCAGTTCATGCATATAACCTAAATTGAACAACGCCTGGGCATTGTGCTGGGAATCGCTGGCCATACGATACTGGGAGGCAGCCATTTCGTAGTCGACACGAGTACCGAACCCGTAGTAATGATAATCTCCTAGTTTGACTCTGGCCACCGAATAGCCCTGAGCAGCTGAACGACTCCAGTACATCAGCGCACGGGTATGTGTTTCGGATTTATCGAACAGTTCGTTGATTTCGTTTCGGTCCAAAATAAATGCGGCATTACTTTGGGCCACTTCGTAGCCAAGTTCGGCCATCAGAGCGTATTTGACAAACGATTGGCTGATTCGGCCATCTTTGTAATCGGTGTGCGCCTGCATTAGTGTTTGTCCCCAATGGCCTCTTTCGGTAACACTTTTGAACAGTTCGACAGCCGTATTGCACGACCTGAGTGTACCTGTTCCCGTGGCGTGCATTTGTGCCAAATTATAGAATCCCAATACGTGTCCCGATTGCGAGGCCATTGTAAAGTACTTGATAGCCGTACGGTAATCTTTGCTGACACCGTAACCATTCAAATACATTAGTCCCAACTGAAGTTGTCCATCAACCCATCCCTGGTTGGCAGCATTTGAAAAATACTTGAAAGCTTTAACATAATCTTTTTCGACACCCTTTCCTTGGAGATACATAAGCCCGAGACCGCTCTGGCCAACTGGATTACCCTTTTCGGCGGCCATTTCAAAGTATTTGAATGCCGACTCATTGTTTTGCGGCACTACATGACTGCCCTCCAAATGCATCTAACAATTATCGGATAAAATAAGTTGTCAGTTAAACACATACACACAATAAAATGTGTATTAATTTTAACAAATAAGAAATACCTTTCCGAGAAAAGCCATGGCGTTTGCATTTCCCGCTTCGGCCGCTTGAGTAAAATAATTCAGTGCCCGACTGTGATCCTGGTCGACACCCCGGCCTCCCTGATAGTGAAGTTGACCCAAACCTACCTGTGCCTGAATGTCGCCTTTATCGGCCAAAAATTGATAGTATTGAATGAGATCGTCGTCGAGAACACCGCTGAAAGAACCGGGATTTTCCAATTCATCCAACAGTCTGACCCTTTGGATGACTGTTCCACCAGAAAACGTAACATCTTGTTCAACAGTTTTGGCCACTTTCTGATAGTAGGTCAGAGCCGATTCGCAACTGGACATTACCGATATACCTGACCAGTATCTGAAGGCCAGTGCCATTCGGGCAAATGTATTGCCAGACAGTGCGGCAAACGTGTAATACGCCAGTGCTCTGGACTGACTGGGCGTTACTCCGAGACCCGTAGCGTACATCAAACCTAAATACTGGTCATTGATATGAAAAAATTGCGTTAATAATTGTAATCAGATATTAATTACGATAATAATAAATATGTGGTCAAACCAGCTGTGCGTTGCCATTGCCTCGAAGCGACAGCCGAGTCAAGTAGTCTTTGGCCAGACTTAGATCAATGGATAAGATATCGCCGAACAGATGTTGTTTGGCCATCCATTCCATGGCCAACTCGTTGTCCAATTTTGCCGATTCGCGTATCAAATCGTAGGCTTTGCTACGATCGTATCGGGAAGTATTGAGCAAAGACAGTGCCGACTCATACAACTGAATGGCCAACCGTTCCCTATCGGTCAAAGGTCTGTCGTTTTCTTCTACTACTACTTCTTCTTCTAGATCTTGTTTAGCATCAATATCCGCAACTTCTTCTTCATCATCATCGCGGGCGTCGCCTCTCCGCCGGCCGATGTAACCAACAGACTCGTCATCGTCGGCACCGACAATGTCTTCGTCGACAACTATCTCCTCTTCGCTGTTGTCCGCTGTCTTCACCTCAGGATTATCATCATTACCGCCGATAACGACTGAGTCGTCGACAGTATGTCTTTGATTATCATTATTATTATTATTATTATTATTATTATCACTGGTTTTGCTTCCTCTGTCCTCTTGTCGTTGTCGTTGTTGATCACTATCTTTACTATTCAGACGAGACTGTTTGCCATCGATGACTGTTGTAAAACACAATAGTATTGTTAATATAGTTATTATTAACAATAGATTTCCGCCTAATTTAACAGTCATTATAACAACATTTAATAGTTTAATGCAATTCAATGCAAAAATTAAAATTATTAAAAATCAATTCAATTCATAAATTTAAGTTAAATAACATTTTTTTTAGTTAATTAAGTTTCACATTACTTATTATAATATATTATTAATTAATTATATATTAAATGAGTTGATAATTATTATATGTTTTTTAAAAATTTTAATTTAATTGTCTTTTATTTTGTTAGTCATTAATCCAGTTATCAATTGATTGATTGTTTCAATGATTTTATATTTTTTCCTAACGAAGACTTACGTATACTTTGCAAAGTGTTGTCACTGACGACACAACACACAGATTACAGTATTAATACAGTGCTGAAGACAAGTGGTGTCACCAACTGGTGATCGACAACAACGACGACAATAAAATTGTTTTTAAAAAAATCTCAAGAGTTTTTTTTTATAATTTTTTTTTGATAAATTAAATTTAATCATTAATTTAAAAAAATCAATTATAGCTAATAATATCAATAGTTTATTATATATATTATTATATATTATTTTTTTTAAATCTAAATTTATTTTATATACTAAACTATAGGAAAAAAATCTAAACTTAAAGTCAGACATTAATTATCATATAATTATTACACAAATAGTTTGGACAGCGATGGCATCGACCAGATGGTGAAGATGATAGTGTGTTTGATGATCACCTAATTTGATCTCTTATTTTTGTTGTCGTTGTTGTTGTGATTTTTCATCTATCGGTTCGTAGCCATCATTCTCTATCTTATCCTTATATTTAAGATAATCTCGTTTGCGATCAAAGTGTGTGACCTGAAGTGAGAGAGAGAGAGATGATAATCGGTTGATGAAAATCATTGTTAATTTCATATATAAGACAATAACAACAAACCCATTGTGGCGGACATTGTGTCTCAAAGAGTTTCCTAAATTGACTGCATTTACCGGCGCCGCTGCCGGCGTTATCTCCATTGTCGTCCAAACACTTCCAGAGGTCATCTCTAGCCGTATAACATTTGGTTCGTTGTTCTTTGTTTGGATAAGACATCTTCTTCTTCTTATTCTTCCAGTTGTTAAGACTTTTTGCTAACCATTGAAAACAGACATCAAATTACTTGAATTGACGATCGCTTAGCAAAAAAAATATCATAAATAATACAAAAATGCAAAACACATGATATCCTACTGTATTGAAACTAAAAACTATTAATATATAAAAAAGGGCTTAACTCGTATAACATATCAATAGTAAAGTTACGCCTTTTGTTTTGTTTGCCTATACAGTGCTACAGTTAAAGTGCATTACATAAACACACATCAGTTGTAAACACAATTGACATTCAAATGGTTATAATCTCTTCTTTCTCTCTACTCTTTGTTGATCATCAATGAGAAGATCTCTCTCTTTGAACCTGATCTCTGAGGTAAAGTATAGATAATAATAATAATAATTTTATTGATGATATTAATGTCGATGATATTATTTAGTCGATAAATGTATAGTTGATTTGGTTTTTGATTCAATACCATCACACCATCGCTGCTGCTGTTGATGACATTATCGTCGACAACAACAACAATGATGGCCACGAATGACATTCATAACAATAACAACAACAACGACATGACAACAATGGATGGACAACAACAACAACATAAAGACTGTGATATCCAGATGACAAACGGCGACTCTATTGACTCATTGGCCAGTCGTCTATCGGCCAAACTATTGATGGACGACTCTATATGTTTGGTTAGCTATGAAAGTGAACTACAAATGCCTGATATCATGGGTCTGATCCAAAAGGATTTGTCTGAACCGTACTCTATCTATACGTATCGTTATTTTATCCATAACTGGCCGCAGCTGTGCTTTCTTGTAAGTCCTGTAATTGATTGATTGGTTTAAGATATCCTTTTTCTTTGCTGGATGTGATCAAATCAATCTGTGTGTGTCTTTACCATATGAAGGCCATGGATGACAGTAAATGTGTGGGCGCTATCGTCTGTAAGCTGGATATGCACAAGAAAATGGTCGGCAGAGGCTATATAGCTATGTTGGCCGTCGATGAAAACTATCGGAAACGAAGAATCGGTTCCAATTTGGTTCTCAAAGCTATTCAGGCTATGATTGCCGGCGACGCCGATGAGGTATAAAGTGTAGTGTATATCACTAGATCTGATCCATCAATCATTTTTTTCTGATACCATATCTAATAAATCGTAGGTCGTATTGGAGACCGAAGTGACCAACAAATCGGCGCTCAAATTATATGAAAACTTGGGATTCGTTAGAGACAAACGATTGTTTCGCTATTATCTTAATGGTGTCGACGCTCTTAGGCTTAAACTATGGCTTAAATGATATCATTTTTTTTAAATAATTTTAAATATTTGTTTGTTTCGTAATTTAATTATTTGTTACATTAAAAAAAACCATTTAAACATTTATTGTTTTTTTTCTACATATTAAACTGATTCAATAAATTTATATATATTTGAGGTAAACATGAAAAAAAATATTATTTTATAACTTTAAAAATAATAATAATAAACATTAGTGAGTGTTTTTAAATGTATGTGTTTTATGTTTGTTTTAAAAATTTGATCTTTCCGTAAGTTTTGGAAAACAAAATAAAAATATTTATTATTTTTATAAACCGACGGGTGATATGGTGTGTGTGTTTGTATCTGTAAGTATACCGGTGTGTATGTGTGTATGAGGAAAGTCGTTTTATTTGCAAAAGTACGACATATCCACCTTTTGTCGCTTTTGTCGTGTAGTAAACTGCTGAAAGAATTCATTGATGTCCTCCTCGGTAACAGTTCTCTTAGCTGTGGCAAATGTCTTCAGATAATCGGTTAATTCGTTTTTCAAATCATTATAGCCTATAGTTTAGAGGGAAAAAACCAAAACAAAAAATCAATTGGATATAAATCTCTATTTGTAAGCTAACGGTGCGCTTGATCTCTAAAAAATAGATGCCTTACCATTGATGATCTCAATCTGTTGGACCCGATTCATTTTGCCCAACTCCGACAATCCCTTGTCATAGTCACTGACTTTCGTATTGGACTCTTTGGCCACATTCTCATAGTAGTGAACCATATCTTTTTCATCGATCAAAAACAGACAATCCTTGCGTTTGTATAAATCTAAACATTCTGGACATTTGCAAAGACTTCGGCGCCAATCCATTGGCCAGTAGTTCGGCGACAACTCAGTTGGCGCTGATTTAGGTTTCATATCACTCATCAATTTTTTTAGCCGACATTGATTGGGTTTTGCCGACAAATCGGCCAATGAATCGCATGAACTTTCAATACCGCTATCGACAGATGACGACGTCTGACTAATTGGTAACTCATCTATTGGTTTGTCATTCGTTTGAATGTCTGGTTTATTATCACCACCAGTGGTAACGTCAATCTCTTTACTGGTTTCGGCTTTTTCTAAGATCACATCTAAATCATAGCAAAAAAGTCATTTTATTTACCGTAATATAAAAAAACTAGTAGATTATGGGTAATCACAAACCTGTTGAAAATGTCTTATTGTAGTACCAGAGGAATGACAACTGATTCATACAATGACCACAAATTAGTTCAGCAAACTCTTGATTATCAACAAAGTTTCCCAAATGCTGTTCAAAATCATCAGAAAAAAACAAGTATTAAATAAATAAGACTTAAAAACTGTAAACACAATGAGTGACCAACCCTTCCGTGATACCAATCTTCGCAGACCACACACTGAATCATCTGGTCATCGGTATCGTCGTCGCTGTCCGGATACGGACGCTTACAAACACAATACAAGCCGTCAAAGTTATGATTATAGCGATTCAGATCGTTGTGTCCGCTTTTCGGATACAATTTGCACCGATTTTCGGCAAACTTTTCGTTACCACAATCGCACCGATAGTTGCGTTTGGTATACAACTCGACCAGTTCGTGGCCATCGTGACACTGATAACTACAGGCCAAACATATGGCCGCACGGGGCTCGCTGTCAGTATCGCTGGTGGCCACCAATTGGCACGTTTTGCACGCGTACAGCGCCTGTCGATTCACGTAACCCTTCATATATAAAATAATGGCAAACAAGTGATATTGAATTATAAGAAGATAATGAAGTGATGGCAACAATCAAATCGGTGGACAATAACAACCTTCAGATAAGTACAATGTTTGTCATCGCTTCCGCCCAACACTGCAAACGCATTCTCCTCCAAGTCTTGCTCTTCTTGTAGTACATCCAACATTGTGACCGTTTCGGTATCGTTGCCGTCATCATTGTCGGCCACGTCTTCAACAATGGCATTGTTGTCGTCGTCAGCAGCGGTAGTAGTCGTCGTCATCTTTAGGCTATCGTTATTGTCAGCCATTTGGCGCTCAATCTATTGATGCAATGCTTTAGAGTATAGTATTAATTATTAGACGTTTTTTTTTATTGATTAGATGTGAAAACTTTGTGTGAAATCATTTTGTTTTTGTTACTGTTGTGTGCAGTCATATATAAATCCAAACCGAAACCCATATTAATTAACAAAAAAAACCGAACCGTTTTGTTATTGTTGTGTATTATTCGTATCTAAACTAAAGACAAACTTTTTTTTTGCAAAAGTATTTTTTTATTAATTAAAAACTACAAACAAAATGAAATCAAAAAATAAAACAAATAAATTTAAAAACCAAACCGCGGTTTTAGGGTATCTGACTTTTTTTCGATGCGGTTATACAAACCAATACCCGTTTCCATATCTAATGTCTTATTTTTATTGTTGTTGTTGTTGATCGACAACAATGACGTTCACAGCGACGACAACACCAAAGACTGCGGCGGCAGAAGTGGTAAACTCTTTGTGTCTGTTGTTTACAGTTTACCCAAAAACAAAAACAACTGTTTTTGTCTACTGATATGAAATCTTGTTGTTATTGTTGTTGGATGTGATAAAGTGATTGACAACTATTTAAAACATTACTAATTTTTTGAGGTAAGCATATATGTTGTTGATATTAGAAAAATTATCATGGTTAATTAGTAAATTTTAAATAAAATAAAAAAATAAACTTGTTAAAAATTTACCATGGTGACAATTTATTATAATTTAACCTATATATGATATCTCTGATAAGTGATGGCCGATCACGGAAGATCCCGAGGCCGGGCACGCGGCCGACCAGTTGGAGGCCCGCAACAGCAACAGCAACAACAGCCGCCCATTGATATGAGTTCACTGCAACAGTCGTTGCCATCCGCCGTAGCCGTAGCCGCCGCCCCCGCCGCTGCTGGTGGTGGTGATAATGGAGGCAATGGTGGTAATGGAGGTAATGATGATCTAATATCATAGTTATAAAATGCTGGCCAATAACTTAATAGTTAAATTTTTTGACATAATTACCGATAATAAAGGTAACGGTAGTAGCGCTGCCGTCCGAGGACGAGCCGGCTATCGGACATCGGTCAGGACTAGGCCGGCATTTGTCAACAACAAACAAGGATCGGGTGGCAAATCTGTACGCTTGTTGGCCAACTATTTCCGTCTGAATCCGCCGAAAGCTGTCATCGTCTACGACTATCACGTAGACTTTGAACCCGATATCGACTCACGTATTGTACGCAAAGGTCTTCTGTACAATGAATCCATACGACAGGTGTTCCGCAATAAACTCATATTCGACGGCATGTCTAACCTAAAGTCGACAATACTGTTGCCATCGCAAGAAACTGAGTTTTTCGCCGTACGCAACACCGATCAGTCACGGATTCGTATACGAGTCCGACGGGTGGGTGAGCTCGGCTGGTCTCATCAGGAAATGTTTCGTCTATACAATACACAAATGCGCCGTAACTTTCAACTGTTGGGCTGGAATCTAATTGGTCGACACTATTTCAATCCGAAAGTAACCCACGATATACCCGAACATAAGCTGACTGTTATGCAGGGACTGTTGACGGCCATTAATTTGCATGATGGCGGCGGCATACTTATGGCCGCCGATACTGTACACAAAGTTATTCGTAAGGATTCGGTTTTGGATAATTTGCGCGACATCTACAAAGACAATCCGAACGGTTTTACCACTGCGGCCCGTCGGCAGCTGACCGGTTCGATAGTCATCACTAAGTACAACAATCGGACCTATCGGATCAGTGATCTGGACTTTGAGCAGACACCATTGTCGACGTTTCCCAAACGTGACAACACCCGCGTATCGTATGTTGACTACTATCGGCAACAATACAACATACCGATTACCGATACTAGACAACCGTTGCTGATAGCAATGCCCAGTCTAAGGGAACAACGTTCCGGTCAGACTGGCCAGATTATGTTGGTTCCCGAATTGTGTAACATGACCGGCATATCCGATTCGATGGCCGACGACTTTCGGGTACGCCAGTCGTTGACCAGACGTACACAACAGGATCCGAATCAACGGGTTGACCATTTGAACGAATTTATTGGTTCACTTGGCCGACATCCGCAGATTAGGGAAGACATGAAGAAATGGGATCTCGAATTTGACGACTCGTTAGTTGAGGTGACCGGTCGACAGTTGGACTGCGAAAARATTATCACTCGCGGACTGACACCGCAAACTGGTATCAGTTGGGAACAGAAAAAAGGCGAATTTACTTCGGATATTCGCGGTAAACAAATGTTCAGTGCCGTACCGATCAATGCCTGGACAATAATCTGCGGCCGCCGCGACCAAAATATTACCCAACAGTTTGCCCAAACACTTCGTCAAGTGTTGACACCGTTGGGCGTCGGCTTAGGTCAGCCGCAGATCAATGTTATCGACAACGACAGAACTTCGACTTATGTCGAAGCGTCCAAAGCTGTTCCGCCCAGTTGTCAGATAATTGTCGTTATTTTACCAAACAATAACAAAGATCGTTACGATGCCATCAAAAAGATTTTCTGCTGCGACCATCCAATGGCCTCGCAATTGGTGGTCTCCCGTACGCTATCGAAAAATTTGATGTCAGTGTCGACAAAGATTGGCATTCAGATGGCCTGTAAGCTCGGCGCCGAACCCTGGGTTCTCGATATACCTGTTAGTTGTTTTTTTTTTGTTAATAATTACCGTAATGTTTATTATGACATAATTACCGTATGTTTTAATAATTTTCTTGTTGTTGTTGTTGTCTTTTTTCTGATGAATAGCCGCCAAACTTGATGGTCGTAGGCTTCGATGTCAACCGGGACAGTGCGATGAGGGAACGGGCTATCGGTGCTTTTGTTTGCAGCACAAACTCTACACTAACCAAATGGTATTCATGTGTATCGCCGCATAAAAATCGCGAAGAATTATCTAATAATTTTAAAATGAATTTTCAATGTAATTATTGATTTAAATTAATTGATTTGATTTATAAATAATTTTGTTGTTGTCTTAAAGCTGGACTGAAACGCTATTACGATATCAATAAAAAGCCGCCGCAAACCATAGTTATCTATAGAGATGGCGTCTCTGAGGGCGACATCGAGTATGTCTACGATTACGAATTGAAACAAATAACTGATTCAATTAAAAGCATATTCAATGAAATACCAATCAAACTGTGTTTTACTATTGTAACCAAACGTATCAATACGCGACTGTTTTTACGTGTCAATCAAAATCAATGTCATAATCCCCAACCGGGAACTGTTGTCGATTCGGTTGTCACACGTGACGATCGTTACGATTTTTTCTTGGTTAGTCAATCGGTACGTCAGGGAACAGTTACGCCAACCATGTATAACATTATCAAAGATGATACCCGATGGGCGCCGCACAGGCACCAGCAGCTTGCCTACAAACTAACTCATCTCTACTATAATTGGATTGTAAGTATCGATTATAATAATAATAAATTAGTTAATTTTGATTTGATTGTATTGTATTGATCTAACTATCACCTCCTATCACACACCTAACTATTTATTTAGGGCACCATACGTGTACCAGCGCCGTGTCAATATGCACACAAATTGGCTTATTTAACGGGAACGGCACTTCACCGTCCATTTCATAGTAGTTTAAGTAATTCATTGTTTTATTTGTGATCTGATTTTGTTGTTATTGTTGTTGTTTAAAACGGTTATATCGACTAATCATTGTTTGTGTGTATGACAAAAAAAATCTCATCATTTTATATAAACAAAAATAATCAATTATTGGTTTAAACATATTTTTTATCATAATTTTTATGGTACGGTATATATATATATATATATCAATTTTTAACACATATAAAATTTTATTTTGATATTAACTCGGTGATTTTGACTATTAAGGTGATTATTACATTATAAAGTTAATCGGTTTTTTACACATAATATAATTTTTAAAAAATATATAATATAATAACTATTTTAAATTCACTCATTTATATACACTGTATTTATTCCTATCTAAAGTTTATATATATATATATTATTTATACTTAAGGGTAACATATTATTAATCAATTTATTTATATATACAAATGAATTATTTTATTTTAATCAAATAAATGTTATATAAATTATGATAAATTAAAAAAATGTGTGTTATTTTTTTTATTACATTGAACTCAATGGGCTCAACCCTAATATCTGCATACCCTGATTGAGTACATTGCGTGAACATCTGAACAATAAGAGTCGGGTTTGTGCCACATCCGGTTCCTGTCCCTTAACTTTGAGCACTTGTATGGCTCTGTTAATGGCATTCCTGTATTCAATATTTTTTATTATACCAATTAGTATTGATATAATTATAAAATTAAATTTTWAAAAAAAACAAATAAATACTTTAGATCAAATAAATAGTGAACCAATAGACTGGGCTCTAGTGTATCAAATGAGTCGACAAGTATGTCATCAAATTGTGATAATATAGTCATCAATAGTTTGGCTTCAATTGGTGATAAACAGTCCATATGTGGTTCAATACTAGATGTATTCAATTCAATGCCACAATTTTTCTCTAAACTAAACCCAAGTTTTTTAATAATAATTACCGATAATTAATAAATCATTCATTCATTCATTTTTTTAGGAAATAAATTAACAATACTTATTAGTCACACAATTATTATTACCTACAAAGTCGTGAATGTGTATACTGTAAGGCAATACCCGTATCGCCCGTATGTTTCAATGCTTTATCCCATTTGAATCGGTATTCCTGTACCCGTCGATGAGCTAAATCGTGTATCAATAGGCCAGACATACCCAATATATCTGAAACACTGTCATAGTTTTCTTCGCTAATTTTTGTATCTAAATGTTTTAACAATTAATTTATTAATTTACCGACAATTATATAAAATATATATATATATATATATTCTTCTGAATGAATGTCTTCTTACTCGGACTAGTCTTACACGACTCGATTGCCCGCTCTTTGGCTTCATTGAGGACATCCTCAAGAAATATAATATCACCTCTTCTGGTACTCATTCCGATGATGCGACCAAATCGCAGATGAATTAATTTTCTGATTGAAAATTAAAATTGTTATTAAAATATTTGTCTCTTTTTTTCGGTAATTATACCGTACTTTTGAAACTCATGATTATATTGCGTAAGTATTTTAAACAAATGATTAAAATGTTTTGATTGACTGCTGTCTACAATGTAAAGCATTTTATCGAAATTAAACAATTGTTTTCTGTGGAGAACCGCTGCGATGTCTCTAAAAAAAATAAAATAAAAATAATTTTCAATTTGAAAAAAACCAGTAATAATAATAGAAAAGACTTCGAGGAATAATAAGAGGGTCTCTTCGTATGGATAAAAACCTCGTCAGATAAAGAGTCGATCCGTCGCTTTTGATAACCGGTATCTTCAGATTCACACGATTGGTGTCGTCGTCGTCAGCGATAAGAGCAAATTGAGCGGCACTTTGATCATCACTATCTATAAGTCCCAATTGTCTTAACTGGTCAACCACTCTATGGCCTGCCTCGGAATACATGGATTCGCTGTGAAAATCATCAAAAGCTATACCCAATCGCGAGTATAAACTCTTGAGCTGATCGACACTTGTTTCGCGAAATCGTTGCCACTGTTTAAGAACATCGGGATTTTGTTTAGTTTCCAATTCGTTGAACCGATTCTTTGCCGATTGTCGCCACTGGTCGCTGGCCTTGCATTCGGCATTTCCTTTGACATAGACGTCAAACAAATGCTTGGATGGATTACTGGCCAATTGATTATCGTTGCCGAAACTATCGTAGGCCAGACTAAGTATACCGAATTGAGTACCAAAATCGCCCAAATAGTTGAGTGAAATAACATTGTGTCGGCAAAATCGGTAAAAGTTGGACACAAAATTACCGATAATTGTCGACCGATAGTTGCCGACGTGAAACGGTTTGGCAATGTTTGGCGAAGAAAATTCGACGACCACTGTCTGGACGGGTGCCGATTGGCCGCCGCGTGTATTGTTGCCGAGATTTTCCCGTAAATTATCGTCAACCAAGTCGTGAAACAATTGCTTTAATGAAATACAAATTACAAAAAAATCTTATTGTAATCACCAGTAGATCAACTAATAAGTTGACAATATTGTTGTCTACCTTCACATAGACCTGTTCGTCGACTTCGATGATCATCTTATGATCTGTTGTTGTTGATGATGACCTATCTTTGCTGACACCATCCACGCTGTCCTCAGCGGTCAATAAATCTGTCCGTTTGGTCTCTAAATGCCTTACAAATGATAGCTTTTTTTGTTGTTGGATTAGTTTAGTTGATTTATACATCAATCTTCGCATAAGATCTGCAGACACTTACTTTGGACAACAAGTTCTTCACATGTTTGTCATCGATGATGGCAGTGGTGGTAGTGGTTGTGTTGTCGACCAATTGGTTTAAGTCGATAGAAAACTTTGGTCTCATCCCGATGTCATTATTATTATTATCCAGTGATAGAAAAGTTTTGACCACCGATTTGTGACCATTTAGTTGATACTGTTGTCTCAATTGATTGCATATCAATTGTTTTAGCCGTAAAACCATTGTTTTTGTTAAAAGTTTTTTTTTAAAAATGTGATTACAAATAGTGTGACAAAATTAGCAATATTTCTAATCCATTAAGTTTTACTATAGATATATAAATTAAGCATGCTAAATTTATTTATTTTTTTGAAACTAATGTTTTTTTATTATAGAAAAACATTATGCAATGTATTTATACAACAAAATATATCTGAGAGACATCTATATTATAATATCAATAAAAAAAAATTCAACTAATTTATCAAGCTAGATTTACGTAATAATTATTTAACTATACTAGTTAATTTTATATTGATAAATTATTATTATAAAATTAATCTATATTCAATTTTTCTTGTTGCAAACAAACAGTTTATTTTAATGTATTATAATTTTGTTTTATTTAAACAAATATTTAACATTTATATTACGGTAATTAATATTGTTTTTAAAATATTTTGTTTGACATTTACGGTAATAAATTTTCAATAATAAGTTTTAAATTACTTGATTAATATATCTTTATATTATGTAATAATAATAATAATAAATCATATGTTCAATTTTACATATTATTAATCTCTCTCTCTCTCTAAAATAAATACACATTTTAATTATAATAATAACAATCACTTAACAATTAAAAAAAACAGTGATCTGGAAATAAATCACAATTATATAAATATATATATATATATATGAAAATAATAATAATAAAAATCTTGATTTAATTGATACAATTAATTAATAATAAATTATATATGTTTAAAAAAAATCACAATTAATGTCTCTAATTATTTTTAAATAATAATCAATTAGTTAATCTCATAATCAATTGTTATCATAATTACTGATAATAATTGTTGTACAGCTTTTTTTGTTGTTGTGTGTGTGTGTTAAACAATTGACTATTAAATGTATCATTATATTGGGGGGTGGTGGAGGGAGTGAGGGGGGGGTAGTAGTAAGGTATCCACCAAAAATTAAAAAATAATAATAAGGAGGTGTGAGCTTCTGGAGAAATAAAATACTGCATAAAATTATTTCATATTAAACATAAAAAGTAAAACCAAAAAAAAAATTATTAGAAATTTATTGTGACAGTCGAAGAATAATAATAATAATAATAAACCTATTATTGAATTAAAAAAACAAAAATAATAATAACTTAATCTAAGTGTTCAACTAATGGGATCAACTTCTTCTTCTACTTCTTCAACTTGTTCTTAGTCTTCTTCTTCTTCTAGAAGATTGGAATGTAATTATCAATCTTTGCCTTATGTTTTTGTGCCACACATTCGGCAATCCATACAATATTACGACACTCCTGTTCCTTCAGTTTCAGATACGAATAGAAGACACCGAAGTGGAACTGTTGCATAAATCCGTTGACATTCAGACTGACTTCGTGTTCGAAAAACTTGTCCTCCAGTGTCTTGTCTTCCTGTCCACCATTGCCGCCGGCACCTGACTGGCCCTGACCTTCAAACATTACCTTGTATTCGGCATAAAATTCGGCTACACTGCGAACCTGTTCGTAGTCATCGGCTCTGGCCAGTGCAGCCAAACCGTCGGGAAATAGATTACCGCAATTCGGATACAGTTTGGCTCTGTCCTCTTTGGACAGTTCCGTACCGAACGAATTGATTGTTATGATGAACGCACGTCTGTCCGCTTCGAACGCTATTTTGATTTGGATTTACCGATAAACAGAAATATATTAATTATCTAAAAGTTTATCCCGTTTCGGTAAATTCGGGTAATCCACACACACGTACCTAATATCGGACACATAACATCGGCGGTAGTGCCGCCCAGTTGTTCCATACAGAACTTGTAAAACGATTCCAAGTAAGCCTTGTATAGTGTGTTTCGGATGATTTCGACATTCATTTCGTCCAAATCCTGTTCGCCGATACAGTCGACAAAAAACGGTGCCAACGGTGTATCGACCAGTACGGCATTGTACAGATCGGCCGGTGTGGCCGCCACATGGATGGCCTCCATCTGATCGAACGAACCTAACGGATGACATTTGGGAATCAATTCCGATAGTGGCCGCTGATGTAGAGTACCTGTTAAATAAAATAGGGGGTTTAATTAGTGGCCAATTATCATCAAACTGGCCAACACTGACCAGTTATCAATAGTATAATATTGTCGATCATATAAGAGTATTGGATGTAATCGAGAAAAGTGGCCAACGGTTCCACAGCATGATTACGGATGTGCTGATACTCGATAACCAATTTTTCCCGTAGTTTATCGTCGATAACCGATACGTTTAGCGGTGACGGTTCGTTGGCCAGAAAATTACCGTAATCTGTACTCTGCAAATGTAGCTTAAGATCTTCTAGTGATTCGCATTGAACTAAATTCAGATAATCCGGTTGTCTTAATATACCGCACTTGAATCCGCGGACCAATGCCTCCAAATAGCCATTGTCTGAGTTGAAGATGGACTCCAAAAACATTTTTGTCAAAGAAAGTGATTGATTTGATCCCAAACAACAACTAATAGGTGTTTATAGCCAGCGATCAGATGAACGCCTCTTTCAATATGTCTGAACAAACAAACAAACAGACAGTCAATCAGTCAGTTGTTGTGTCACAAGTCGTCGACAACAGAGGTCTCCGTTCGTTCGTTTCAAAGGAAGAACAGTATAGAGAAAGTCATTGTTTATTACAATAAAATATCAGTCAGTCTTTGATATATTCAATAATCACTATAACTGTTGATAAAAAATTAAATCCTCTTCAGTGGTCATCAACTAATATATTGTCCATCAAAAAGTTTTTTTTAAAACTCTGATTTTGTTGTTATTATAAGTGATGCCAATCTTCAAGTTGTCGACCAATTTGCCGGCCGCTAAACTGCCGGCCGGTTTTCTCGAACGATCAGTCGATTTGGTGGCCAAGACATTGGGTAAACCCAAATCCTATGTCGTTGTCCAAGTGCTTACCGATCAGCTGATGAATTGGGGTATAAATGTTGATTATAAATCTCTTGAATTGTTTGATCCAATTGATTTGATTTGTATTGTTTTGTCTATTAGGCGGTAGCGATGGCCTGTGCGCTGTGGCCTCTGTCGAGAGTATCGGCGCTCTCGGCCGTGACGTCAATAAGAAACACTCGAAAGCCATTGCCGATCATTTGCAGAAAGAACTGGGAATAGCTTCGGATAAATGCTATATTAATTTTGTTGACCTAAACAAAGCCAACTGTGGCTACAGTGGTACCACATTTGATGATCTACTATGAATCAGTGATGGATCAGCTGAAGATTTTTTTTTGTGGACATACAAAATAAGTTATGATAGTTATTGAACCAAATAATAATAAAAAAAACCAAATTATAATTTAAATACAAAAAAAAATCATGTTTTTAGTCGATAATTGATATATAAAAATGTCATATTTTTTTGTGTTTGTGTTTGAAAATTGATTATAAATTTTTTGAATTAAATTAAATTTTTATAATTACTACTGTTTAAATTGAATTAAATAATTGTCACTTAAAATTTTTTTTTGTTAAAATCAGTAAATATGCAAATAAAATATATTTTTTGAAATTATAGTTATTTTTTAAAAAAATTTTATATACTGTATAGTAATACCAAATAATTATTGTTTTAAAAATTTTATTTTATATAACATATTATGTTATCTTAAGTATTAAATAAAAAAAAATATAGATAATTACTGGTAATTAATTGAAACTATAAATAAGATATACCGTAATTATATATATATATAATATAATTATTTCAAGAACTATTAATTTTTGTTTTTTTGTAAATATATAAAGTTAAATATAAGATTAAAATAAAAATTAAATGCTAAAGATTTCAATGTTAAAAATTTTTTAGTTAATTATTTGATAAAAACAGTATTTTGTCTAATCATTTGTTTGGCAGTAATTAGTATTTCATTAAAAAAAAATTAAATTAATGATATAACTTATTAATTATTAATTTTTATTTAAAATTAATAATTATTTTTTATCTCATTTATCTCTTATATATCTTTATAATAAATATAAAATTCTAGATATTATAAAATATTTGTTTAAATTACAATCTAATATTATATTATTGATTAATATTGAATTAGATATAGTTGTCGTAAAATTTTTTGTTGTTTAAAAAAACTATTAAATATGCAAATAACATAATGTTTTAAATAGCAAACAATTATTTTTGATTTTATTTAATACCATATTTTTTTACGTTACTGTAAATAGTAAAATATATAAAAAAAAACTATATAATTATTGTAAACATTTATTTATTACAATCTTTTTTATAAAAATTATTAATATAATTAATTAATTAATTGAAATAAAAAGAAAAAATTCTCAATAGTTTTTAATTGCTTTTTTGTTGATATTATTATTATTAAAAAATATACATAAAAAATATACATAAAAAATATGTCACTTTAAATATTAAAATATATAATAAATATTTAATTCTATGATATGCTTTTTAGCATTCTCAACTGGTTTATTTTATGATTAATTTAGTATTAATATAATAATAATTAAAAAAAAATTAATTAAATGATTTGACACAAAAATTTTATTCTCAAATATTTGTCTAATCATTTTGTGCCGATAATCGGTATTTTATTTTAATTTATACATAATTTGATACTTTATAAAGAAAATATTATTTGATTTTTTTGTAGTTTATTATAATCACAGTTTTTGTTGTTGTTATTATACTTAATATACAGTTCTATACATAACTAACTAAATGCCTGTCTTTAAGTTGTCGACTAATTTGCCGTCGGCTAAACTGCCGGCCGGTTTTGCTAATAAAACAGTCGAAGTGGTGGCCAAATCATTTGGCCACCCGAATGATTACGTTACCGTCCAAGTGGTCACCGATCAGATCATTAGTTGGGGTTTGTTTTGTTTTTATATTAATTAATTATTTTGTTTTTCAATTGATTGAATGTCAAACAAATTTGTCCGATTGTCTGTCCCAAACCAAATTTTAGGCGGTAATGACTCGGTTCCGTGCGGTTTGGTTACTATCGAAAGTTCCGACGGGTTGGGCAGCGACCAGAATAAGAAGCACTCGAAGGCCATCGCCGATCACTTGCAGAAAGAGTTGGGCATTAGTTCCGATAAATTCTATATTATTTTCAGTCCGATAGACTTAGTCAACATCGGCTACAATGGCAGCACTTGTGAAGATCTTAAATAAAAAAAATAACAACCGATTGATAATCATATCTGATTTGATGGACACATAAAAAGATAATTATAATAAAATAGATTTTATTAAATTTTGTTTAAAAAAGCTATGAAAATATGCAAATAAAATAATGTATGTTTTTTTGTGAGGAAAATAAAAGTTAAATTTTTTTTATATAGCAAATAATAATTATTATTTTTTTGATTTTATTTAATACCACATTTTTATGCTACTGTTAGTATTAATTTATATAAATAAAACTATATAATGATTATAAAAATTCATTAGTTTTAAATATGTATAAGAGTTTATATATTTATCGTAATTTATATTTTATTTTATAAGTTATTTACTTTATAAAAATTAAAAAAAATTAATTAAATGAAAAAATTAATTTCCCAGTATTTATCTAATCATTTTGTGCCGATAATCGCCATTTTTTTTTAATAATTTATGCATAATTTCATATTAAAATAAAATATAATTCAATATTATCTGATTTTTTTGTCATTTAGATTTTAAAAAAGCCATTTACTAGTTGTTTGTCACACTTATTATATATATATATATATATAACTAACTAAATGCCTGTCTTTAAGTTGTCGACTAATTTGCCGTCGGCTAAACTGCCGGCCGGTTTTGCTAATAAAACAGTCGAAGTGGTGGCCAAATCATTTGGCCACCCGAATGAWTACGTTACCGTCCAAGTGGTCACCGATCAGATCATTAGTTGGGGTTTGTTTTTTTTAAACAAAATTTTGATTAATTATTTTTTTCAATTGATTGAATATCAAACAAAATTGTCCGATTGTCTGTCCCAACCAAATTTCAGGCGGTACTGACTCGGGTCCGTGCGGTTTGGTTACTGTCCAAAGTGCCGACGGGTTGGGCAGCGACCAGAATAAGAAGCACTCGAAGGCCATCGCCGATCACTTGGAGAAAGAGTTGGGAATCAGTTCCGATAAATGCTATATTATTTTCGATCCGATAGAGTTAGTCAACATCGGCTACAATGGCACCACTGCTGATGAAATTAAGTAAAAAAACAACAACCGATTGATAATCATATCTGATTTGATGGACACATGAAATAGATAATTAAAAAAATAGATTTTTATTAAATTTTGTTTAAAAAAGCTATAAAAATATGCAAATAAAATGTAATGTATTTTTTTGTGGAAAATAAAAGTCAATTTTTTATATATATATATTTTTTAGCAAATAATAATTTTTTTTTGATTTTATTTAATACCACATTTTTATGTTACTGTTAGTATTAAAATATATATATTTTTTTAAAAACTATATAATCATTGTAAAAATGATTATTAGTTTTAAATATGTATAAGAATTTAATATATTTACCGTAAGTTATATTTTATTTTATAAGTTATTTACTTTATTAAAAAATTAAAAAAATTAATTAAATGATTTGATAAAAAAATAAATTTTCCAGTATTTGTCTAATTATTTTTGTAATGATATAAAATAATACAATATTATTTGATTTTTTTGTTATTTAGATTTTTAAAAAATCCCATTTACTAGTTGTTTGTCACACTTATTATATTTAATATATATATATATATAACTAACTAAATGCCTATTTTCAAGTTGTCTACCAATTTGCCGGCTAGTAAACTTCCGGCCGGGTTTGCCGATAAAACAGCCGAAATGTTGGCCAATTCATTTGGCAAACCAAAGGCATACGTTGCCGTTCAAGTGGTCACCGATCAGATTATTAGTTGGGGTTTGTTTTTTGTATTTATTTATTTATTTATTTAATATTTTTCTTTATTTTATTTTCAGTAATTGAATTGAGTTTTTTAGTTAAAAAAAATAATAAAATTAGTTTTTAAAAACCTAATTGTCCGCCCAATTTCAGGCGGTACTGACTCGGGTCCGTGCGGTTTGGCTACTGTCGAAAGTACCGACGGGTTGGGTAGCGACCAGAATAAGAAGCACTCGAAGGCCATCGCCGATCACTTGCAGAAAGAGTTGGGAATCGGTTCCGATAAATGCTATATTATTTTCGTTGATATCGATAAAGTCAATCTCGGATATATGGGTACCACTTGTGAACAGTGGTAACAAACAAAAACAACAACAAAACAAATTGATTGATTGATTGATCTGATTTGATTAACACATGAAACAAAAAATAATAATAATAATTAATAATTAAAATATTTTTTTTCATTGTTCATTAAAATTAAATTATCCTATTTTAGGCAATAAAAAAATTAATTTTTTGTTTTGTTTAAATATATAGTTTTTAATAGTTATAGTTAAATAAAATAATATATAATATTTATATAATAATTTATTCAATATTTTTGGCCCAGATTTTTGTTGTTGTTGTTGTTTATTTAGTTTTATAAAGTTATTTATTACAATATTTAAGTTTATATGTATTTTAATATTTAATTTATTTACTCATATACTACAGTATTTAATAAAAATAATTTGTCTAATCATTATTTACAGTAATCAGTATTTTATTTCAATTTCTAATAATAATTTAATATTTTATTATATATATATATAAATAAAATTATTTGATTTGTTTTTCATATATAGTTGTATTTTATATAATATAATTTACTAACAAGTTGTTTATCAAAAAAACACAGTTATTATAAATAACTAAATGCCTATTTTCAAGTTGTCTACCAATTTGCCGGCTAATAAACTACCGGCCGGGTTTGCCGATAAAACAGCCGAAATGTTGGCCAATTCATTTGGCAAACCAATAGCATACGTTGCCGTTCAAGTGGTCACCGATCAGATTATTAGTTGGGGTTTGTTTTTTTGTTGTTGTATTTATTTAATATTTTCTTTATTTTTTCAGTAATTGAATTGAGTTTTTGTAGTTAAAAAATAATAAAATTAGTTTTAAAAAAACCTAATTGTCCGCCGAATTTCAGGCGGTACTGACTCGGGTCCGTGCGGTTTGGCTACTGTCGAAAGTACCGACGGGTTGGGCAGCGACCAGAATAAAAAGCACTCGAAAGCCATCGCCGATCACTTGGACAAAGAGCTGGGAATTGGTTCCGATAAATGCTATATTATTTTTGTTGATATCGATAAAGTAAACCTCGGATATATGGGTACCACTAGTGATGAACTTTTCTAAAAAAAATAAAATAAAATCATTGATTGATTGATTGATAATCATATTTGATTTGATGGATATATAAAAGTTATTAAAAGATTATTAAGTTTTTTCCCCTCAATTCAGTTAATTAATTATTCGTTGCAATAAAAAAATAAATAAAATATTTTTATTAGTTTATTTAATAGTTTTATTTAGTTATAAAAATGACAATTTACTCTAAAAAAAAAGTTATTATTTTGTCTTAATTTTTATTAATTTGGTTTGTTTATTGTGTTTCATATTATTTTTATTTATTTTTTGTGAGCCGGGTAGACATCATTGTCTGGCAGTTGTATTATAAGTTACCCCTAAAAATATAAAGTTATAAAAATTTTTCAATAACAATAGAATTTAATATTATTAAATACTGTATATGCATATGCATATTAAATGTTTTGAAACTTAAAAAAATTTTAGAGTCAACATAAACAAAATTCAATGATTTATAAGATTTATTAATACATTTGTGGTTAAAAAAAATCTTCATTACATTGATATTGATATTGATATATATATATATATAATGGACAGCTAAATATATGGATGATTTATACATTTATAGATGGCTAAGATGTTTGTCCAAAAAAATAATGAGTCACAACAACAATAATGTTGTGTCCAATGGATTTGTTAGTCTGTGTGTCCACTAAATTGAAAGGTCCGGTATTATTATACTACTGGTGCTGTTCTAATGGTGTCGACCCTATCGATGGCAACGATCGCATCAGTCATTCATTTGGCCGATTCATTATCTCGGAAGACAAGTTGATTTCCTTTTGATTTTATATATATATATATCAAATAAGTTGGTATATAAGCGACTGACCCAATCTGCACAGTCGGGTGTCCACATAAAAGTTGCTAATAACAACAACAACAACAACTAACCGATGATGATGATGACGACAACCGACAACAATATTACTATTACTACTAATAATAATCACCTAAAACGGCAATCCCTTTAATAACTAATATATCATATAATGGATATACGATTGCAATACAATAGGGGAGAGAGAGAGAGAGTTTATTATATTAATAATCAATATATTATAGCTTCTGGATCTCTCTCTCTCTCTCTCTCTCTCTCTCTCTCTCTCTCTCTCTCTCTCTCTCAGTGTCTGACCTTTACCATTAACCTATTATATCATACCAGTTGTGTGGTCATACATTTTTTTTGTATGTATGTATGGTTGGTTTGTTTAACATTAAACGTATGGACCGGGCGTATGGGTATTATATAAGAGTTGTCATCATTACTGGAACAGTGTAGTAGTGATAGAGATATTTTGCGAAATATATATATATAATAAATATGATATAAATTATATACTGTATATACCGTACTGTAATATATATATATATATATGTATTTCTGAGACCTTAACTATTATTACTCCCGGAAAAAGACATTATCCCTCCCAATACATAAATATATGTATAGTATATCACAGTATAATATCTTAATAACATTTTTGGTGACAAACACCAAAATATATAAATTATATATATATATATATACAGTATATAATATATATTGTATACCACTTATTATTATTATTGTTATTATGATAGTTTTTTGTGGATATATTTTCAGTATATGATTTTTATTTACAACAAAATGATTTTTTTGTGTTGGTTTATGTGTTTTAATACACACAAACAAATTATTTTTTTAAAAAAATTTACGCTAAACTTGTGTTTTACTATAATATTACTAACAAATAAGTTTTATATTATTAATAGTCAAATATTAATATAATGTCGTGAAATATATGATTTTAATTAATAATTTTATTAACAATTGTTATTATTATCCTTTAAAAATTGAAATAAACTTATTAATAAGTTAGTATAACATATAATTATTATTATCATTAAATTTTATTTAATTAAAATTATATTAAAATATATACAAAAATTATCATTTGTTGATAAAATATTTTTTTAAAACCTATGATATCAATACATATATCATAAATAAAACTTGAATAATATATAGAGTTTTATTTACATTTTGTGTTAAAATATAAAATCATATCAAAACTAAACTAAACTTTAACTCTAAAATAAAAAGTTTTATACTAATAATAATAATAATACAGTATTTTTAAAGTGGAAAGAGAGGGGAAAGATAAATAGTTTTATAGGGAACGGGTGTATCATATATTGAGAAACGGGAGATGAAAAGCATAGTTAATATCAATTTTGCTTTTCAATACAAATGTCATGAAATCTCATATCTATTTTGTGGTTCAACTAAAACTCGTAACTATTATATAATATAAACTCTAACTCTTGCGGCTTTCATATACTATTATACAGTATATGGATATCATATATATATATATATATATATATATATATATATATATATATATATATATATATATATACGGTATATACAGTATATACCAATAGAAAGGGGTTTATATTAAAAAAAACTAAAACACATTAAACACATAAACATTTAGATATATTATTAATCATAAACACACACACATTATATATGATATTATTTGAGAGTTAAAATCATTTATAAAACATATTGCGGGTATTATTATTATTATTTCGAAACAATTATTTACACTGAAACCTAACTATAAGAAACGTATTTTGTTTTTTTTCAAATTTAGTAATTTTTAAAATAAAATTCAATAAATTCAATTAATTATTATTTTTTTGACAAATAAATGTTTAGACAGTTTTTTATATAAAATAAATAAATTTATTGCCAAATAAATGATTAAAAAAAATTATTTGCCAAATGATTTATGATTATATTTTTGGATAATAATAATAATACTGATTATAATAATATGAATATAAGAAAAAATAAGTTATCTATTGAGAAAATTATTTTTCATATTAATAACAACAATAGTGTATATAATAAATAAATTTATTGATATCTAATAAATACAGTTTAGCTTCAGTCTCCACACACACACACACACACACACACTCACTCACACACACACACACACACACACACACACACACACACACACTAACTCACTCACACACACACACACACACACACACACACACACACACACACACACACACACACACACACACACACACACACACATGCACACAGAAAGTGTTAATACTGTACGGTTAATATGGATTAAAATGTGATGTATGAATAGTAATTTAGGTACTGGTGCTTCATTGGAGATGATGTGCATCGATGTGTGTGTGTGTGTGCATGGATATGGATGGATGTGTGGATGACATGACTGTATGGTTATATATATATATATATATATACAGTATAAACTGTATATTTATATATATTGTGCCAAAATCTATAGCCCCCCTGGAAAAAAAATTCTAGTGTATAGTTTAACACTATGGGTATTGCCGCCTAACAAACCATTTATATCACTTAACTTTTGTGTAAATGATCAGCTCATTTAATAGCTTATGTACATAAGCTACCAGTGCACCATTCATTAAATGGTGTGATATGTGTTTCACAATCTCTCACTCACTCATTCACTCACTCACTCACTCACTCACTCACTCACTCACTCACTCACTCACTCACTCACTCACTCACTCACTCACTCACTCAATCGTCTATCTATCTCTTTGCCAACAAAATTCCCTACAATTGAATACCAGAATAATATAATATATATATATATAACTCTATATAAATGTATAATAGGATTCTGTGATAGTGTAAGAGTTATGTAAATACTAATAATAATACTGTAAATACAGAGAAAGAGAGAGAAAAAAACATACTGTATATACATAATAAAAATTGATGAATAAATTTATTAATATTATATTTTAATAATAATAATAATAAAAAATCACATTTAACAACTATATTAAATAATTTAATAGTGTATTATACTGTATATAAACAGTAATTATTTATGTGTGTGTGTATGTGTTAAAAATAAATAATTACTTTTTACAAAAATATATTGAATATAACAGTTTAAATTGAAAATGAGATCAAATATCT